GTTTAAAGTAAGTACACATTTTAAATCAAAGTAACTTTTATTTTTGCATACAGTTATAGAAGCCATGTTATATTAATTTAAAAATCGTAATCTGTCTCAAAATTGACCGCATTTTCATTGGGTTCTGTTGGCTCTGCTGCAGATGTTTCAATATCCTGGGTTGTTGGAATTTGTAAAGCGCTAGGATTAATGATACTAGTGTTAATATTATCTGAAGCACTAGGAATATTGACACTAGTGTTGGTATTATCTGAAGCACTAGGAATATTAAGACTAGTGTTGATATTATCTGAAGCACTAGGAATATTGATACTAGTGTTGATATTATCTGAAGCACTAGGAGTATCGATACTAGTGTTGATGTTATCTGATGTAGGTGTTGAGCCTGTAGAATAACCATAATTATTCGGTGAATACCAACTATGTTGAAGATTACTTTCTTCAGCTGACATTACCGCATTAAAGCAGGTTTTTTTAATTTGAAGTTGAAAATAATACGGCAGCTTTTTTGTCGATGCAGCCAAATTTAAAAAAAATAAGTCTATTTCATCGTATTTATCACTGGCTGACATCATGTTTTTAAGTTCTATCCGTTCTCGTTCCAACACTTCGCGGCGTTCTTGATTTTTTTTTAAATAATCTAGAATTTCATCGTTCTTTCTTTTTTTGGATGTTGATGGAAGAGATTCCGAAGCTGTTGGATTCTTAGGATCATCGGCAGAAGGAAGATTATTTGAATTTGATGGCAAAAAATTGCATGATTCCCGTGAACTCTCTTCAATGGTATTTGGCGGATTTGAAGTTTCGCTTACTGAGTGGTCCAGGGGCGTAAAATTTGTTGACCGGTCTCTGTTACTCATGTAAGGCAATAAAAATGACATGGCTTTTTGATATTTCCATTCTTTTCGTTGTTTTCTAGCCTGTCCACTCCTTGTTGCATTTTGTCTTTTTAAGGCATCCCGATGGTTATCTCTCAGTTGTTTCCATCGCGACTTGGCAGTTGTAACTGAAACAATCAACAAACACAAAAATGTATTACATGGTCTATTTATGACAAAAATATTACATCACTTACGCGAAGTACAATTAAATACGTTTTTTTTTAGGTATTTAGCAACCGGCCAGTCATTTACAACGATGGGAGAGAATTTTAGAATTGGATTGAAAAGTGTATCAAGAATTGTTGAGGAGGTTTGTGATGCTTTATGGAATATATTGCAACCTCTTGTCATGTCACAACCAACAGAAAACGACTGGAAAGAAATCGCAAAAGATTTTGATGAACTATGGCAATTTAAAAATTGTATAGGTGCTCTTGATGGCAAGCACGTATATATCAAGGCTCCCTCGAAAACCGGGTCCTCGTTTTTCAACTACAAAAAGAGATTTTCTGTAGTATTGATGTGTTTAGCTGATGCCAAAAGGAAAATCATAATGGCTGATGTGGGATCTATGGGAAGATTTTCTGATGCAGGAATTTTTGATAACAGCATTTTCGGAAAGAGTCTAAAAGAAAAGAGATTGAATTTACCTCAGCCGGTACCATTTTATCAAGGTGGAGCAAAAATGCCGTTCGTATTTATAGGAGACGAAGCTTTTCCATTAATGGAAAATTTTATGAGGCCTTACCCACGTGATGGACTTAACGCAGAAAAAAAATTTTTAATTACCGATTATCAAGAGCACGTCGTATTGTTGAGGCAACTTTCGGTGTATTGACGAGAAAGTGGTACGTGTATCATAAAGATTTTGAATGCAAAATAGAAACAGTTGACAAGGTAATAAAAGCAACATGTGTTTTGCACAATTATTTAATTCAAAGACAACCTAATTATATAAACAATATTGAAAATAACATGGAGCAATCATTATTATCAGTTGGTGATATTATAGAAACACAACATTCTAGTAACGATGGTTATCAAGTTCGTGAAATGTATTGTTCATACTTTAATAATCAGGGGAAGGTACCATGGCAAGATACTCGAATTTTGAAAAGAATCTATAATAGTCAGTGATGTGAGACAGATATAGATAATTTGGCCAGCTGCGGACATTATTTAACTATTTAGGCTATTACATTATATAGGCTATTTTGTTAAATAAAAAAAAAGATATCAATATGTACCTACTAGAAGGTATTATAGAATAAAGATACATATTATTTACCATCCGATATGTTTGTTTCAATGATAATTTGGTCCCACGCAGCATCTTTTGTTTCGTTGCATTTGTAAAATTCTGAAGATGTGTTCCAAATGCACGGAAACTTTTTCACACTTTCAATAAGTTTTTCATCCATTATCTTCGGTCACATACGCACTGGTCGGAATACGGCGGCACACTGCCGGCGCAAAGTGCGCCCGCGCCCGCACTCGCTTCCCCGCTCCGCATCCCCGCTCCGTTTCCCCGCTCCGCATACCGGTTTTATATGAAATTTTAAACTAGCTCGCAAGTCCCTGTCCACTTAAGAGGAGCGGAGATTTTGTGCAATCCTATTGGTTAATATTTCTCCGTTTCTCGGCTCCGCTGCCTCGCTCCGCTCTGGTGGACTGGCAGCCTTACTCTTTTAAAATAGGTTTACAATATTTTGTTACATTTGTTAAATAATTATATGTGAAGACAATGTACTCTTAGAATAAACTACTATACTAATAAGTTAGTATACATGTTCTTCACATATTTACAAATATCGAAACCATAGAATATTAACATTAAAGAGTAATGAAAATATTAAAAAAACACAACAAAACAGTGTGTGAGATACAAAAAAAAAAAAAATTACATTTGTAGCATTATAAATTAAAAAAAAAATATGTTAAAGCAAAAAATCAGCAACCAATTTGATTTTGTCCAGGCTCTATGATTGTCCTATGGAGCAGGACCAGCATGTTTCCAAGCATTCTTATCTTGAATATAATCATCTAATTTGTAATATGCTTGTTTACAAAGTGTACTTTTAATAAAACATTCGTATTTCTATATCTCAAATCGGTCAGTCTACATTTTGTCACAACTTTGTGTATTTTTTCTTGGCCCAGGATAGCCCGTTCTGTGGAAAGTTTTCTTAATTGTGTTGCAATGTATTTTCCAAAGGCATCGAATTCATCTTCTTCTCTTTCTGATTTAGAGAAGTCATTTTTTATCTCCTTCATGTTTTTGACAATTGAAGATAACTCTGATAATCTAGACTTTGGTGGACCCGGTTCTGGTGTAAGAGGTTGGAGTGCAGAAGCAGAGGGATCGTCAGCAGCCTGCTCTATAGATTGAGATTCTGTATTGTCCTGAAAATTTCATAATTATTTTATTACAGGTACCAAGTACGCCACATGAATGGGAACCGGCCATAACATTGGATTGAAATTTGTATTTAAAATTATTTTTCATAATTTTAAATTTAACCGACGTTTCGCGTGCTTTACAGAGTGCGTGGTCACAGTGTCTGAAGACAAAAGGTGTTGAATGTCAAAAAGTATCACAGCTGTAGAAAAAGTTGCATTATCTGTATTTGTTTCCCCGGAGTCGATACCAGACTGGTACTTCAATCCGGTAAAAAAAATAGCACTCCGGGAGTGCCGGCAGAAGTGAAAACTTCAATATTAACGTTGTGTTTAATTATAAGTATAAAAGTACTATCATTTATGAGGTAGAATACAATGTTTATTTATTGCGCTATCGTACACAAATATGACAATTTATATGTTGTTATTTATAATATTATATCGTTATTTATATATTACATTAAATTTAATGAATTAACATTAGGTGGTAAAGATTGTCTAACATTAAGATTAAGATTGTCCGCATGTTATATAAATGCTTGATAGACAGATCTTCAATTGAGTTTAATTATTAAAGTATTAGACATGAAAAGTAGAAAATAGCTTGTATTTTACTGCATTTGAATATTACAGTTCTATATACGTTTGATTGATTATATTGATTGATTGATTACATTTACGGCTAGTAATAGAGTGATATAAAGAAAAAATGAGATAAGTGATTAAGAAGTTTACATAATTGATGAACAAAGTAAGTAGTAATTAGTAAGTGACGTAATTTTTAATATACGTGAGGGTGGATTACGAGCAGATCATTGTTAATGATGGAATGGGTTGTGTTGGCTGATATTCATAGGGCATCCTGGATGTCGATGGAATGGGTTGTCTTGGTTGATATTCGTGTATCCTGTAGTCGGGTGTAGCCGTAGTGTAGCCTCGATTAATATTGTAATTGTAATTTTACTGCTGCATGGACGCTTGATTTCTCCGAGTTAAATTTTTAAAGACTTCATATTGGAATTCAACATAATCGTCGTCACTATACTTGTCTACAATCGGAGCAATACCTTTGAAAAAACAAATAATCTTACTCTTGTCTTAATCTTCAACTGTTTTAATTAAAGTAAGCATTTGTCGATCAACTTCTCTACAGTCTGTCTTTCTCTTCTTGCTTGTTTTTGTTCTATCGGTAGTATTGGCTGGTGCGGTAGGGTCATTATTGATTTGTGAGTAAGTTTCTTTGTTGTGAGATGTTTTTTTCTGATGTAATACTTGCCTCCGTTGTTCGGCGAGTCACAATTTTACACAAAAAGAGCATATTTGATCGTAGAATTTATATTTTCGTAGACTTTTGCACCAGAGCCGGATTTACATTTCTTAACTTTTTTGTGATATTTCATCCAGTTATCTCTCGCATTGTTCCATTTTTTATATTTTTGCCTAAAAAAGAAAAAAAATGTTACAGATATTTAGCTGCAGGGAACACATTTAGTGATCTACATTACAGTTTCAGAATGGGTATAAAAATCTTCAGCTGTATTGTACAAGAAGTATTTGAAGCATTGTGGAAAACCCTTTCTCCAATTTATATGAAACTACCATCGGAAGACGAATGGTTAACAATAGCAAAAGATTTCGAGACGAATGCAAATTTTCCTCATTGCTTGGGAGCCATTGACGGCAAACAAATTAATTCAGTTCTTATGTTATACGCTGTTTTCATTTTTCTTGATCGTTTTGAAGTAGATGCTTCTCTTGAAGGCGTAGAAGTTTCTTCGATGATGTAGAAGCTTCTTGAGTAGAAACAGGAGCCTCTTGTGAGGATGTGGAAGTTTGTTGTGGATAAATAGAAGATTCCTTATCATGACCGGTTGTATTTTCTTGAGAGTTTTCTCCAGAGATGTCTTCTATCTCAAAAGAATCATTACTTATCTGATTACTTACTTCAGTACTGCTTAAATTACCCTCAGTAACATTTGGTACAAGTTCATATTGCAAAAACCTCAATTGAGAAAAATATTGCCAATTCGAGGGTTGAATAACATTTCTCTAGAACAAGATCTAGGAGCAGGAATTTTTTTTAATTCTATGGTTAGTCCCAGAATTTTGATCGATTCGGCCATTTCGATATTGGTGCCTGCCATATGGAGTCTGGGGGTGTCGAATTTTGTCTTTTTTGTAATCAGCATAGCTTTCGTCTTTTTCGGGGAGAATTTCAATTTCAACCATATCAGGTTGTACTTCCATAGGTTTGACGAAAACGCGCCATCTTGCTCTTATAATGGCGAAAGAATTTTCAATGATACGCCTAGCACGGCTTAGCCGGTAGTTGTATATTTTATTAGGCTTATTATGGCGAACATCATTTTTGCTATACGGCCGCATTAAATATGACCTTGAAGTGAAAGCTTCATCTGCCACTACTACATGTGGTATTTGCCTTGTTCTAACGACTCTCCAAGTGCAGATTTATTGAATATTCCACCGTCACTGTTTTTTCCATATGAGCCTACATCTATAACCAAGAACTTGTATTTAGGATCCACTATTGCCAGCAGCACTATTGAATTTTCACTTTTATAATTCCAAAAATCTGGTGGCTAAACTTTCCAATATGGACCATCGAATTGAATGCCCATCATTATCTTGTTCGGTTAGGTTAGTATGCCCAGGCGCGGGGGCCCGTAAGCGGGTTTCCCCAGGTAAAAAAAAAAAAGGTTAGTATGTATATTGATATTTTTTTTAAATAACCTCATTTCCCGCAGCGCCGTGAAGAAGTGTAAAACGAAAGTGACGAAACAAGTTTGAGAGAATATTATAGTAATTATAAATAATTAATTAAAATAATTAAACCTGAGGGCCACTGCCAGTCTTTCTTTTGTGCTTATAGTCATGAAAAACTTCAAATTGAGTTTCATTCATCCGAAAATATAAATGATATCTATCACTATCTTTCAGCATTTTTTGTAAAGGGTATGATATTCACCATACATAGTTCTGTCTTGATTTATTTTATGAACCCAGTATCGTCTTCGTCGTCGACGTCTTTTTTTATTTAACTGTTTTTGTACAAAATATTTCCCCATAATCGGCAATAAATCTTCTTCAAAATCTTCATCCAACTCTTCAAATTACTATTTGTTACATATTGCAATTTATATTAACCAAAATTATATAACTAATATAAGAAATTTGTTATTTATATTGATGAAAAGATCTAAAGCAATTGTTATATTTATTTAGGCAAAGTTCTACGCGAAATTTGACGGCAAGATAGGAATGTTTTTCCTTTGCACCCCAAACAGGAAAATGCTCAAACCCATCACGTCTGACATCACAGGGCGGTAGGGTTGATGTATTTCGTTTCTTATTTTTTTTCAACTTCATCAGATAAACTTGGTCTACCTTTCTTTGTTTATCAATAGCTCAAACAAGCATAAACTTCTACTTGAAATTCGAAGTCCTTCTGTTTCATTGGCGAAAGCTGCTGCTCTTCGACTCTTCTGTACAATAACCAGCAAGTGATAAGAGCTACACCAAGGAGATGATAGAATAGCCTCAAGTACCATTTTCTGGTCCTAATTTTTATTTTATATTTCCCTAGGAACGAATGATCTTGATATCTTCTTGCTGTTTCTATTGGCTCTGGACCCACAAAAAACGAAGATAAAACGTCTGGTTTGTTATCGTACCGCATAACGTTAACAATATCTGTATTATCACGACGCCATCTTCTATTTTATTCGCCATAAAATATATCTCAACCAGTTCAATATACGCCGACCAACTGCCGTTTTTAACGTCGAATGCACTAATTTGTCCAATCATTATAATTTTTCTCAACACTGTTTTATTAATATTTACATTTATGTGAATTTTTTCCACGTTCGCCACTGATAAATTAAAGATGGTGTACTTCGCAAAACGTTTATTGAAAGACAGCTGCTCAGTGTTGCCAACTTGGTCTACAAAATATCTAACACTCTGAATAACCTCTCTGTACCTTTAAGTCTTTTATGGAAGGTATTTTGAGGCCTTTTTCTAAACGACCTTTCCGTTCCCAGCGTCTTTATTTCCGTTTTGGCTAAAAAAGCTATCAGCTTTGGCGACGTATAATATTTAACTAGAATAATTATTTGTAATTTTGATTTAATTAGCTAAGCGTACTACGATATTTGAGAGATAGCTAGGTAAGCCTCGATCCCCCATTTAGCCCCATTTGTATGGCTTATTAGGAAGGTATTGTCGTAAAAGATTTGCTAGATTTAATAGTGCTTTCTTTTAGACACGCACTGGCAGTTTTTTTTAAATATAGGGCAGATTTTATGCAAGCGATCTTGCTCTGGACTACCTGATGCGTGGAGTTATCGTTGATATGTATGAATGTAGATTTTTTGACATAATTTAGCGACATTGTCTTCATAATCAAAGGAATACCCAATTCATGTGCCATCTATTACTTTTTTTTCTATTTGAAAAAATAACACGCTTTTTATGAGGTAAAATCGAATGGTTTTATTGATAAATTAAAGTTTATGCCATTTATGTTTGAAAAACAAAAACATCGCTTGTGTGACCACCGCGGCTGCGTTTACAAGCCAACACCCGTACATCAAAATTTCATCGAATATTGCGCTTAAGGTCTAGAATTGTCCGGGGAGCATTCACATACACTTTTCCTTTCAAAAATCCCCAAAGAAAATAGTTAAGAGGTGTTAAATCTCACGATCACGGGGGCAATTCACATCGGAATTCCTTGAAATTATGCGGTCTGGAAATTTCTCGTGCAATAAGGCGATTGTTTGGCGAGATGTGTCAGCCGTTGCTCCGTCTTGTTGAAAGGTCGTCGGCATCAATACGATCCAATTTTTTAAAATTGCTATCAATGACAAACCACCACATACGCCTCTGTTATTAAATAAGTTTGATGTCCAGTAACGTTTTTTCTTCTTCTTAATTTGGATGAAACAATAATTAAGTAGAATCAAAGATACCAACGCATCCTTGCTGTCGGCCATCTCGTGAACACTGGCGGCGAAAGCGGAGCACAGAGTTTTGACGAGCATGTTACGCCGATTTTAAAACACAGCGTAACATGCTCGATGCGTAACACGCTCGATGCGAATGCTACATTACACCTCGTAACTTTGGTCAGTTCCCACCTTTAGCAGGTCGTCTCATCGTTGTAATAACGGCTGTCCTACGTATTGATCCAGCTCCACTATGGAGGCAGCTGTCGGATTTTTTACTATATCTTCTTCCACTTGTCTGTGAAATTCTGCCCAAATGCTAGATTTGGTCGTTTCTGCGCTTGGACTGGTTGTTGAGGCTGGGTTTGCTCATGCGAGATCAAATTACGAAGTTGAGTATTAATCAAATGCAAACAAACTTCATAATGTTCCTTGTTAGAAAATGCATGTTTTTTAAGTGTGCCCAGGATTGAAGCTTCAAAGCTTAATACGTTAGATTAAGCTTTCGTTGAGCTGAGTGTTTCTAATATTTATCCAGCTCCACTATGGAGGCAGCTGTCAGATTTTTTACTATATCGTTTTCCACTTGTCTGTGAAATTCTGCCCAAATGTTAGATTTGGTCGTTTCTGCGCTTGGACTGGTTTTTGAGGCTGGGTTTGCTCATGCGATATCAAATTACGAAGTTGAGTATTAATCAAATGCAAACAAACTTCATAATGTTCCTTGTTAGAAAATGCATGTTTTTTAAATAGTGTGCCCAGGATTGAAGCTTCAAAGCGTTGATTTGTTGCCCGAGTGTTTCTAATAAAAATTGTCAGCGAGCGGGATTCATGTTGATAAGGGAATTTATTACGTGGTTTATCATTAATCTTACAAAAATAATAGGGTTTGATATAGATACTATCTATAGCGGCGAAGACAAAGAAAAGTAGGCCGAGGGGCAAGTGGATTTGCGGCGTAAAAATATGGAAACACCACTCACCTATAGTCCTCCGTCTCCTCACCTGTCTCCGTGGGAGAAGACCACAAATAAAACTGTACGCACAAGAAGCGAAGAAGCGCAAGCGTGACCTCGCGTCGGCGGTTAAGTCTTTTCTGAAGCGCGGGAGCATGTAGAATGGTCCCCTCCTCCTACACTTGAATACAGCAAAAGAGACAGAGTCGTGTTAAGTTAATGGGTGCGGTAAGGACAGAAAATGTGACCAGAGAGGATTAATCTGGATGGCGTGAACACTATCTGTTCAGTGTTTAGTTCGGTGGTAATTTCATTCACTTTTAAAATGTTGCAAGTTTCCTGTAGCATTTTCTTATCATTCGGTGTATTTAGCTTCGGTTGTTCTATTGCTAGTGTACTCACAACGGTGTCTTTAATATTTAAAATGCGTTTGAGCATATCGTAGGTCGTTCCATCTTGTGACTGCACTTTGTTTTAATTTTAGAGGGAAGTTCCAATTGAGCTTTCGTTGCTTTCAGTTTATGATCAGCGTAGGAGCTATGTTTGAAGTACTGTACTGTACTTTAACTTTTTCTAACTCTCCTGAATGGTGGCCAGACTATGAAAAATTACCAGAATATCGTGGGCAAAACACGAAAAGTGACGCCTCGTCGTTGAGCGTACTGTTACGCGGAACAATAATGGGATCTTTAAAAAAAAAGATTTAATGATTTCTATATAGGTAACTTAGAATACAAAGAAAGTAGTATAAAATATGAGCACGTCTGCTCGGATAAGAGTTAGGAGATCGACTGACTGGATGTGAGGTTGTTGATGCATGGGAAGAAATGATGACAAGGATATAACACGGTATGTCAGCAATATAGAATGCATTGAGGAGTTGTAACAGTACGACTGCTAGTATATTAGCTGCATTGTCTGTAATGACAGCAGTAATTTTATTACTAAGCCCCCATTTCAACACATCTATTTGTAGAAAATTCAGTAAGTTTTCTTTTGTTTTCCGCTCATGGAATACGGTACATCCCAATCAAAGGGATTTAAGTTCTTTCATCGATGAAATGTGCTGTAAGTAACATGAAACTCACATTACTCTTTGATGTCCAGCCGTCCGTTGTTGAGCAGAAAGCTTCGACAGATGATAATTGGAGTAAAACGTTTTGTTTGATAGAATTTTGGTATTAGACTATTGGATATAGTGTTGCGAGTGGGTATTGAATAAGTTGGCATATAAGTTGGTATTATTTTAAATTCGTCTTCTTCTACAATGGAAAATGCGTGAATACCTTTGACAATAAATTTGACAATCTGCTCATCTAGCTGTTTTCAGCCAACAGAAACACATGAACTGTGAAAATTTCAAATTTCAACAATAGACAGACGCACAATACAGAAATATATATATATATATAACATTGTGGGCCAATTACAAATCTTTACATATGGTTTTTTTTTCATAAAACAAGAAGGTAAACATGCCAAATATTTTTAGTGTAAAACGAAACAGAAAAAACAGAATTTAATTAGTTGACAATGAAAGGTTATTTATTTATTTATTTATTCAGAAGATTCACAGCACAATACAGAAGTAGATGTATATATATATAACATTATGGGCCAATTAAAAATCTTCACATATAGTTTTTTTTTTACAACAAGAAGGTATACATGCCAAATATTTTTTAGTTTATAATACAAAAAAAGAAAAAAAACAGAATCTAAATCGCAATGCACTTCATTCATCATGGTTGAAATAATTTTGTGTCAAAGCTTTCCTTGCTGTCCTCACACTCTCAGCAAACATATCAATGTCAATCGTTAAGTCATTAAATTTGTTCGCCGCTCTAACCATAAAGTTGCTCCCTCTATAATTTGTGTTTACTCTGGGTACATGCAATAGGTTCATGATTCTAATTGTTTTGTTATATGTTCGAAGTTTTATTTTGCTTACTAGCTCGGTACAATCGACCGCACCAGTAGCATTTTTCATAAGGTAGATAGTGTTCGCAATACCACGTCGTAATGATAATGGTTACATGTGAAAATTTTTACATCGGGCTCTAGTCAGGCAGCAAAATTTTGGCCTTGTATTGCAAGTGTTTAACATTTTTTTTTTATATTTTCTTCTAGCCAGTATCTTGCAATGTTTGACCCAAACAAATTTCAGTCCATCTCTTTTGCGGTTTTTTTTTGCTGTGTTTAAAAAAGATTTGTTATTTGAAGTAAGGTGGTAATTCACATAAATTTTGCTTGACCCACGTAAACCCAAGATATCTTTGTTGAAGGTTCTGACAGCAGCCACAAAGTCCTCCTTGACATATCTATTATTGAAACTCGCAATTATGGACTTCGTGCTGTTCGAGTCTCGAGATGGAGTGCGGGCTACAAAGTTAAGCTGTTGCTTTGTTATATGATAATTTACTTTCGAACCAATGCTTATTACCAGGTCAAGCAGGTTCTCATTAACTGAATGTGGTATTCCCAACATTTTATTATAACTGTTTTGTTTTTATGGTGTACGTTTTTACTATCCCATATAGCCGGTTTTGATAAAATGAAAGATATTAACTCTTCATTGTCAATTTCCATAATTTCCATATTCGCGCGAGCGGCGAAACCAAACTAGTTTGTTCTCGTCGCTCCGCGCCGCCACTGCCCTACCGCCGCCCGTGCATTGCTCGATCGCGCCGCTCCGAGGTCACTCCGGCCGTCGCAAGTTTCGTACCCGCAGACTTAGTGTGCGTCCACACTGAATGCGCGGTGACTTGAGCCTGAGGCGGGCGCGGCGAGCGGGGGCGTGCGGTGGCCACAGTAACGCGCGAGCTCTTGTAGCGGTTTGACGTATATCAGGTGTCGCAAACTATGGACGAGGATTTGCTTGTTTTACTAGACAGTCCAATCCTGAGATGGGAGGTGTTGAACACTAGAGATGGTGTGCATGAAATAAATAAAAACAGAGGAATAACTGGTGAAGTTTTTAACTTATATCAAGAACTGAGATTATACCCTACAAAATTCTTTGAGTACACTCGAATGCCCTTGTCAACATTTGACTACATACTAAGTAAAATATCACCTAAAATCACCAAAGAAGATACTAACTTTCGCAAAAGTATTAGACCTGAGGAGAAATTGTTCATAACTCTGAGGTAAGAATAAATCATGATTTTACTTAGTTTTGTATTTATATGTAGATATTGTAAGTAGTAATTACACAAACAGGTAAGTAAAAAGTTTTAATAATCAAATTAATAATTAGGGTAGTTGCCATTAATATATCCTCCATAATTTTCTTCGTATCTCGGTTGAGAAAACTGCATTCTTTCTGCCTCATCTATTATGATTTGGGTAATTTTATTTCGAATGCGTAACTTTTGTAATTCACCAAACTTTTTCATTTGTGGTAGGAGACTCATAAAAAAATTATAATCATCACATTTCTCCGACTGGTCACTATTTGACGCCATTTTCTGTTCAATTAGCAAAATTTTTTTTCTTTCGCATTCTATAAGTTCATCTCTATAATCTGATGCCGTTTTGTTGCGCTTTAACGCGTTTGTGTGACTGCTGCAGGTTGATGTACCTGGACTCATCACGTCAGCAATGTTCGATTGCTCAGTTTGACAAGACTCGTTGAGGGATTCCGAATCACTGTCATGCAGATTTCCCGTCATGACTTCGGGTGTAATGTCATCGTTTATGAATTGCATAAGTTGAAAGTATGGCCATGTGCTCTCTATTTCATCGCCACCGTCACCAGAGCGCGGCGTAGGGAATTTCTTTTTTTCTTTTCGATACTGATCGCGCAGATTCTTCCACTTCTTACGCAGTTGTTTTTCTGTAACAGTCATAATATTTTATTCTACTTTTTATTTCAGGTTTTTGTCAACAGGAACTGCATTTAGAGCATTAGCTTATAGTTTTTGTATGGGGAAAAGTACCATTGCGTCTATAGTGCACGAAACATGCCGTGTTTTATGGACTGAGTTAGTTCCTATTCATATGCCGATACCAACAGAACAACGCCTGAAAGCTATTGCAGAAGACTTTGAAGCTACCTGGAATTTCCCACACTGCATCGGAGCAATTGATGGGAAACATTGTGAAATAAAAAAACCACCTAAATCTGGATCAGCACATTGGTGCTATAAAAAAAGAAATAGCATTGTCATGCAAGCTGTGGCTGACGCAAAAAGGAAATTTGTGGCAGTCGAAGTAGGCGGTCGAGGAAAGCAAAGTGATGGTGGTACTTTTATTGCATCAACGCTGTATAAGCTTATAGAAAAAAATAAATATAAAATTCCTATGCCCAAGAGACTTCCAAATTCTGACGTCATTGCACCCTACGTCCTAGTGGGTGATGAAGCTTATCCGTTAAAACATTATTTAATGCGTCCTTATCCCGAGCGAGTACTTAATAATGAAAGAAAATGTTTTAATATCAGATTGTCTACCGCTAGACAAACAATCGAATGCGCATTTGGCATTTTAACTTGTAAATGGAGAATACTACTTAAACCTATCGAAACAAACAGACAAAATGCCTTGTCTATAATAAAAGCTGCGTGTATACTGCACAATGTAATAATGGATTTAAACGGCGATCTCGATCTGGATGTCCAACGTGTGTTAGCTAATTCGCCATTATATGAAAATCATCAAAGAAACTGCGGAGTCAATAATAATCCATCACGGAGAGCAAAAAATGTTCGTATAAAATTCACAAACTATTTCTGGGAACAATACCAAAGAATGTAATAACTATAGGTATATTATATTAAACTTACCTTCACTTTCAGGAAATTGTTCTTTTATTTCACTCCATAACTTTCTTGTTATTATGCGATTATTGTGGTGTGGATGTTTGCTTTGCCATATAGGTGGTTTAGATTGAATCGCACTTATAAACAGTTCAGTATTTACCGCCATTTTACGACAAACAAATATAGACGCGCATAGGCCGAGCGACAAGACCGAACTGGTTTGTTACCCCCGCCACCCGCGCATTGGGTCGCTCGCTGACTAGGCCCGTAGTGAGGCCAGAACGCGCGGACAGGAGCGTTCGAAAACTACGCGCGCTGTCTCGCTCAGTCCCGTCGCGCTAGGCTTCCGCCTCAGTCACTACAATGTGGACGTAAAGGCGCGTTTCATATGTTTGATACTTCGCGCCCGTCGTCGCGACCGCGCTAGACTCGCAGTGTGGACGTACACTTAGGGTGAGATCTATAGTGCGCACTTGGACTTTGCTCAGACTTACCTTACGAAAAACTTTGCTTAGTGTACACTAAGGTTAAACTATGATTTCGTATTTATAGACATTTTAACGGTGAGATTAAGCTAAGCCCAAGCTAAGACAGAAAATGTCAAAATACAAATTGATGTTTCATTTCATGCAATACTTTGTTTATTATCCTTTAAAAAAGTTAACAATAACAAATATTTAAAAATCTAAAACGGTACACATATATCTTCAATTTATTGTTATTTATGTATTCATTTATTTTATTATTGCAATAACTAGAAATTCACGAGTAACCTTTTGAAAATGTATTAATTATTTAAAGATGACAATAATTTTATTACGTAGAACGGATCGCAATGTTTTGGTTAGGTTATAGTTTGAATTTCGTTGTCACTATAATATGCCAATTGCCAGGGCTGCCAGGTGACATACAAAATCACACCAGTTATTTTTAAGATTTCTCAAAAATGGAGTTTGAACAATTACATAAATAATATAAATAAACAACAATAAATACCATAATAATGTGTAATTATTTTATTTCATGCATTTCATAGGTATTTATCAAGATCATTTATAATTTCTTTGAATTCAAATTCTATTTTTCCCAAAGTCTATGGAACTCCGATACAAAATGGCAACACCGTTCATTAAAAACCGACAAAAATAAAAAGTCCAGTAAAAGATATGATGGTAAAAGCAAATTTTGGGCCATTATTTTTGTTAGGCTTATAGTCAAAGTTTTTGGTAAGTCGTCGATTTCGTGGACTTGAGATTAAGCTAAGCCAACACTAGGGAGAGATTCGTAGTTTGCTCTATAAATACCGACTGTGTCTTAGCTCGATAGTTAAGTCAGAGCAAAGTCTAAGTGCGCACTATAGATCTCACCCTTAGACTTAGCTCAAACTTGACTAATGTTTGCAGCTAGGACTACGGTCAAAATTTACAAATACCAGTAATATAATATTATAGCTTGTGCTGTATTGGATAATATAGGTATACAGAGAGGGGATGCTAATGACGATGGTGATCTTGCTGATCAGACACCAGAAGTTGAAGAACACAGAAACAATTAAAGATCTCCTAGCATTCCAGCAATCTGTGATTACAAAATTTAACTATGTAATTTGTTTTGGTAATAAAGAAAATCAAAACAAAACTTGTTTCATTTTAATCATTTATTTTCTGATTCTTTTTTTAACTGTAAAATTTCTAATTTTAATTTATATTTTTGTTTAAAAAATTCTATTTCTAACTGATTTTTTAATTTCATGTTCCACTTCTTTCTCAAATTTTTTTGGTTGTCCATCACTTTTTAAAATGTCTTCAAATGAAGTTTTATTTTTTCTGCTTGCAGATTGTGTAGCTGATAGCTGATAGGGTTCACTTTCAGTGGTGAGCTCAACATTGGTTTCTGTCAACCCAGCTTCTTCAGCCCAGTCCTGGCTTGTTCCCGGCTGATTTACATATTCAAGTGTGGCCTCTATACTGGACACTCTTGCCCTCTTTGGTCTCCAGCTTTCATCGTCATTGTCATAACCAGTACCAGCTAGAAAAGTAAACAGTCTAATAAGTTATCATGTAGGTATGTCTTTTATTGGTTAGAATAAGATATCATGCAGGTCAACTAATATACCTGTCCAGAAGTCTGGTAGGGGTGAGAACAGAGTGTTGTCACATACTTTGGGAGAGACCTATGTTTAGCAGTGGATGTGAGTTGGTTGAAAATGATGAGGAATTATATCTTTGGGAAATGATCTTACCTTCTGCTATAGTTAATGTGTCACAGTCTATTGGTACATCTATTGACGGCATTATATGTGGCATGACTGCAATCACTTGGGTGTCCATTTCAGGCGGTGCTGGTCCTCCTCCTGTCCTCTTCCTTTGGGCTTCAACGGTTTTGGCATCCCTAGCTTTTGCCTTAATTTTTTGCCAAATCTTAATTGTTTAGAATCAGCCTGAAATCGGAAAAAAATGTACGTAAATTTTTATCAAACCAAAGAGAGAAAAGTTCACATCTTTGGACCTAGATGGCGCTGTATCCATTTGCTCGTTACTAGCTTCCATAGTCTTCTTACGCTTTCTACATTCCTCTAAGACGTGACCTAATTTCTTGCATAAATTACACCGGACCACCTTTATTGTGCGTGTCGGGGCTGTGGCCTCAGCTTTAGTTCTCAACAAATTGTTGTAGTCCCTCTTTTTCAACACAAGAAAGGGGTATATTATCCTTAATGATCATGTAGACTAAACTTTGGGTGATTGCAATATGGCGCTCTCCTCCATCTATAATTTAAAAAAATATTAATTAACAAGTTCAAGTATAAAAATGTATATGTACAATAACAAATTCAAATATATTACCATCATAACTTGCACTTTTTTTTAATAATTGCAAAACCGTTTGTTGTTTTAACTTCGGTGATCTTAAAAAGACCGAAATATTGTCTAAGCTTTGAGTATCCTCCTCTTGGTGATTAACCTAATACATGAATTTTGAGATTTTAGACTTATACTTATATAGAACATGATTGTAAATCTACACTTTCTTTCTTTCTTTTAGTGCCTCTCCATTACTGGAGGTTGGCCGTCAGTATCTTGAAGCGTGTCTTGTCCTGTGCCAGATGCAGCAACTCTTCCGCAGTTGCAATACCTGTCCATTCTCTACCGTTGCGAAGCCATGATTTCTTCCTTCTACTAACACGCCGTTTACCCTGGATATTACCCATTATAATTAATTGAAGGAGGTGGTAGCGGTCATGGCGCAACACGTGGCCCAGGTACGCAACCTTCCGTTGTTTAATGTTTGCAGAACATTAAACAACGGAAAGTTGCGTACCTCTCTAAATCTACACTAATATACTGCAAAAAACATAATACCTGACTAACTAGACCCTCTTGGTTGTCAGAGAAGCTGTTACTCTCAGTAAGTCCAGTATTTGGTCTCGATAATGGTAACAGCGCTATCGACATATTATTAATTTTTCCGTCTGCTTTATCTGTAGCTGTATTAATATTTGTCTTTTTTTATAGTAAGTTGGGCATGATGATGTTTCGTTTTTAAGTGGCTAAATTGGTTGTATTTCCGCTGCTTTTTTAATGTTTCCCGCATAAGTTGCAAGAAACATTTCTTGCATCAACTTTTTAAGTGGCAAATTACATCTAAATTGCCTTCATTTAATTCTGGGGCAACGTCATCTTTTACAAACTGCATCGTTTTAAAATATGGCCACTTTGAAGTGTTTTGATCAGTTAGATTAACTATCCTCAGGTAGATGAAATCCTTCATAAGCTCAGAACAAGCAGAGAAAAGGCATCAACATAGAACTTCATTGGATTAAGGCCCACATTGGTATACCGGGAAATGAGAGAGCGGACGCCTTAGCAAAGGAGGCGGCGGAAACATTGGGGATGAAAGTGGATTACGTAAAGATACCACTTTCTTACATCAGGAAAGATGTTAGACAGAAAACTATATCGGACTGGGACAAACGGTACAAAGATGCCCATACCGCTAAAACAACAAAATTCTTTATAATAGTATTAACAGACGATCAAACTTGGTACGGGCCGGATAGCGGATTGGTAGGGCGTACAAAATCCGCTACTCACAACACACGGCCGGATCTCGCAGTAACCGCGTGGCGTGTACACAGTTCAGACGTCATGCCTCCGACGTTATCCAAGCGCGCTAAAATTACGATTGTTGTTGCGGCAACAGTAATGCCACCACCAATATCACGAAAAAAAAGGAGTTGGGCAAAAACATATTTAAAAAACCGTGATGAATTTAGTCACATGAAGTTAATCAAATCGCTCGATTGCGAAGACTTCCGTATATACTTGCGACTAGATCACGAAACCTTTGAGGAACGAACGACGAACTCTTAAATTTGGTTAAACCTCTAATCACGAAAACTGATACCGTGATGAGGAAAGCTGTTACTGCTGAAGAGCGACTTATTGCAACGAAAAAAAGAGTCGCCCCTATATGACTAGAAATTGTGTTGATTTCGAAGATGTCGAACAACACACCTTCCGACCAGGAGATTGGCGACAACACGATATCTCCATCGGTCTTCGTAGTGAAAGGGAGCGCACAGAAGTTGGGAGACAAGTTCGGCAAATATTTACTGATCACTTTAATGGCGAAGGTCGTGTTGATATTCAAGAAAGGATGATAAATGTGTTGAATATTTAAAAACTTACAATTCTCTCGCTGCCGCTGTCACAGTCGTCATAATTGTCTACTCCTTGTACCGCTGGATTCTGTTTTGCGTGTAAAAACGTAAAATATTGATAATACCACAAGGATGGTGTGTAAATGTCTTCTGTCCCGGCACCACTAGATATACTCTTCTCTACCTGCAATTAAAAAAACACAAATCTTAATTTTTGTACCTACTGTCATAATATAAATAATAAATGAAAAATACTAAAATGAAAGACTGATTTAACTAACGTTTTTCCTCTCTCGTCTGTACGCGGCTCTCATATTCTCTATTTTCTTTTTCACATCATTTACAGTGATACTTCTATCAAACCTTGAATGACAATCCCGAAAAATCTGTAGAGCTTGATTACGAGCATCTCTGTTGCAATACAATGCATGTGATGTATCCCACAAGCACGAAAAGTCTTTATACAGTGCCAAAACATCGACAAGGACTTCGCGTTCTGTTAAAATCTCTTTGATTGAGAGTATTTGATAACAAATACGAGGTCGTTCACTTGAAAAGCACGGGTGGGATGCTGCCTTTTATTAACATACTCATCTTGTCGCCTCTGATTTTGTTTAAGGCGTTCGGCTGTCCTTTGTCTGTCAAGCTCTCGCAGGGACTGTCTGACAGAACTCGAACAGTCTACAGTGACATCGCGAACCAAAGCTTGTATTGCAGGAGTAGTGCCCTCGGTACCTACTAAGAGGTTCAACGGAGATGCTTGAGTAGTCTTCTGTCGAGTGATATTGAGATACAAAAGACAGTATTTGGAGAAGGCATCAACCACCACCATGACGTGCTTATAACCGTTCGACTCTTGCAATGGGCCTAACATATCCATATGAAGGGTATGAAAAGCAACATCTGGTTTAGTCCACGAAGTGATAGGCTGTAACGGAGCTCGCGGAACTCTTTTATTGGAAATACAGGTTAAACAATGTCCTACATATTTTTAACGCATATTAGGAAACCAGAAATGTTTTAATATTAGTTCTGTCGTTTTATATACCCCTATATGGCAATTTTCATCATGAAAGATTCTCAGTAAACTAAGCCGATGCCCTTTTGGTATATAACAAAGTAAGCGTGATTGTTCCCCTACCGGTGAGTAACGATAGTAAAGAATATCATTGTTTTTAAAATATCGGCTCGCATCTAGTTGGCCATCATCCAATTGATCAATTAACTATCGCGTTTCTTCATCACCTGATTGCGCAATCTGTGCCCAATTACGCGGCTTATCAATGCTATTCACAATACGGATAGGATTGCTGAGGTAATCTGCATGGGGCATCAAAACACCTTTACGGTAAACAATGGTGAACGTAAAATCTTTTAGATATACCCACCACCTCGCTACCCGGGGTAACAGTTCCTTCTTATTTTGTGTAGCTTTTAGGGCATTGCAATCAGAAACAACTTTGAACTCTATACCAATACGATAGTGGCGAAAGTGACGCAACGCTCTTACCACAGCTAATGTTTCCAATTCATAGGAGTGGTACCGTACCTCCAGCCCAGTCGTTACTTGGCTGTAGTAGGCAACCACACTTTTACTACCGTCTCTATGAATTTGTAATAGGACAACACCGTAACCCTGGCTACTAGCGTCTGTATGGACCTCGGTCAACAAAGTAGGATTGAATATGGCAAGAACCGGCTCGCTGGTTAAGCACTTAATGATATCAGCACGAGCTCGTTTCTGTTCCTCGCCCCATTTGAATTCGAAATCTTTTTTAGTTAATCGCGAAATACACGTGGTTTTAAAAGCATAATTTTCAACGTACTTTCTAAAATAGCCTGCCAATCCTAAGAACTGCCTAACCTGACGAACATTTTTAGGTTCCGGAGAATTTATTAATGCCGCTATTTTAGATTTAGATGGACGAACCTCACCGTTAGTGATTGTGCGTCCTAAGTACTCTACTTCGGTGTTTAAAAACGAAAATTTTTTCATATTTAACGAGAACCCAGCATCCGTTAAAGTCTGTAGAACATGACGTAAGATGTGTAAACCGGCATCAACGCTTTCGCTTATCAATAAAACGTCATAAATGTACACTACTACCGTACCATTATTTATAAAAGATCGCAGCGTATCACTAATGATACGCTGAAAAACTACAGGCGCATTTGTTGTCTCATTATAGAATGTCCTGTATTCGGAGCCTGCAGGTGCGATCTCGAGCAACAAATCGATATAAAGGTAACAACCGAGCATTTACCGGATATATTAAGAAACTTCAGATCGCAACTGGAAGATTTCTGCAGTAAGGTGGTGAGATGTGTCACTCGCTGCTAAAAGAGCGTAGCAGAGGTGAGACGGGCCCCCACTAGCCCATGAATATAAAATAGAAATATGTATTTTTATGTATGGATATATATTATATACATATTAGGAAATTTCTTAATGTATGTATGTATATGTTTGTACTAAATATATGTATTATAATAAACAAACAATTAGATTTAAAAAAAAAGAAACATTTATTAATTTTAAGCACACTTATAATGTCTAATATTTATGCTTGAAGCTAAACACGAATGTCTATGGACAAATGCCACCCTTGCGCCTCCCAGCTTACAGTATAAAATAAGGTCCCGCACTACAAGAGTCGGGGATATTAGGAAATTTAAAAAAAAAATACCATCTTCCAATTTAATCAAATGATAACTAAGTAGCATTAAAAAAAGTATGTAAAACGATGTTCCTGAATACTTTTTCCGTAAGTAATGATTTTGTTTATACTGCCCTACAAAAAAAACATGAATCAACTGATTTTGATACTTTTATTGATGGCAGAGTTCGCCATAAACATCACCGTAGAGTAGTTACAGACGAAATTAAACAAACCGTTTTAGATCACGTTAATTCTTTTGCACCGATGGAATCACACAATGTTAGAAAAAATTCAAGCATCAAATATTTAGATCCCTCATTATCATTTTCAAAAATATTTAACATGAATTCAGAATGGTGTACTGAAAATGGTTATAATAGTAAAGTGCAGACTGTAAGGCAATATAAAGATATAGTAAATTATAATATGAAGATTGGCTTTCATGTTCCTATATACGAAAACCATCAGTAGGAGAAGGAATATGCTCGAATGCTAAAGCTGGAAAACAAATTAAAAGCTGGTAATGACAACAAAGCATGCATTGTTTTCGATTTCCAGAAAGCGCACCGCATGGAAATATCAGTATTTACTATCATAAGCGAAAACATAATGTGTATAATTATTGCTATATGTGGGATGAACTGATTGCAAAAAGAGGGCCTTATGAGGTAGCAAGTTGTCTTTACGATTTCATGTGCAAATTGGCTTCAAAAGGAGTGACTGAAGTCTATTCAAAACCTTGTACTGTTGGTTGCAAGTAAACTGAAAATTAAAGTTTGCCATCGGTTCTTGGAAAAAGATCAAACGCAAAATTAAGGCGATTCGGTTCATGACTTGATTGAAAAATCGGCGAAAGGTAAAGATTTATTCGCCAGATGAGTGGTATTCGTTAGTTCGATGGGCCAAAACAAACGGAAAGCCTTATACTGTTATAGAGCTTAAGCAAGATATGATTCTAGACTTTAAAAAAGGCATTGTTGCAAAAAATTGGACCAAGAACTTTAGTAAAGTTAAAGTTTCTTGGAATAAAATGAAAGAGATCGAAGCTTCTCCAGAGAGTGAAGGAGTTTGAGCTATAAATAAAGCTTAGGTGATGAAGAAAGGCAGCAGATTGAATGCTTCAAAAAATTGGGTACATGACGGGGTCGTCTGGAGCTTTTGCCACAAAAGGCATATGAAAATGTTTTGCTAATTACCAAAGCTAAGTACAAGGATTTATAGTATATTTGTTAAATATGTATCAAAATAATGCTTCTGTTCTACTAGCGACATCTAGTTGAATATAAAGAAAGGACTGCTTTATGGGTCTATGAATGATCGAATAAAACTAGTCTGTGATGAGCACTTGTAGTTTCAATAGGTTATGGGCCCAGATACTGCGTCTATTGGCTGGAAGTTATATTGTGAATGTTCAAAAACTTATAGACCAGGGTAGAAGCCTTTAAAAATAATAAAAACTGGAAAAAAAATAGTAGGATAAAACCTATTGGAAAAGGAGTAGAATATTATAAAAATTAAAGGAAAAAATATTCACGGGCGATCTGAAAGTTGGCAGAACTGTAGAAACGTCATCTCGATCTGTTAAACAGATTAAATGCTATAGATGTAAACAAACTGGCCATCATAAAAACCAATGTCCACAAATTAAGGAAAAACAAGTAAATGCTTTCAGTGCAGTTCTAAATGGCAGTTTTGATAAACGTGAATGGTACATCAACTCCGGTGCAAGTAGCCACATGATGATCAGCCAAAAAAACATAAATAATATATCACATAACCTCACTACAAAGGAGATTATAGTTGCAAATAGAACAACTATACCAGTGTTGTGCTTAGGAGATACACAGATCACAACAGTTGTGAACAATAAGAAATATGATATTGTTGTTAAGGATGTGTTATGTAAGTCTTTAACACTGGTGCAAAAACTACATTATCTGAAAAGTAATTTATCGGGTGATTCAGAACTATTAATACGCAACTTTTCGACTACGGACGCACGATGAGTCGTGGAACCAGTTACTGAAACGCTATAATAATAAACAATTGAATTCCTATGCAATTTTAAGAACATTATTTACACAGAAGGATATACGGAGACATCGAGTTCAATCAAACAATTGGTAGACACTACGTCGGTATGCTTAAAAACATTGCAAAATCTCGGTGTGAAAACCGACACTTGGGATATAATTATTAACTATTTAGTAATATCAAAGATGGACCATGAATCAATTAAGAGATGGGAACAACAACTTAGTTTGAGTAATACCGAATTACCTACGTGGACAGAACTGCGGGATTTTCTAGAAGCTAGATTTCGATCGTTAGAAATGATAGTCACAGAGTAAAATCACCATACCTTATGCCGTATAAGGCGGATGCCTTAACTCACGACCTCTGACTGTATTAAGTGACAACCCTAATGATCCTCTCTCACTGACGACATTTTTTGATCGGCGAGCCTGTGCTAAATGTAGCTGACCAAAGTCATGCTTATGTAGACATCAGTCGCGATCTTTGGCGGTTAACACAAAAAATGGTCACTGACTTCTGGAACCGATGGCCTAAGGAATATCTTTGTAATTCTAAACAATAGGTACAAATGGAATGTTAAAAATAACTCGGAACCGATACAAAATTAAGAAAAAAATCATTAACCTATAATATAAATACTTAATTATTCAATGAGAATTTTAAGGTTTTTATTCAGCTCCCTCATTTCAGCAATTCTCACCTCCTCTGTTTTAAGCTTATCTGTTTAGCCGCGTCCATACCGAACGATCCATCGCGATCCGATCGCGCGCGGCTTGGGCACGATCCAAATGTGCAGGCGGTGTGGACGGTACGCGTGCGATCCATGCGCGCGGCGGGGAGCGCGCGCTCCACACCGCGTGCGATCCATTTGTTCTCGCTCAAAGGGGCCTCAGTCACTTGCCGCGCGCGGTGTGGACGGTTGTGATTTGAATCGCGAGATCCAACGTTATGGATAATTCGCTATGTATTCTTTTAATATCCCTTTATAGGAAAAATAAATACTTATGGGATCCTAATGATATTACAACGATGAACAAAAGTCAAATTGATCTGCAGACAAAGTTCACCCGATTCAGTATGGATCCGCTGGAGCGTGTTGGATCAGCCAGTCAGGATCGCAAAAGATTGCTGTTTGATCGGCCTAGTACGATCCACGCTCCACGCTCCACGCAGCTTGGATCGCGGGATCACTGATCCATTTGGGATCGTTCGGTGGATTGTCTCAATAATTCTTGCATCACCTGTTGATATGGGCGTGGTATTTATATATATATTTCCTATGCATTGTTCTGAAGCTGAAAATTTAAGTTGTAGGTTATTTAATAATACCTCTAAAAATACTTCTATTTAAAATATACTAACATAATGGTTCACAATATGCATCATCTTCTATAACATTATATTCACTCTCATTGTTAAAATCCGAAAAAATCCGTTCCGAAGGCACAGAAGATGCTGGAATACACAGATAGAGCATCGCTAATTCCTTTAATTTATTGTTAGTCTATCTCCAGTATGTTATAGGACTCTCTTTCCTGTCAATTACTGGCTTCTCCAGATATTGCCTGACATCTACCAATGCGTTACTTTAAGGGATCGATACGTCCGGAACGTCTAGGAACCCCAACAGGTCATCAGGTGTTCCTGAAGACGTGGATGGTGTTGGTTGTTGCGTTTCTTCGGCACCAAGCGTTCTTTAGATAAATGGCTAGCATAGGCTAGCCACTGAACAGCTTCTTGAATCGGGGGTCCAATATTGTAGCCAGTACAACAGGTGTCCTGTTTTCATACGGACTTAGTCTTTTGTCAACTGATCCCTTCACGCAGAGTAATATTTTCTTTCCGCTTTCAGTAACAATTTGAAATTCAACTTCTGCCAATTTCGTTTTTATTCCACGAATCAATGGTATTACCAGTGACAATGTTATATAGCTTTGGCCGGAAATTTTTGGCGTAGCTAGATCGAAAGGTTCCAGAATCTGAATTGTTTCTTGAATAATTAGGTATTCGTCAGCATTGACTCCTGGTGGAGCCCGATTACATTCATTAAGTGCGAGAGTTAATTCTGCCTTCATTGTAACAAGTCTGCAACATGTGATATGCGCTGTTCCAGCGGGTAGGCACTTCCTGGATCACTCTCAGTTCTGCTTTATTTAATACACGTTGAATAGCTCGTAATTTATCGCTAGCTAGAGTACTCATCTTGAAAAATGTCACAATCGATTTACATTTTTTTTTAAATCTGGTCTAAGCAGGTCACAGCAAAAAAAAATAAAAACACTATCTCATGTGGTGTTTCCAGTAGCACATATAATATTAATAGTAGTACCATAATATTATACTAACCTGTTTGAATCATAGGTCTCCTATTATTTGCTGCATCTTTTTTAGCTACCTTTTTCATACACTCCCACTGGGCTTTTAGGTTTTCTGCTGTAACAAAGCAGTGGCTTGTTCGGCTATTATACTGGTCTGCAAGAAGTTGCCACTGAGCTAATTTGGATTTTACAATAACTCCATCGGTTTTTTTATTTTCTATTATATTAAAATGAAATTCAATAAGGCTCAACAGAAATTCCTTTTCAGACGATAGCCAATTAGGACTGCGTTTACGCTTATCCTCACTCATTTCCACTTGCGAACGAAAAAATATAAAAGATAAAACCACACGACAAATCTCGATAATTCCCAAACAAATAAATTGGACCAGGTGACCAATGGAGACCTATTGAGATCACCCATAATTAGTATTTTATTATCTGACGAAAATAGGGCGTGTGCTAGATGCTGAATCTCTTTATTGCTTGTTCTTTGGTATTTCCTACACCTACTTGCTTAATGGTATCTTTACTTCGCTTTAGTGGTAGTTGAACAATATATTTACCGTCAATGTCTCTTTGGGTTGTGCTTGAGTAAATTCTTTCACATTCTTCTTCTTCGTTTGTGTATATAACTTTCTTCTTAAATAAATCTTTATCAATTTCCCAAAAAGATTTCAGTAAATCATTTTCTTCTTTAATATGCATACTTGTAATATTTATGTGATAGTTGGAGCATAGGGTTTTCCCAGACAGTATCCAACCAAGACTATAATTTTGAGCTACTAAACCGCATTCAAGTCGGATTCCCATCTTCTATTATTTTTGCAAAATCACCAGCACCCAATAATAAATCAATTCGACTTGGCATAAAACAGGTAGGGTCAGCCAACTCAATATTTAATAAATCACTTTTCTTAATAATTACTTTCTTCGCAGGTATTCACAAATTATATCTTTATGCGAAAACGACAAATCAATGCATCAAAAACCTGTTCCTTATCTAAACAATGCAGCCGACTGCCGAGCTCACTATTGTTTTGCACTTTTACTTTATCCGGCTCGGATTATCGACCAAATGTTCGATCACTTAATATTAAATTTAAAAATAAACACGTCTCTTCACTTCATTTATTGCAACTCAATGACTAACCAGGGCGTTTCAGTCACTAGGGAGCAAGGGCATATTGGGTGACTGGTAAACGGAATATATGGTAATTTTGCCGTGGTTAAAATAAAGGGATATTCCTATGGCCTCTAAGTTAAGGGTTGGCGGAGTTAAAACAAGATCGTGTTCTAAATCGGCTCTAACCAAGATAGAAACACCCTGACCAGAGCATCGGCACGCCCATCGAGCCGATAGCAGGAAAAGCCTGGAATCTGAAGAGTAAGCCGCTTTGTTAATCTAGTTTCGTTGAGTGCGATGATGTCAACGTTGAGATCTCTTACCGCCAGTTCAGCTAGTTCCTGCTGCTTTTTGTGAATACCATCAGCATTCCAATAAAATACACGTAGTTCATTGATGTTAAACATAATGACCAAGGTGAGACAGAATTAAGATTACTTTGTCCATGAAAGTATCACATTTAATGAAGTACTTCTTTAGGGTTTTGATAGTTGAGAGAATTTGAAGCATTTCACTCGTCGTCGTGTCTTGAGCTATGGTTGTGCGGTCCTCACTCGGTGGGGCAGTCCTTGGAGGCACAAGCGATGGCAATGGTTGAGAATCATGGCACTTTGGAGCCACTGCTGCCTGGACGGGAAACATTTGGGAGGGCACGCTATACTTGGTAGCCGCGTGGGTTGATTTCAAGATGGCGTTGCGAAACGAATCTCTCTTGGTCTTGATACGTTCAAGGTACTTAACCCGCTCCTTGCACAGCGAGTAATTTCCTGCGTGATCTTGCCCACAATTGCAGCAACGAACAGTTTCTATTAAGCTCTTTTTGGGGCACTGTGAAGTAGGATGTTCCCGAGAGCAATTGACACATCTAGCGGGTCTATTACAGTTTCGGGATGCATGACCGAAACCCTGGCATCGGTAGCACTGGGTGCAGTTTTTGCTACTAGTTTTGTAGCGCTCGATCACGACAACGCAGTTAGCCAGGTACTTTATTTGCTTGAACTTTGCAATATACCGGGGGGCATTGATGGCTTGCTCAGCTTAACTTGGGTGGCAGTGGTACCAGCAAAGCCAAGGGACTCCGGGAGCTCCGCTGGAGGCAATCGATCAGGTTTGTTGGAAGACCTTTGATAACCACTTTAGGTAATTATTCATCCTTCCTGGTTCCTATGAAATGATATATTTTCATTAAGGAGTCCAGTTTTGACAAGTTGATGACCCTCAGATGTGTAGCATTAGATTTTGACTCGATTACTACCCCTGTATTCAAGATGGTAGCTTTTGTTATATTTCTCAATTATGTCCTTTAGTTTCTGGTGTGTCCAGTCTTCACGTAGTTCGATTACGATCGGCGGGACACGTCCAGTCTTCTTCTTTTTAGAGGCCTTTTTAAAAGGCTCTGAGATTTTATCCACTGGGAGATTGCTGTAGCGGTTGCTTGTTGAGGTGGTGGCGTCTCTCGGAATACGCTTGGGAACCGCAATCCTCTTTGGATAATTCCACTTATTTAAATCATCCCTAGGTCTTTTGGCGGTATTACTAGCCAGATCTGGATTTGAAGACGATCGTGTGACGAATTTGTCCATTTTATCGTCAGTGTCACACCACTAGCAATATGAACGGGTCCTAGAACAACTTAAAGTGCGTGTGGATGCTAGGAGAACCGAACGCGGAATGCCTTGATTGATTTTATGTCTATTAATGGCCTGAAGCAATTTAACACGTTCGGCCCAGCGCGAGCGCCGCCGTAAAAAGAGTCTCGCGTCGGGACACACTATTTTTTCATACAAATTAGAATGACGTTTCTTAACGTCGTGCTCGTCGTGCAAGCTTAAGTTTTGATTCGACAACAACCTTAATAGACGTCGACATTATACGCTATGTCACAAAGTATTCGACTATTTACCATAACCAGGAAGAGATTCCATGGAAATAGTATCTGCATCGTTCGTATTTGTACTGTTCGTTTGTTTATGTGAAGTAGCATTTCTTTGCCTATTGCGAACACTGGTATCGAAAATACTTTCAGAACTACTTGAGTGTAGAAAATTCTCAGAACAGGAAGAATGTGAGTAGCTAACGCCCGAACCCAATAATTAATCCACAATCTCCGATTTAAAACAATCTGAGATCAGACCGTGACAGTCGCTCGATCTCCTATCTGCATCCCAATAACCAAAAGCTACGAAGACTATCAATTTTTGACGACGGATAGAACGGAATCTCTTCCCTCTTTGTCGTTCCATTTTACCCAGTTCACACTCATATTTGATAATAAATTTAAACCAAATAAAGGAAATAAAACCGTTAAATAACATTAAAATATACATGTCTATGTTTAAAACATAACAAACAGCTTTTTTTAATTATTTTAAAAACTGGTGTAAGTTAAAATCTGTTAAAATAATTAACTGTTGGAATCGAGCTTTCGTTTAGCATTAAAGTAAAACGTAACGCCTGCTTACATTTGACAATCTTACAAAAAAATTAAAAGTTTAACAGCTTTCGGAAGTGAAATATAATATTGTGTTTGTGATTCATTTAAACAAAACGATTTTTACATGTTAGGTTCTTTTAATAATTATACTCCAAATACAAAACATTTAAACTAAGTTGGATAAAGTAACAAGGTTAGAAATTATCGAGGTAAGAGCGCGTGTGCTCAGTAGCGTGCGGTGGTGGGCCACCACCACTGGTGGCTAGTGACGCGTCCGGCCGCCCGCTCCCCGCCGGGCTTCTTAGGGATGGGACGCGGTCCATAGACAATCGCCGTTCCCTCATGCTAGGAATGAGCGCGTAGCTGTGCGCGTGAACATATTGTTTTTATATTTTAATAATTTGAATATGGATATTGAAGCGGTAAGTAATATTTATCATAAAATTGTGTAATAGATAATAACGTTTCAATTCACATAAATAAATGTGTGTAGCGACAGATTTATTTTCTCTCAAGTAATAATTGTATTTTGCACTTTTCCTTGTTTTAGTCTAAAGGTAAACCCTTATCAAAGGACGAGACGAAAGCGTTGCTTGCCTTCATTGCGAAGAGCAAAATAATTAATAATAAGACCACGAATGCTACTAACAACAAGCTGAAAATTGAGGACTGGAAATGTATAAGCGAAAAATTTAACGCCACAGTAGCTATAACTCGGCGTACCCCGCAGCAATTGAGATTAAAGTGGGAAACTTTGAAAAAAAATTCTCGCAAGCGAAGCACTTTAATCAGGATGAATCACATCAAGGTTAGTTGTAGTTGGGAAATGTTAGCTTTAGTATTTGAATAAACACAGCACATAGTATATATTGTATAAATTTTGTCTTTTTTAGACAGGAGGTGGAGCACCGGAGTACATACCCCCAGATGAGATCCTTGACCACGTGTCCTCATTACTAGGAAGTACTGTGAATGGGTTTACAGTCGAGTTTGGGGGTGACGCAGAACCAGCTGAGTTCTGGGGTGATGCAGAATCAGCTGAGTTCTGGGGTGATGCAGAATCAGCTGAGTTCTGGGGTGATGCAGAATCAGCTGAGTTCTGGGGTGATGCAGAATCAGCTGAGTTCTGGGGTGATGCAGAATCAGCTGAGGTCATCAGTGACACTGGGGCTTTGCATGAACTTAATAAAGTTGTGGGAATAGAGGGTTGTCCGGTAGAGGTGCCAGCTTTCTCGATAGATAGTCATACTACATTGTCTATACCTAATGATGTGGTGATGGAACCGATTGTGGTTGTAGATAATGGTGGTGCGAGTACACTAGCTCATACTCCAAATAAATCAAAGAGATTTACATTTAACTCTCTTAGAGCTAGTGGTAACTATTATTTGTGAAGTTTTTTAAATATTTCATTTTTTTTCACATTTTAATATTTGTCATGTTTTACAGGTAAACAAAATAAAAAACCAGACGAGGGGCGTACTGAAAAAAACTTAGCCGTAGCAAAATATTATTGAACGAAACAAAAAATACTTGATGCTAAGTATAATAATATTTTGCTACAAAATAAGAAATTAGAGTTAGAGATCAAGAAGCTAGAGTCTTAATATTTAGGTAATTTATTGTATTTAGTTCTTAGTTTAAAATTAATGTTTTTTATTACTTTTATATCTTTTTTAATTTCAAACTTAATATACATAGTTATACTACACTAGGGAAAGACCCCCCCAAGCTCAACTGTAAACCCATTCGCTGTACTTCCTAGGAAATATAAGAAAGATTCCTAACTATTTTTAAACTTGTATTTTTACTATATACTTGTATATAGTATAAGAACAAAATAAAACTATTATTTTATATTATATGTGTATTATTTAACATTTACAATAAAAATAATTTCACCCTAATTTCTAAAGTAATTATTAACTAAATCAGTTCGCTGTCTGATATCATGTACTCCTGCATTTTGGGGTCCTTCATTGATATCTGCAATATCAGTGGGTGGCAACTCAACTTCTGGAGAAACTTCTGCCAGATTATAACTTCTACAGATATTGTGGAGAACTGCTGAAGCAATAATGACAGCTTGGACAGTTCGAAGCGATAATCGCAGGGTTAGGGCTATTACAGGGATGCGGCGCTTCCACACTCCAAAAGTCCTATAAAAAATGTTCATCACAGCTTATAAAAATTATTTATGAATAAATATTAATATGTTACACTTACCTTTCAATGGTATTTCTGGTTTTTATTTGAGCATAATTGTATCTCTGTTCATGATCAGAAACGGGACTTAATATTGGTGTCAATAAATAGTTTCTATTAGGATATGCACTATCACCAAGCAACCATCTATTACCAAATGCTCCTGAATCACATTGGGCTGAATTGGAAATTATTAAATTTGATAATTACATTGAAACTAAAACTTAAAAGTAAACAAGAGTTACAAATCCTAGTTAAGACTGTATACCTCTCAAGACAGAGTTATTAAAAATGGTGGCATCATGTGTTGAGCCAGGCCAACGAGCAACCACATTCATTAGTCTCAAATCTGCATCACAAACTGCTTGGACATTCAATGAAAAATAGTTTTTCCTATTTCTAAATTCCTCTCCTATAGTTAGACCTGAAAGTAAATGAATCAATATGCAAATTTTAATTAAATAATTTATTGTTGAATCATAGAATATTACAAAGTAATATTTATACAGCTTATTTATACTTATACAAAAGCAAATTAGCATATTATTATTATAATTAATTATATATATATATACAAAAAACTCACATGGACATTGTATGCGAATATGAGTACAGTCAATAGCACCAAGAACCCGAGGAAATTTTAAGTTCTGCACAGGCAAATAAGCTTTTAAAACAATTAGTAAACTTACTGCATCGATGTTACTCGTACAAAGGGCATAATTTTGGTCAAAAGTAACTCCACTGCAGGTTTATTTAACCTAAATCTAAAAGTGAAGTCGGTATCGTTTAGATTATGCATAAAATTTATTCGTTTTATCCGCCTTGGTCTTATCCGTTATTGTTGGAATCATCACTTTCCGAATCTGATAATAATCCTAAAACTTCCAGATCACTATCGCTATCACTTGAAGATGTTAATTGTAAGGCCATATTTTTATCATCAATAATCCGAGATAATTGGGGGATTGCAAATGCAATCTGCAATCACCCGTCAAACAATATGTAAAAACTTTATGAATATTGGCACAGCTGAACTGTCATTTTCATACAAAGGTCTATCCACAGACACCGATAGGACCTCACATGGATAGCTTGTATCGCCAGATGACTATTACAAGCCGTCGATTGGTTATTGGTACACTTGTTACAACATTTGGATTGAGATTTTTATCTCAGATGGTGGATTATGGATTTAGATAGGTTATTGGGTTCGGGCGTTAGTGGGCTGTCGCTATGAATATTTATAGGTTCTGGATCATAATCCTTGTCACTTCCGTATTCTCCGTCATCACTGAAGGGATCTGGAGTAACTTCCGGGACGAAGAATCTTCAAATACCTTCAGAAACCCCTTACGGCATATAATAGTCGCTTTTTATTCATCTAAAACAATCGATTTTTGGTTACTTTAAAAAAAATATATGTAAGTTATATATTGATGAATATTAATCAAAAATAAATATATGTATTACAATAAACTTACTGTTTCGAAACTTTAATTCGGTCGAGCGATGTACGCGAACCAAGAGCTTCTCTTCATGCGGCGCAAATGACTGAAGCTAGCCGCGTCCCTACTTCCCGTGACGTCTACCAACGTTCGGTGTGTGCGTATGTGAATATGTGCGGGTGTAACGGATTTTCGCAAAACGTTCCTAAAAACTGATTTGCTGCGGCGGTAGACTTTTGAAATTTCCAAGTGATGCGGCGCAAATATCTATTTAGTTGAATATCGTATTGACTCCCGACGTTAGGGAACGTAGTGTGAATAAATGGAAATTAAAAGCCGACCTGATTAAACGTTGTGTCAATTATGAATTTCTAAAATTAACGTCATGAGACGTTGCTGGACCGAACGTCATGAGACGTTGCTGGACCGAACGTGTTAATAGTACATGTATAGTTAATAGCGATGATCGTTTCTTAGATTTAGTATTAAGTAATATGTAAAATATACGCGAATCATCCTAGTTTATTGTTAAGTATTGAATATTCTAAAATATTTTTTTTGCGACCGAGAGGTAACACTAAACTAAATTTTTATAAAGTTGACTATGTGTCTATTATAGTGGATCTGATGGTTCATGGATCAATGGTTTTAGAAGAGGCCGTTCAATTCAAACGAACCTCATGTCACAATCGACAAACAATCGAACGCGCATTTGGCATTTTAACAAGTGATCAAGTGCCCTATTAGCGAGACGCAAATTCACTACTGCTCCCGACTAGCTAAGATGAACAACTCTGGTCTCGCCCCCGTTCAATACTCGTGAAATTTAATAGCCCACGTCTTCGTGACGAGTTTCTAGCAGCAACTTGTAAATTTAACAGAAACAATCGTGAAGACAAGTTGAATACCAGTCATTTGGTTATCGGTGCTAATAAGAAGGCTGCTATTTATGTAGCGGAACACCTTACCCATGAGAACAAGCGCTTGCACGCAGCTGCCCGTTCTAATGCCAAAGAATCCCTATTAAATGCGCCAAAACTTGTAATACAGGGTCACTTTTCGGTAGAGTAATTTTTTTTCAGTGGGGTCCGAAGTAAACAAAAAAAAATATATCGTATAACTTAATATTATCTTCAATTCACTCAATAAACAACTATAAATAGTATGTCTAACGCAAGAACTCATCAGTCCCAATCTAGTGGATATTATGAAAAAAATACAGGATGTAGATTTTTTCCAATTTAATAAGAATTAGTAAAAAAAGTCAATTTTCTTATAAAAACGCAAAATAAATTATAACTCTGCAGGGATTGAGCTTAGAGACCTCCCGTAGAACAATTTTTTGCAGCTGATGACCTCATCTATCCCCTATTTGCGTTTGATCCACGACTTTTTGACCACCCTGTATACCTCTGGCTCTTTACTCCTTTTAGTTCAAGTTTACATTGTTATAGGACATTATGGAAGCAGTTCAAAAAACTATTGAAGATCTTGCGGCTTTTCTTAAAAACGGTTGACGGAATTTCGTAAGGATTTGCAGGATGCTACTGCTCTTTCGACCACGGCCAAACCAACTTCATGATTGTTATTTATTAATATTGTAATAAGTGTGTGCTGTGTGTACCAAATCAATAATACACTTTTAATATAATATTAAAAGGCTATTTAAATAAAGTCTCCCACTCCAAAATATCATATGTGCGAGCGAGGCCGCGCCATTATCGAGTCCAAGGAGGCAGACGGATCCATTTATCGTGTCGAACATTATTTTATATGGTGTAATCAAACATCCTAGGGGCAACATACTAGCACAGAGAACATGCCTAGGTTGGGTGCTATCAGGAAAACTGTCTCAAGAAACGGTTTCTTCGAAAACCAAAGGTTGCAAGTTTGCATGTTCCACTTAAAGAAGACGAGATGCTCAAGATTTTTTGGGAAATAGAACCAAATACTATAGGAAACAGATTATCAAAAGAAGAGGAATTTTGTGAAAATCTTTATGACTACGCAGATCAAGATAGAAGATTCATCGTTAAACTACCATTTATGACTGAAAATCCACAGTGTAGGCATGGAAATCTTAGAGAAATTGCTGCTAAGAGGTTTGAAATATTAGAGAAAAAATTATCAAGAAACCAGAAACTAAAATAAGAATACCATAAGGTCATGAATGAATATTTAAATTTAAATTTGGTCGAAATAAATCATACAGAAATGTATAGTTCTAATACAGTTTATCTCCTTCACCACGCGGTGCTTCGAGAATATAAGGAAATGACGAACCTTCGAGTAGTCTTTGACGCTTCATGTAAAGGAGTCAATAACATTTCTCGAGGTTATGATCTACATATTGGTCCTGAATTGCAGCTAGACTTGCGACACATACCGATGCAAAGGAACCCTCCGGATGGCGAGGCCTCCACTAGTGCGGTTCAGCAACTAGAGAGGACCCCATCATCCTGGGAGTATCTTGAGGATGACATAGTCCTGATAGGGGTTCCCCAAGTTCCGTCTAACTAGAAAAAGACACGATCGAAAAGACTGACGGTTCCTATTGCTAAACGCACACGCAGAATCAAAAAGTTCGTTCTGTGCTATGAATGGAAAAGGGCTGCTGTTTTTCGACGCAAAGCAACTGTGGAAGATTAACCAGTAATCGATACCCAGACACCTACTATTCCTTTGGACAATGATTACAAGTTTTATTCCCCAGACCATAAAACTGACATTGTAGAATAAAGAAATGCGTATTCAGTGGAAAATACCGGACGATCGTTTGAATTAGTTGTAGACAAACTTCGAGATTTTCTGGCTAATCACATAATCATGGGGGTGTACGAGTCTATGCCTTCATATACAGACTGGAGTGGATATTGGAGTCTGCAATACCAAGAAATTCGAATATACCTTCATTTCATACCGACAATGGCACTGATAATAGTGAAAGATATCAGTAGATTCGGCCCGTAGTTGAAAAAATAAGAGCTAATTGTTTAGCTCAAGAAGTCGAGACCAAGTTCAGCATAGACGAGATGATGATTCCTTACAAAGGGCCTAAGGCCGGCAAGAGACGCCAATATATGAAAGATAAAGCCAATAAATGGGGGTTCAAAAACTATGTCAGAGCTGGAGTACCTATCAGGTATGGTCTACGATTTTATCATGTACGGAGGAGAGGACACTTTAAGGTTCCATAAATTCATAGAAGAAAAATTAGCCACATTCAAGAACTAAACCTTAATAAAATCAAAAATTGTATAAAGCGGAAACTTTGTCAGAAAGCCTTTTATTTTAAAGACTATATTGAGGACAAAAAGGCTTGGGATTGAGCTGCTCCAATAAATTTACACAATTAATGTTGATTTAAATACCTTTTTACACATTCTATACAATGACATGAATATTAACTTTGTAAAGTATTACTTATACTATTTTTAATTATTGTGAATGTGAAGACTACGTGGTTCATTGTTTTTTATTTATTTTATCCTTGCATGCATATCCGCCTGATTTCCCTTGGTTGAATGCCTAGTGCGACCCCCAGGGAATTCAATGCGGTGCCGTCATTCATTGAGAATGAATATTGTCTGGTGCTGCAGCCGGTATGGAGGGTTCAGGAGGAAATTTTGGTGGGTTGGGTTTCTCCCCTCTGAGCGGCAGAGTAAGCAGAGGGACTAAGAGATAACCATCCGAACAGTCCCCGCGATAGCGACTGCTACGCTCGCGAGCCTGCATTTGTGCATTTTTACCTCCTTCGTAAAAAAAAGGAATATTCAAAATATTTATATAAAGAGGTTTGATTTATGTTTGTTTTTAATTAAAGTTACAATACATATTGTGGCGTACCTATGCCTTATGTCTATATTAATATTATATTAGTATAAATTCACATGCATTGTATTAGAGCAGGGAGTATTAAATGTATCTTCGAACTGTAAACATCGTTATTATTTAGTCCCGTCCTTACATGGCGACCCTGCCATTTAAGGTTCGGTTTCGGGATGCAGCTCAGTGAGTTGTGAAACATGATTTTGGACATTCGCTAGTTACATATTGGTTTTTAAAAATGGGAAAGGTGCAAAGTAAAGAAAAAATCGTGATTGCTCAAAATGCCGCAGGTGGCGTAAATTCAGCTGATGTGGAACAGTTTCACTACAACCAAAAAGTGACAAATATTATTTTGGCGATTTTCCTCGTAATTATCATTTTGGGAGCAAAATTCATGGTGTATAAATTATATAAACCCTGTCACATAAATTGGATTCGGCAGGTGATGACCTTAAGACGTTCGATCACCAGGCGTGAACCAAGGCGAGAGGAGAAAATTCCGGACTCTATCGTTTAGCCTTGAGTCTCTTTAGATTTGGAGAGTCGGAAAAAAAATGTGTGTGCAAGTGAAATTGTGTCGTAAGCAGGGTGTAGTTATTAGTGGTCAGTGATCTGTCACCGAGACCGGTCGTTACCTGCGCGCGCTAGTGAATTATTTTTCCACGAGTGCAATTACCTACCTACCCTCACTGTGATAGTGACTATTTTTAGAATCGTTTTTTGTGTGTTTTCTATAAGTGATAACTTCGCTACTTGCCAATTGATTCTGATTACAGGAACAAAATGAACCCCCAATGGTTAGTCAATAACCCTAGTTATGCTACTGTCACCCAAAATACCATGTTCCCTAAAAAGGATCAAGCAATAATTGTCATCGATGCTTTAGAAAACGTTCAAATCAAAGAATATGCCCAAGCTTTAGGAAGAATCATAGACCCATCCGAAATCCGATTTTTATCAAGAATATCAAACAACAGAATTTGTATTAACGTTTCTTTAAAGGTAATCGCTGATGAGATCATTGACAATAAAAAATATGTTACAATACTAAATCAAAAACTACCCATCCGACCGCTGATCAGTAGAAACAGACGTATCATCATATCCAATGTTTGGTCCCATTATACCGCACATCGATATTGAAAAGAAACTAGCGAAACAGATGTATCATCATATCCAATGTTTGTACCATTATACCGCACATCGATATTGAAAAGAAACTAGCGAAACAGATGTATCATCATATCCAATGTTTGTACCATTATACCGCACATCGATATTGAAAAGAAACTGTTAGAAATGAATATCACACCGCAGTCTCCCATCTCTTTCCTGCGTGCTGGTTTCAATGAAACGGGCAATAATCACATTCTAAGCTTCGAAGACAAGTTTCAGTAACTCCCGAAGATTTCACCCGACTTCCAGAAAAAATATTTACTTTATTTACAACACCTTTCAGATCCTCTCTTAATAGCCAATTACATAGTTTCTGTAAAGAATAATAATCGAGTGAATATATCCGTAGTGAATACATCGGAGGAACTAATAACTTTAGATTCTGATATTAAAGTTAAAATACAACCCCTCCATGTCAATTCCTTCCAAGTAGACCCTGATATCACTTCTGCTAAATGGACAATTTCAAAAGAAGAAGTACTAAATCTATTAAGAACTGATCATTTAAATGACGAAGAGAAAACCTCCTTAACCGATATTTGTTCGTAATATTTTGAAATTTTTTATTTACCAGGTGACAAACTGACTACCACTGACCTTCTTAAACATGAAATAAATGCACATCCCGCTGAGCCAATTAATGTGTAATCTTATCTATATTATACTTACTTATATTTTAATGTGATAAGATATTGCTATTGTACTTTATTGTATTTTAAATTTAAGAATATTTAAAAAAATAGCATATTTTTTAATTTCGTTTAACATTTTAAATTGTATGTGTAGCCTTGTAATGTGTACTCAGATTATTAATATTACTCATATTATGTAAGAAAAAAAAATGTTTCTATATTTTACTTTTTTTTTGGTGTGGCATGTGGCGTACCTATGCCTTATATCTGTCACCGTAAAATTGTAAACACCGTTAGATTGTAATATATCTCGCGAGATTGTAAACTGTCGAAAGATTGTGAACCTCAACGAACTGCTTACAATTTAAGGTATTATTATTCGGTAGTTATATGAAATTGTTGGGAAGTAAAATTAATCTGTAATTGACCATAGAAGTTTGAATGATAACTAAGTAAGTGTAGTACAATCTACCGAATAATAATACGTTAAATTGTAAGCAGTACGCTGAGGTTCACAATCTTTCGACAGTTTATAATCTTGCGAGATAGATTACAATCTAACGGTTTTTACAATTTTACGTTAACATATCTATATTAATGATTATATTAGTATAAATTCACATGCATTGATTAGAGCAGGGAGTATTAAATGTATCTTCGAACTGTACACATCGTTCTTATTTAGTCCCGTCCTTACGAGATTAAATCAATGTTTTCCGAACCTATCTTCGTCATTCCCCCGTTCAGAAGCTGTCATACGGTGAACAGTACATAAAACTAATCATAAGGAAGGGTTAATTATGGATGAGCACATTTCAGAAAATCTTCTATTTTCTAATTGTATTGTTAAAGTAAAAGATAACAACTGTGTAATAAAAACTAACCTAAATCTTAATATTATACCGTTAGATTCCATTTCATATGCCATTTATTTAATAAGTCGTGATATAACTCACAGTACCGATGAAGTTATTAACTCATTGAGATTGAGTAATTTAAATATAGAGAACAATGCTCTTATTGAACTATGTTCGAAATTCTCTGACATATTCTATCTTCCCGACGATCAACTTACTTATACTTCTGCAATTAAACAATCAAAAAATTTTGGGGGCCATGAAATGAAAATGGGGGTCCACGATAGTGGATCTCAACACATACACTGATAGTACCTATTTACTTACATCATAGTATCTTATAATATCAAACATATACATTATATTGACTTATATTATTTTATTTATAGTTTATTTAATGCTACGTATATTTTACAAAAAAATTATTTTGAGTAGTTTTATTTTAAATTCAATTAATAAATCTATAAATTAACATGTGTTTTTACTTGAAGTTTTTAACACTAAACTTCACTACAGTTAGAAATTTACAGGAAATCAATATCAGGTAAGTAGGGGGTCTACCCAACACGGAAAAACATGGCAAGGGGTCTACGACACAAAAAAGTTTGGGGAACTCTGATCTAAAGAAACAATGCATCAGTTTACACCACAAAATTCACACATATTCCAAAAACAAACAGACACCCCCTGCATATATTATCAACAAATACCACGTAATTAAACTAACATATACACAAACAATCAGGAAAACATCCACTCAACACTTTAAACAATTCTGCGAATCTCAAGGCGCAGATGACGTCTGGTCTATCACCAACAAACTATTAAAATCTAACAACAACATTCAACCCCGTACCCTTAAGGTAAACAATAAATTCACAAGCAATGAGGAGGGGACATCACAGGCACTTCTTACACACTTTTATCTCGACGACATCCCAGAGACGGACGCCAGACACACAAAATATATGCGCAGTAATTCTAGTTCACTACCCGACACGGAGGACGATCCTCCCTTCACCACATCCGAAATTATATCTGCAATAGACTCCATCCGCCATACCAAAGCACCAGGCAATGATCAAGGCAATGATCAATGACATCTGCCTGGTGTTCGCTCGTAACTATCCCGAATTAATTACCAACCTAATGAATCGTCATTTATAAAATGGTCATGGAGCCAATATTTACGTACGTCGCATCGATTTGGGGCCACGCGACCAACAAAATATACAATAAAAAACTGCTAATTAAGACGCAAAGGGGGTTCGCTCTGCGAACCACCAGAGCATTCAAAAACTCTCTCTTCTCTACTAATGCGGCCGTCTCTCTCGCGGGATTCGTTCCCTTAGACCTTAAGGTCCTCGAGTCCTGCGAGATCGAGGGCGCGCGTATTAGAGACGTTAGTAAACATATACCGGATGACATCCCAGTTGAACGACCAACACCATTCACCGAACTCCTACACCCCGCTTCCAGACCACTCAAGTATAGAACATACAAAAATAACATCGACAAACACAAGGCAGATAACACTATTAACATTCACACAGACGGGAGCAAGCAAGAGACGGGGCAAACAGGAGCTGCGTTCGTCGCTTACTCCCCTAATAACACACAAATTATACACAAATGGAATCGGAAGCTACACCCAACATGTACGGTGTTCCAAGCCGAATTGGTTGCCATAAAGGGAGCCAGCGACTGGGCCATCGCACATTGACTTAAACAACATAACAAAAACACACACGTACACAATCAATTCTGATTCTATGGCCGCGCTACATGCGATCGGCCAAACAAACAACACACACAACATAATCACAAGCGTACACAAAAACATTTCCAACAACTCACACATCAACATAAAGCTCAACTGGGTAAAAGGTCACGCCGGTATAGTTGGCAACGAGGCGGCCAAATCAGCCGCTAACTCTCATCTGAAATTCTTTTATACTCAATGCCCAATGGCATACATTAAACAGCGAGCCAAACAGGAAACCACGATACTGTGGGGTTCGGTTCAACGAAGAACCCACAACCACACACACTAAAAACCTACTACAAAACATTCACAACATTAACTCATTCATACAACAATACCACATTCCAAATTACGCAACTACTTACTGGGCATTCCTTCGCCAAAGACCATTTAAAACGATTCCATATTACAGACAATGACACCTGTCCTTGCGACATAAACACCACACAAGAGGAATGCCCACGGTTCGAACTCCTCAGACACAAACATTTACAAAAACACAGAAAATCCCAAGATCCCTACTCCCTCATTAACAACAAACCCCAAACAATAGAATCCCTATTCAGTATGTTTCCCAAAATTATAGACGCTATCAAAGACTACAATAATCCACAAATTACAGGCTCGTAATCCACCTTGTCAACAAAACTCAAATAAAAGATGTTATTTCTACTATTACCATATTTTAATCCTTACTTTAGATGTACAATCCTTCTCCATTTGCATTTATAAAAATATTGTTATTGTTCACTCAATCTTCATAATATGTGAACTTAGAATTATACTCGTATAATAAATGTTAAATGTATAACAACCTTTTACACAATACGTCACTATATATTCAGATTTTCCTTTTATTTTTAGCTTTATCATTGTACTCTTTCACTATAATATATTTAATATTATTTAATTATTTTTATATACATATAATATTTATATTTAATATTTTTTTTTTAATTATTTCTTAACCTTACAACAAACAATTGTATAATGGGCATAAGACACTTACTTTTAAGATTTTTGTAATTGAGGCGGTTTTTATTGTTTTTTTTAGTAAATCGAGTTTAAATTTTAACCGGACTACGGAAGTCTACGTATGTTTGTAGTAATTTTCCACCCTAGCGCCTTATCGTTGAGTGGACTTAATAATTGAGGTATATTGATCCATTGGGATTGGTAATGATGGCCCGAGTGACATAGGCTACGAGTATAAAATATACGTAGTCGGGTTATAGTATTCAAAAATTTGGGGTTATGGTTTGTTTCTTTCAGATACAAAGCTGCTGCTTTACCAAAATACCCTACTTGTAATCACAACCAAAAGGCATTTCAATGCATACAACAGCTAACTATGCAGATGATTAGAAAATTTTACGAAAAATTTTACCTATGTTCCAACAAAGTTACTCAAGATAATTTCATTTTGAAATTTAGTTCAATACAGGAAGCAAAAAGGAAGAAAAATGATAAACGAACAAAGGCAATGAAATACTACATTTTAGGAGATAAAGCTGCTAAAGTTCCAGTATGTCAGAAAACATTTATGGGGGCTCTGTTAGTTAAGAAAGATCGGATTCAGGGTGTTTTAAAAAGATTTTATGAAAGTGGGGGTCTAATGCCCGTAGAAAATCGGAATGGGGACAGAAATACGGATAAGTTTATTACTAAATAATTGTATGTTCAGTGGTTCATAGAATCATTCAAAGGCCAAGAGAGTCACTATTGTAGATCCAAAAATATGCATAGAGTGTATCTTTCGGCAGAACTCAACATACGTAAAATGTGGCGCATATACAATGAATCTCGTGAACCAGACTTGCATGTAAAACAACATTTCTTTAGAAATGTCTTTAACAAATACTACAACATCGGCTTCGGAACACCCAGAACCGATGTATGCAGAGAAAGATGTAGCGAATAAAAACCAATTAATTATTGAGAAACGTATTCACAGATTGAAATATAAAGCATTCTACAGCATACTTCAAGAAGAAGCTGATGGGCTTTTGACAATATATTTCGATTGTCAAAAGAACCAAGCACTTCCTAAATTACCAGATCAGTCTGCTTATTACAGTAGAGTGACTAGACAGTTTAGTTTCTACCATTTTGCTATTATAGCAGGGAACTCGAAGGCAAAATTGACACCAAGTAACGTTTATTCTTATTACTGGGACGATACAACCCATGCAAAAAGCAGTAATGAAATAATTAGTGCTTTTTACAAGAATACCGGCATGATCACAATGCTCGGTAAATGGCTTTACTTAGAAGCACCAAGGCAACTTAAAAGAATAGAAATAATTTACCCTATTGTTGGCCACTCGTTTATTCCCCCAGACAGGGTTTTTGCTAAAATTGAAAAGGTCATAAAAACTAAGGAAGTTATAACATCACCAACTGAATATGTGTCCGTATTGCAAGAACATACATGTACAGATCAGGAATCAATTCCTGTATATGACTGGAAGACTAGTTATCAGAATATTATAAAGCCTACTACTAGATGGCATTTTGCTTTTATGAAGTGTAAATGAATATTTATTACCCGGACTAAGACTGAAAATGTATTAGTGCAAGGAGAAGTTAACTATCGGGCAGAAAACAACACAAAAATGACAATTACCGAAAAAGGGAAAAAAATAACTATGATTCAACCTGATATCATTCAACCTAATAAAATAATTTCGAATGCTGCCAAATTACACGATGTTTTGAAATTATTAAAAACGCATATCGGTGATAATTGGGAAACCTTGGAGACATTAACTTTTTATAAAATAGTTAAAGAAAGAGTTAAAGAACAACCTGAAAATATGATTGACTTACAAAGGGAATAAGGCCGGCAAGATACGCCAATACATGAAAGACAAAGGGGGCCAATGGGGGTTCAAAAACTATGTCAGAGCTGGAGTATCAGGTATGATCTAAGATTTTATCATGTACGGAGGAGAGGACGCTTTAAGGTTGCATAATTTCATAGAAGAATTGTCGCTAGGGTTTGGAGCTCAAGTATATTTCTTTTTCAAGTCCAGAACTCTTCTACATACTGAGAGAAAACTACGGCATTTTTAGATTGGGCACCATCAGAAAAATAGACTGAGAGGAGCAGATGCAGTTTTACGTACGGAAAAAGAAATGAAGCAAAAGCCTCGAGGAGCTTATCATCAAGCAGTTTGTGACAAAATCGCCTGGTAGTTGTGCGTTGGAATGACAACAAAGTCGTAACGTCGTTGATGTCGGCGCTCCCGCGACCCTTTATCCTCATGGGAGACCTTAATGCTCCCACTTGGGGTGACAGGGTGTCGTGTAGAAGGGGTCCGGTTCTGGAGGAGTGGGCGGCGGTGTTGCGCCTCGTTTTCTTAAATGAGGGAACAGCAGTATCCGCCCGCAGGGCAGTTCAAGGGTGGACGTCGGAGATTAGCAATCTACGGGGCGCATGTGGCGAAGCCAGAAGGGCCTACGACATAAGTCGCCGGAGGAGAGGAGATGGCCCCGATGTTACGGAGAGATGAGGTCGAGCTGTAAATTACATGTATACGCAAAATCGCACATTTAAACCGATGCCGAATCAAGTAGCTAAGTCTTTTCACCGGGAAAATAACAGTGGATTCACAAGTTATTTTCGAGGACGCGGACGTATTTCTGGGCGTTCTGTATATCGTGGTAATTACAATAGTAGTAAAAGACAGCATGGATACATTTAAACCAACCCCAAAGCGTTGTACAAGGTATTTATTCGTCAGAAAATAACCAAAATTTAGAGTTTTTTCGATCCTAACTTTATTTTATCATGCAACGCATATAATAATTTCGTAGAATTAACAATATTAGGTACCAAATATAGACAGTTGAAAACTGAGGTTAAAATTCCAAACGTATTTTCAACTAAAACTCGGGATCTAGATAAATTTTGGTTAAATAACCTTTTTGGTGAGCCTACTTCATGGTTTCCAGGGTAGGGTTTCATTACGTGTTGACTCAATGCAAAAGCACCGTCAGCTAAAAACACGGAATATTAATATTCGGTCCTGGAAGTGGACATGGTGGTGGAAAATCTATCTTGTAATAATATAATGTAATAATAAAGCAAATGGCCGTGGCTTTTGGACAATTAACAAATGTTTTGGGTCAAAGGCAGAATGAAAATATACCTGCTAACAAAGACGATGATTGCGATCTATACGCAAAATTATTGGCTATAAAGCTACGTGAACTGTCAACTGATGAACGAAAAATTATGATGTACCAAATAGATGGGTTGTTTATAAACAGAATCAGTCAAAAATCAAATGAGCGTCATAACACCATACCCTCAATATTATTCTCGACCGTCGTCAATGGCTGGTGCATATTCAACACCATCTCCTCAAGTCATTCCGAGTCGGCCAACATCAGTTAATAGTGTTTATTCTGAACCTATTCATAACAACCAAAGTTTTTTTCCCTCTCCAAACACACAAACTTCTTATTCAGCGCCAGACATGGCAAAACATATACCAACTCCAATAGCTCCAGCTCCGTCTACATCAACAGCACCCTCGTCATCTATTCGTATCATATAAGACCAAATCATCAACCCAGCCCTACGTGAAACCAACATTATAAACATGTCTATGTTGAATGCTTTCGAAGATTTTGATTCGTCGACATAATTCTTATTTAAATTAATAAATAATTAAACAATAAAGCAGTCGGCTAACATACATTCATAGAACAGATTTCCTATGATTCTATTAAAATCTAAATAAATGTTTAACATGTTTTGTTTTATTCCTATCTTAAGTTCTAGATCCTTTAGAATTTCATTAAGAGCTCGGCAAACTTCACGAATGATTATTGATATCATAGAGACAGATACTTTAAACAAGTAGTGAAGGCTTTTGTAAGAATCACCAGATGCCAAAAATCGTAGCGTAATCGCAAGACGAAATTTGGCTGGTATAGCTTCTCTGATGTCTGTATCATGCTTGGATATCATTGGTGAAATTTTTTACAGTAAAAACTCAAAATCAGAATAGCTCATTCGGCAGAAGTTATCAAACTCTCCAGATGGTTCATATAAAAGTTCATTAAATTTCTCTTCTATAAATTGTCTGTAACAAATAAAATATATCGCAAGTATTGTGGCATAACTCAACTGCAACATATAATGGTTAAATCAAAATAGTAGTCGTAGTCATCTTCGCTGTCGTCGAGCTCTCCCTTTTTTTATTTCACTTTGCTTACATTTCAAATAAAAGTACGTTAAACCAAATGCAATAGCCGTCACAAGTTCGGTGTCCGCCATGCTTGGATGAATATCGCAGACTGACGCATTCACAAGCGTATAAACGCCTTTCAAACGCCAAACGAGATTTGTGGAGGCTTGGGACTGTTTGCAGTTTCCCAAGGCTTGGCAAGCGTGTAAACGTACCATTAAACAGTAGACTCTAATGTCGACATTAATAGGCTGATGCCAACAAACCAATCTATGACAATAAGAAGAAGTATTGGAATAATATAATTATTGTTGTAACGAAGAAAACATTTTTATTATACACCAGAATCGAATTATGAGATTCATCACACTATCTAATTCTGTAATATTTGCTTTTTGATAGACCTTATCTGTGTGCGCTTGAGTGCACGCTTGCGCACATAGTACTGGTAATGGAGAAATAGAAATAAATGTCATTTTTCATCCCTCTAATCCAGGATATATGCTTCAGGCTATAACACTAAACTAGGTAAATTACTTACAAGTTCGTTCTATGTTTCAGAGACTGCATTAGACAATAATGAGCAGGTTGCAAGGGATGAAACAAATGAAGTGAGAAATGGATCTGATGCTAGTGGTGCAAGTAATGCTGCGGTCGAGGACGCCGCGCTGTCAGGAACGGCCGTCTTAGAAAACAATCTCCACCCAGAAAACCGGACCGAGTGAGAGGCTACAAAAAGGAGTGGAACACCGGGGGCATTCTGCGTTTGGCTCTCGGACGTGACGGACGCTTTAGTGGTTTTTTTAGTTTAGTTGTGCTAATTATATTGTTGTTCTCTTTAGTTGTGTGAAATATTATTTCTGGTTGAGTAGAAAGGATGATTCACGCTACACCGTGTCTCGACCGGGCCGTGCCCCGACCGGGGCACGAGAGAGAGATGCTGCTCATCAGCATCATTGACAATAAAAAATATGTTACAATCCAAAATCAAAAACTACCCATCCGACCGCTGATCAGCAGAAACAGATGTATCATCATATCCAATGTTTGTCCCTTTGTATTGAAAAGAAACTGTTAGAAATGAATATCACACCGCAGTCTCCCATCTCTTTCCTGCGTGTTGGTTTCAATGAAACGGGCAATAATCACATTTTAAGCTTCGAAGACAAGTTTAAGTAACTCCCGAAGATTTCACCCGACTTCCAGAAAAAATATCTATTGACTTTGAAGAAACAAATTACTGTATCTATTTCTCATCAGATATTATGACATGTGTCATATGCAAAAAAAGACGGTCACGTAGCCTCTAAATGTCCGGATAATAGCAACGACTCGAATGTTGCCAACGAAAAAACACTACAGGATACTACGGAGACACCAATTTTCAAGCGGCCACACTCTCCCACTGAATCTTCGACTACAACTGATTTCATGGAGTCGGAAACAACAAGAGTAAAAAACCTAACTAACAACGAAAATAGTGATGAGGACTTTGATGATAAGTCTTCCCAGTCCAGCTCAGATGAAGTATACATATCCAAGAGTGTAAAAAAACTTAAAACATCGCCTCATAGCGATCTTGAATCGATCGACTGGGATCACTTTGCCAATTCCGGTAAAGAGTACCCAGTATCTGGAAAACAAGTCAAAGATTTTCTCACTCACACATATCGGGTTAAGGATATATCGAAAACAGAAGACATTAGTGCCTTAAATGAAATGATTTCTGACTTAATACTGATCAATGATCAGTACTAATAATGGACGATATATAGCGAATCTAATTGTTGGAAAATTATCTAAAGAGCCGTCCGCTCCTCATTTGGTTGCTTGCAAGATCCTAGAAAAAACAAACCATTCTACTATCGCCCGGTTCATAAATGATTCCATCAGATCACTATTTCCTGATTCTTCTATTGACGAGAAAATATGTGTTTTTGTTTCTGACGCTGCGCCTTATATGGTGAAAGCTGGTCAAGCTCTGAAAGTGTTCTACCCGAAATTGCTTCACATCACCTGTCTAGCCCACGGATTACATAGAGTTGCGGAAGAGATTAGAAACGAGTTCGGGATAGTCAATAAATTGATTTCTTCTACAAAAAAAGTTTTTTAAAAGCACCATCGCGAGTACAAGCATATACAGAGCAACTACCAAACATACCACTACCTCCAGAGCCAATATTAACACGATGGGGAACTTGGTTGAAAGCCGTATTGTTTTATGCGGAAAATTTCGAAGCAATAAAAGAAGTTGTTAAAAAATTTGACAGATCAGATGCCATTGCAATCAATTCAAGCCAGCTGGCATTTGAGGATCCATTAATTTAAAAAAATATTGCTATTATCTCAACACGTTTCAGTAATATACCCGATGCGATTGAGAAATTAGAAACAAAAAACTTTCCTCTATGCCAGTCCTTGGAAACAATAGAAAAAATTATTGAACAGAGTAACGCCCTTCCGAGTTCATTATCGCAAAAAGTTCGTGGCAAATTAAATGCAGTTTTGTATAAAACCCCGGTTTTGAAGGGATAAAGAAAATTTACGCGTTTATCAACGGCACCGGACAAAGTCTGCCTGAAGAGGTCTCTGCAGAAATGGCGCCAAATTTTAAGTTCTGTCATTTTCAGCCTATAAATTAATATTAAGTGACAAACGTCACAAGTTTGCTTAAGAAAACTTGGAAAAATATATTATTGTTTATAGACCACAAGCCCATGAACAAAAAATATCTGTGAAATGACCCAACGTGAATTACGCTTAGAAGGCTGTTACTATATCTGAAAATAGCTCTGAGCACTATGCCGTCATTTCTGAGCGGTACATGTGAGTACGTGAGTGAATGGACTTTCTCAGGTACAATTGGGGAATTTCGACTAACTATTAATGTACGGCTTTGTTATAAGTGTATAGATGATTAAAAATAAATGTCGAAAAACCTAGTGCCGTACTAAAGTGATGGTGCCGGAAGTCGGTGCAAATTTTTAATGCGACGACAGTTGCAGAAGCAATATAGGTCATTTATTACTGTACGGCATTTGTGTGATTCCTTTTGGACACATATACAGATACTTTACCTGTAAACGCCGTACATATTTCCAGCGAAGCGGTCGAAAGCCAAGGGTCGCAACATATGTCTGATTAGCATATAGGTGATGATGATATAGAACAACATAAAATTAAATGATCTTGAGAGTACTTCACAAATAGGTAACATTTTCCAGCATGCCGTACATTTTTTGTGGAACACATAGGTGTATGAAGTAAATTAATTTCCTCAGAAAAGAGTCATTTTCCGGTGACTTATCTGTACGGCAATAACACAGGTTATTAATACTTTAGACAATCTTTAATAAAAGATAAATGCCGTACGTAAAACGTAGAAAAGTTATTAGGTTTTAGCCATTCTTTCGATTGGCATCATAAAAGTAGGGGTGTTTTTTTTTTTTAATTTAAGCCGGTTCGATTTCCAGACGAGGCAAGTAATTTTAAAAAAATCTTTGAATGCAGAATTACTAACTTTTAAAAATAACATAAAGTCTTATTTTAGTAAAATGCCCTATCTACGATATTTAAGGTACTTTCCCTTCATGTCCCATAACTTTGGGACGCCCTGTATTATATTTTTATTTTTGTTAAAATATTTTTCCTTTACCTCTGTCTACTGGTACGATAAGGCTGTAAATATACTTTACAGCCTTATGGTAGTATACTCAGATACGTACAGTTATTAATGACCTTAAGAGACACCTCAAACGTCGTCGAAGTTTTTATCAGCTGTAAAGAATAATCTGGAGCAAAATGTACGGCATCTGGTTTTTTTTGTTTATTTATATTTGTTACATATAAAATAACAATAATCTTTAAAAAAAATACTCCTCATATTACTTTAGGAATATTTGAAAAATCATCTAAATTTCGGAAATTTCATATATTTTTTATCATAATATTTTTATTTGTTACCATTTATAATGAACGGCTATAAGGTACAACGGTAATATTTAGTAGCATTATGTAAAAAAACAAGTTGCCGTACATTATTCTCTGATCTTACAGCAGTAAGAACTTGGTAAATCCTGAAATTTCGATAAATATTTATTTACACAAATATTAACTATAAGTTTGGACGGCATAATTATAAAACATTATTGTCCGTGTTAAATAATATTTTGAACATGTTGCCGTACATTTTACAATGACCTTAGGGTATATGGGTGTAGGGGTAGGGTTCCGACCCTTGGCTTTCGACCGCTCCGCTGGAAATATTTACGGCGTTTACGGGTAAAGTATCTGTATATGTGTCCAAAAGGAATCACACAAATGCCGTACAGTAATAAATTACCTATATTGCTTCTGCAACTGTCGTCGAATTAAAAATTTGCACCGACTTCCGGCACCATCACTTTAGTACGGCACTAGGTTTTTCGACATTTATTTTTAATCATCTATATACTTATAACAAAGCCGTACATTAATAGTTAGTCGAAATTCCCCAATTGTACCTGAGAAAGTCCATTCACTCACGTACTCACATGTACCGCTCAGAAATGACGGCATAGTGCTCAGAGCTATTTTCAGATATAGTAACAGCCTTCTAAGCGTAATTCACGTTGGGTCATTTCACAGGTATTTTTTGTTCATGGGCTTGTGGTCTATTACTGTCACAAGAATCATAATAAATAAGTTTATTAATTAATTCTATGTAATAAATTATTAGTTTTATTTATTCTAATTGCATTTTTATTGTGCATATTTTATGCCTATTTCGCCCTTTTTTAGTGCATATTTTGGCATTTTGATATAATCCGATGTCTAGAAATACGAGAAAGATGATCACTGATATTATAGGTAAACTTAAGCTCTTAGCTATTAAGAAAAATCCCAATTTAAATAAGTAAGTTACTTTTAGGTTATATTTACATATATATACTGCTCAAAACAATTAGCGGACCAAAACTTTAAAGTAGAACTAAACTTTTTACTTAAGGTTTTAATTATTACTGGCCACTAGATAATGTTAAGGCATTGTCGAAGAAAATAAAAAACAAAAGAGCATCGGCGTTTTGGTTAGTAGTCCTATAATAAAGTGGCAGTGTGTCTAGAAACACCTAAAAACAAAGTGTCGTCTTTGAATTTTCATTACTTTCTAATCACAGAAAACACATTTTAAGTAGTTTTTTTTCAATCTTTTGAGTATTAATAGAAATTGAAGTGAGCCTTTTGAGTATTGTTATTCATTGAAGCGAGTGAGTTTAGGTCATAATGCCAGATCTGACTGAATAACACAGCTACGGGGACGGTAGATTCATTTCGTCCGTAGCGCAAGTCTTTCACGAACTCCCCAAACAATATTCTGCACGGAGCAGTGCTTATGCTGAATCTGTTGCGGTGTCTATCGCTCGAGCGTACGATGAAGGTAGACTAACAACTGAACCACCACTGGACATGCGCGGAGATTCGGACATAGGTGACATGTTACCCACTTCTACCATACCTTCAGTTGCATCTTCAGAAGGAAGATTGGCTGCTGCTACCCCCCCTGCCAAATCTAAGTCTGCATTAGTGATTCCTTTGCGGACAGTCCGAACCGTGGCTATAGCTTTCAAAGGATACATGAAATCAGAACCTCCAAAGAGTTCGGCCATGGTTGCCATAGAGTCGTACGCAACAGGCAGTGACCGAGCAGCTACGCAGCCATATATAAGCGCAACGCGAGGAGTTTTAGCTCGCGATATCCCATCGATCCAGGAACTAATAGCTTATGCTGCGCCTTACAATGTGTCGCATGTTGACACGGGACCCGCTCTACGGGGACTGTTGTACGCATACCCATTTTCTGAAGATGTTTGGAATGTTGATTCCTATGATGCTCGTTTTCTGCGTAGACAGACACGCAGTACAAGTACGAAAGACAGAATATTTATAAGACAAACGCCAGCTGCAGACAGGATAGCTATCCGAGTTGCGGCTGTGACTTTGCCTGCTTTTGCGTCTCATCTCAAGAACCTGGATGAGGGAATGGCAGCACCAGGTGTAAATGGTGTTAGTATGTCAGGAATGGATACTGACTGGGTCGCCGTGCCCGTTAGTTCTGATATGTTGGGATGTCCATGGCTATTGGAATACCTACTGATCCACACCACCACAGAAATTTGGGCTGGCAACTGTGTATACTATCTCATGCCGACCACGCAACCAACAACCACGATGCTACAATACGATCCACAGGAATGCCCGCTGCCCACCAAGTACACATACCTGGTCCAAAGAAAATTTTGTTGGTGTTGTTGGACGAGAATACGTACGCGCAGGCTACTACAATCCGACTGCCCGCAATAGGCAACATTCATGTATATAGAGGAGCGAGGATAGCTGCAGGGGAAAACCCATTCAATGGTTTTTGGAACAACATAGAGGAACATTTGTACTGGCTAATAACTGAGGAAACTTATCCAACGTCCTGTCAAAATATGACCCGTTGCCTACAATTTGTTGAAAACAACCTATGTACATCTATGGCTTTCCAACTCGCTGTTACCCTGGCCGCAGAACTCTCTTCCATCCTGCCAGAGTCGCCAATGTTGCACGCGGACGAGGAAGGAACATACGTTAACGAATTATCTGGTGGATGGACTATAGGTGCCCATGACATGAACACAAGACGCCCCAGGCATACTTGTTCAAACATAGATGAGGGCACCGAAGAAAATGTGCGTACCAGGATCCGAAGACTGCTCCACGGTTACGCATTTGCGTCTACATCCCCGATGCAACAACATGCCCTAAGCTACAACACATTGGACGAAGTAGACGTGGTGACAAACGGGAACTACGTTGGAACTGCCACATATTGGCATGCACAAACCCCTGAATTTACACATCCCCAGTATCAATGTAACATATCAAACTCAATATACCGCATTTTGGCAGGGATGGGGATGATCACAAAGAACGACTATGTTTATGGGTTCAGGACACCGGATGGCATCTCTAACGTCCTGACCATGCAAGGGGTCGCAACCCTTTCACTTGGGGTCGCGCTAAACAAGAGCGACGTCGCAAGGAAATCTTGGTCTGGGCTGGGAGTGAACGAGGCCCCAGTGTCTCAAACACCGATACGGGCCTGGATTTCTGAGATGACACAGGGGATGGTGCTTCCAACCAACACAGACGCGCACATGGCTGTCAACATAAATGGAAACTTTAATATTGGTACAGAAATTGAGACCTACTATGGAATATCACCTAACAGTAACACATGGGGCCAATCTATTAACATGCCCTACCCTTGTTTCTTGCAATGGGGATCTAAGTTTAATATTGATATGACTGGGTCTTATGAAGCCACGGAAGGTGTCATAACGGCAGCATTCGAAAGTCCCCACCTACTGGTCGAACACTCTAGTAATGTATCTATCTCATGGTTAGCTACCACCTTGGACACACGCGCATACTTGCCTGCAGTGTATATGGACTATGCACGTATAGTCCCCTACATGCTGCACCTATCTGCTGAAGACTGGCAAACTCATTCGGCCGGAAACTCACACACGTACACGGTACCAATGGGACTTACTTCAAATCTGATTTCTACTTCGCTCAAACATCACTACAGACATGTGGCCAGTCCAGGCGCTGCACTTATAATTAATAGAAACGCCATGAGGGCTAAGATCACCTCCTGGTCTGTGACCGAATTGCACTATCCGGCTCGAAGGACCATGAACAAATCTCCACGATTCCAGGACGAAGACAATTTATTCAAAAAATATCTTAAACCTTATACTAAAAACCACATACAACGATAGCGCGATTCAGCATAATGCAGAAATCGCACAGCGCCATCCGTTGGTGAATTTCAGAACTAAATATAAAATTGTTCTATTACGTTTGGACAGCATGTCTCCCGAGCTATCGCTTTGCTTGAAGTGGGTCGAACTATGCGTTATGTAGGAAATGATCTAGGAGTAGCCCCTTCTGTTATCTACAGACTTTGGAAGCGATACCGTGAGACGGGAGAATACTCACGAAGGCGTGGTCAAGGTCGAAAGAGAAAAATTACACGTTTGCAAGATCACTACATCGTCAACTGTGCTTTACGTAACCGCACCACAACTGCAAGAGATCTACAAAATACACTAAGGACGGCTACTGGTATAGAAATTTCCGACCAGACGGTAAGAAATAGGTTGTTGGAAGCCAATTTGAGATCACGCCGACCAGTTCGGGCTGTGCGTCTAACAATTCAACATAGACAAGCTCGCCGACAGTTCGCGCAAAATCACGCTAATTGGCAACTTCGACATTGGAGGCCAGTGCTTTTTACTGACGAATCACGATTCCGTCTAACACGTTGCGATGGTCGTCTCCGTGTTTACAGACGCCCAGGCGAGCGATACCGTGCAGCAGCAGTCCAGGAATATGACAAATTTGGATGTGGCTCTGTGATGGTTTGGGGCGGAGTTAGTATTGACGAGCGCACAGATCTCGTCGTTGTTACCGGGCGCTTGTGTGCTCAAACATACATTGAAAATGTGCTCGAAGATCATGTTTGGCCCGCAGCATATGGTATGGGCCCAGATTTTCTTTTAATGCAAGATAATGCCAGGCCGCATACTTCAGCCATCACGTCAGATTACTTACGACAGCAGGAAATCCGTGTAATGGAGTGGCCTTCCATGAGCCCTGACCTAAATCCAATTGAACACATTTGGGACTTGCTTGACAGGCGCATCCGGAAGCGTCCGATTGCACCTCAAAAACTGCAGCAGCTCACTAAAGCGTTGATTGAAGAATGGGAGCGAATTCCACAAGAAGATATTCGGAGGATCATACGAAGCATGCCGAGTCGTTGTCAAGCCGTGATTAGGGCTCATGGAGGCCACACGCGTTACTGAAAGTCACTAAAGACGAATACTCAAACGATATAAGAATATTTCTTTGATGGACCTTTTTTATCACCAATTAGTTTTTCGTGTACAATGCACATTTTAATTTTTTTTTTAATAAAAAAAATACAAATTGAATTTTTTTTTAATAAAAAAAATACAAATTGATTTTTTTTATTAATTGTAGTAATTAACAAATTAACAAGGTAAAAAATAGCGTACAAGTTAATTTAAATCTAATTTTAGTTTAAGCAATAGAAAGGAGAAAAATCTTGTTCCGCTAATTGTTTTGAGCAGTATATATTTTTTGTGTGTTTTGATGGTCTCGACTATCGGATTCAAACTAAATATTATTCAATGGAATTGTCAAAGTTTTATACCAAAGTTAAATGAATTGGACGTATATCTACATTATCAAAAGGAACATATATGCATTCTTTCTGAAACTTGGCTGCAATGCGATCACCAAATTAATTTAACAGGTTACTCTGTCTTTAGAAAGGATCGAGTAGATGGATATGCAGGCTTAGCTATCCTGGTCCATACATCTATAAACTGTAGTCTCAAAGTTCTCCCAAGTAATTATAATATTATTGACGTCTTGCGCCTTGAAATCCTTAATAGCAATAAACTTCAACATATCATAAGGGTCTTTTCTCCCACAAATGTCACAGTTAGCGTTGGGGAATACCAGGAGCTTTTTAGTCACTTTTCTGAGAAAACTCTAATTGTCGGAGATTTCAATGCTCATCACACGGCTTGTTCATATGCAACTCAATTTTCAATTTCAAAAATTCTTTATTTTGTTTCACAAAAATTTATAGTGCTACATATCCAGTGTACATTATTTCCTGGAATGTAACAAACTTACAACTAGACACGTTTTTACAGCTATGCAACATATGCAACTGACACAAGAGGTAGGCTTTTATCGAACTGTTACAACTCCTCAATGCATCCTATATTGCTGACATACCCTGTGCTATATCCTCGTCATCATTTCTTCCCATGCATCAACAACCTTACATTCCCATCAAGCCAGTCGATCTCCTAACTCTTATCCGAGCAGACGTGCTCATATTTTATACTACTTTATTTGTATTCTAAGTCAATATACCTATATTGAAATCATTAAATCTCTTTTTTAAAAGATCCCATTATTGGTGGCAGTGAAAAGGGATTTTTATAAATCTCGCGTACCCTCCGAGTAGAAGTATTCGCGAAAAGTCCAGTTCCGAAAGATCTCAATTCGAAAGTGCGAAGTTTAAAGTGACAAGTCTCATAGCTATACCTAAAAATGCAAAAGCGAAAGTGTTTTTAAGTGCAGTGCTCTAAGTAAAATCGGCTAATTGCCAAATATGTATAAAATCGTTGCATATTGCATTATTATGTTCCTGAACCTGTAAGTGATTTAATTTTAATAACTATATTATCCATTCTCGTCATCTACTATATAAAAATAAGTCGGGTTTTCCTTCCTAACGCTATAACTCCAGAACGCACGAACCGATTTCCACGGTTTTGCATTCATTGGAAAGGTCTCGGGCTCCGTGAGGTTTATAGCAGGAAATATTATAAAATTCAGGAAAAAATTCAACAGAAAAGCGGGATCACCAAACGAAATATTACATAAAACGAAGCCATCTGGTGGCGAAACGGAGTTCGCCGAGTTTGCTAGTTGTTTATAATAAGATAAAACTGTATTAGTTACACCATAACAACAGACTCTAATTCGACGAATTATATTTCTAAATACTGCTACTTATCTTAGTGCATTTACGCATATATTTCTTATATAAGATCTAAATTTTGTTAAAATGTCCACAAAGAAAGATGTCCAATTAAGGTCTGAGAAGTAGTATGTCTAAAAAATTAGAGACAAGTGTGTTATTGAAGTTCATAAAACCTTTTGGGTCGGACTTACAAGCTGGCCGCAGGAATTTGGGGATGATTAATATTGGATTATGTTGGGGTTGGTTTACCCTTTTAAATGACACCCCCCTTACCCCGCGGAGACGCTTATTTTTTTTTAAAAATGCATTTTAAAGTGCGTATAAAGGAACGTGATTTTTTGTATAACATATTTATTGTAGCGAAATATTGTTGTAAAACCAATTCGTATTTTATCAAAATACAATATTTTTAATGTTATATAATGTTATGTTGTTCATAGTATTTATTTATAATTTTATTTTAATTTTTAGTAATATATATTTGAAACGGAACGAAACGTCACATTTCACGAAACGTCATATAGCGAGCGTCTTGTTATGCGTTTGATGCGCCAACGCCATTCCGTTGCTATCCTGCGTACGCGAGTTTTGTAATCCCGAGTTTTGATATTTTTTAACGACTTTTACTTGTTTCTGGACTCCGATATCTGCACAATTATCGACCTTCGCTTGTTTTTTGGATTCTGATATCTGCACAATTTATCGACCTTGGCTTGTTTGTTGGATTTAAGTCTGCAATACGTGTCTTGACTTGACTTGTTAAAATGGCGTCGTCTGCCGAATCTGCCGCCGCTCCTATTGAAAACGAAGGTAAAAGAATTAGCTTTTCTCTACAAAAATGTCTTTAATGTTAAGATACTTATTTATACACACCTCTACTAAAAGGTTTTTCTGCGGAAATTACTCGTTTTCGAGATATTTTAATTTTTCAAATTTTCAATACATTTTATTGATAATTTATACTTACAGTCTATCAATGTATCTATATTTCGCGGGACCTTTCATCATTTTTGGTTCATTAATCATGTCTTTATTTTTAGCTGGGCCATCCACTTCTCACTCTGTGGAGTCAGGCTCCAATTTTGAAGATGACCTCTATGTGTGCCGGCATTTATATGTGGGCGAAATATTGCCTATGTACAATTTACCTCGGCTTGTCAGGCAACTGGGAACCCGGGAGCAGTGTTTGGCTTTTGCTGAAGAGCATGGGCTCATTTTAGCCAACAAAATGTGCCGTGTACACCGCCAGCTGATGCGCCTGGATTTGACGACTAACACCACAGTTGGGGCCTTTGTATGTAGCAGAGGGAGCTGTAGAGCCAAGTCCCGTACATCAAGGGCCACAGGAACATGGTTCGAGAAATCAGGGTTGCCATTGCCAAGGATATTTTATTTAATATACTGTTTTGCACATCGCAAGTCCCACGAAGAGGCCATATTCGATGATCCTCTTCGTGATGAAACAAATACATGCTTGTCCAGGGCCACCATCACAGACTGGTACAGTTATTGTCGAGAAGTTATTGTAATTTATTATTTAGAGACTCAACAAATAAAAGGAAAAATAGGTGGCCCTGGAAAAATTGTACAAATTGACGAAAGCAAATTCGGCCGGCGCAAATATAATAAAGGTAATAAATAAGTCATAATTAATTATAATTTTTTAATCAAATTATAATTTTTTAATCAAATTATAATTTTTTAAATAATTAATTACTTATTTCTATTTTTAGGAAGACGAGTTGAAGGGCACTGGGTCCTAGGAATGATTGAAGATGGAAGCGAGGACTTGCGCTTGGAGGTGTGCCCGGACAATGTGCGGTCTGCAGAGGTCCTGGTGCCCCTGATAAAAAAGCACGTGGAAGTGGGCACCACAATCCACACAGATTGCTGGCGTGCTTACGATTGTCTGGCAGAGCACGGCTATCACCATAAAAAGGTCAATCATAGTGACCCGGACAATCCATTCATTGCAGCAGATGGGACTCACACTCAACGTATTGAGTCCCAATGGCGTGTCGTGAAAAGGTTTTTCTATAAAGACAATAAAAACCATCCCCAAAACTTTGGGGATGTGATTGTGGAGTATTTGTGGAGAAGAAATATTATGAAAAATAAAAAAGATCCGTTTATCCAATTAATTGAGGCAATTAAATATATATACAAACCTTAACCTCTGGTTTTATTTATGCATCTTCATAATATCACCAAATTTCATTCTTATTTCTAGAATACACTAGTTAGTGAGATTGTACAAGATCATAACTTGTAGTCGATCATACCCAAAACCGAATCAGAGCACCCCACTATCCACGTGGTCTTGTCTGTCTTACCCCTAGAGTGTATATAAATAATCGGAGGCGCGGAGGAAGAGCAGCCCCCACCCGCTGTAACAAAGCACAGGCATTATGAAAGGAGGCTTGAATAAATTGCCTGTGCTTTGGAACGCAAGGGTGGAGGGGCTGCATTTCCCGTAGCGCCGGAGCTGTCCAAAAAACCAATTATTAATTAGATCGGTTAGGTTAGGTTAGTATATGAATATTTGGACCAAAACGCCGAGGTTGCGCAGGCTTGAATAAAATGCCTGTTGTTAATTGTGTATTAATATTTTTTTTTTTACGCTGGGGCGGAGGGAGTTGTCTCCTGCAGCGCCGGAGATGTCACAGAGCTAGACCCCCTCCCACAGACCATTGTAAATAACTAAATAGCGCTATTCTAACCTCAAAACTTTAACCATGAATATCTCCATAACCATGGGGTTCCGCATGTTGGGGATGGTACAGGAGGGTAGCAGTAGACCCCCCCCCCACCCCCAAAACCCCAAAAATCCGGCGGCCAGCTTCTAAGTTTTTCCCCATTTATTGTTAGACCTACAAGAGAGCCAACAACTCCCTAACGAATCGGTTAGCCAATACTCCTTGAGATAGAATCTAGCCTTTATAAATTATTATTAACCGAGATCACACTCAACACTATATTTTACTTTTTTTTTGGTGGGGCATGTGGCGTACCTATGCCTTATATCTATATTAATGATTATATTAGTATAAATTCTCATGCATTATATTAGAGCATGGAGTATTAAATGTATCTTCGAACTGTACACATCGTTCTTATTTAGTCCCGTCCTTACGAGATTAAGTCAATGTTTTCCGAACCTTTCTTCGTCATTCCCCAGTTCAGAAGCTGTCATAGGGTGAACAGTACATAAAACTAATCATAAGGAAGGGTTAATCATGGATCAGCACATTTCAGAAAATCTTCTATTTTCTAATTGTATTGTTAAAGTAAAAGATAACAACTGTGTAAATATAACTAACTGTGTAATAAAAACTAACCTAAATCTTAATAGTATACCGATAGATCCCATTAATTTAATAAGTCGTGATATAATAGCGGTGAAGTTATTAACTCATTGAGATTGAGTAATTTAAATATAGAGGAGAATTCTCTTATTGAACTATGTTCGAAATTCTCTGACAAATTCTATCTTCCCGACGATCTACTTACTTATACTTCTGCAATTAAACATCATATCAAAGCTAATAGTGACATTCATACTAAATCATATAGATTTCCAGAATGTCACAAGGAAGAAGTAGAAAAGCATATCAATAAAATGCTGGACCAAAATATTATTGAACCCTCTTCTTCTCCTTGGAGCTCACCAATTTGGTTTTTGTCCGAGACCTCAATGTCGCAGCAAAAGAGTTGGGTGAGATAGTAGGAAATCTTGTTGAGCGCTGTTTGGAGGGTGATAAAGAGACGGCGTCTCGAAAGAGATAATATCTCTGATAAGATCAGCCTATCAGGTTTGGGCATTGAAAGGGTGAGCATGCGTACAACTGCAACAGGGGCGCGGCCGTTAGAGATCCCGGATTCCCAGAGGGGGGGAAAAGGCCGACAGCCGTGGCAGCTAATGGTGGTTGTTCTTTTCATCAAATTAAGCCTGGGAAAATCCTAAGGCCTGAGAATGGTATGGTGGACATATTTATCCTGTGTCCGATCTCTGATGCCAAGAAGGTAGCCGAAGGGAGGCTTCTTTTTGGGTGGAGCTCGGCCAGGGAAGAAATACGTGAGAAATGACCTCTAAGATGCTTTAAATGTATGCGACTGGGGCATACAAGAGAAGTGTGTACATCAGAGGTAGATGTAGTACTGGCGTGTTATAGGTGAGTGCGGTTTGCAGGCGAAAGCTTTATTGGTGACTTGGGTCTTGCGATCCAGCGGGCTGGGACTTAAAGGCTGGGTTGACACTTTTGTAAATCTCAGGGGGCCGCTTCTAGACGAGTGGGCGGCAGAGTTAGGGCTTCTGTTTAAAAATAGGGGGATAGAGCGTACATGTGTACGACCGCAGGTAGTCACGCTTGTCACTTCAAACGCGTGAATTTGGAGGTAATCAGGGATTTGGAGACGTTCTCAGATCACCGTTACATAAGATTTGTTGTTTGTTAATGCTTCTTTAGACCCACCTCCCTTAACGGACTACAGCGAAATATTTGGGCATGCATCTGGACAAACGCCTGACTTGGCAAGACCATCTAAAAGCCAAGAAGGAACATGCTATTGGTAGTAGCATGAACGGGCTATTATATAGAAATGCCGCACTCAATTTGGACAATAAACTCCTCATCTACAAAACTGTAATAAAACCAATATGGTTCTATGGGATACAGCAAGCCGCTCTAATATCGAAATCCTGCAGCGGCTACAAAACAAAACACTGCGAAATATGAGCGGTGCGCCGTGGTTAACACGAAATACTTAAGTCCATAAATATTTGGGAATTGCCACTGTCGAGGAAGACATTAAAAGATCAACCGTGCGATACAAAATGAGGCTTCAGCAACACGTCAATCCCCTAGCTTAGGGCCTCTTGGAAACGACGGACAGTGTATATCGGCTGAAAAGGGCAAAACTTGCCGCAGTCTGACAGTTTACGAATTACGGAGGGAATAAAAAAATATTGGATTTTCGTTCCCTAATTGCCATTATTTCTTATATAATCTGATAAAAGTCATGAGGCTGATTGCAGATGCATTGAAAATTAAAAAAAAAAAAAACACCCACCTCTCAGGCAACGGACCAGTCGTCGGACTTTTCCGCGCTGGACGTTTGGTCTACTTAACCGGGAGCGAGCGGAAGAGGTTTAGAGGTTTTCTGAAGATCGGCGCCGTGAAAAACCATAACTGCTGGTTTGTTGGGTCATCAAGCAAGTAAAATACAATTATCCGTAACAAAATCTTCTAACCGTAATAACGTTTGCTTTCTTAGCGTCAGAACCTAACCTAACCAGTCACAGTCGAGCCACGGCCCGAGTCGGTGACAGTGTCGCTCCGCTTTCAAAAAATCCAATAAATGGTATTTTTGTCGCGAAATAACAAGTGACATACATCATCTGATGCGTCTCGCGACGGCAAACCTGAATATGTAAAGTTTGTCCAGCAAAAAGTAAATAAAAGTGACCAAAAAGTGTAATAAAAAAACAGTGAAAAATTTGTGACAAAAGTGAGTGTGACGCGCGTTTTTGATCGGTGACCTGTGCCGATCTGTCTGTCAGGCTGCATATCTTATATGTCTATCGGCCAAAACCAATATGCAATCTCAATCCAATTTTAGCTGTCATAGACTGACAATTCAATCCATTTCTAAAGAAAAGCATGCCAATATTCAATACATGGACTGAGATACCAATCTAATTATTCAACCAATCGTTCTGAGGGCGGATAAGAGATTGAAGATTGCCCTCTGTATGAAAATGAATGTTTACTAATGCCAACAACCTATCTGTCCATTTTGACAGTTGCTTCGATTGGCCAAATCAATCTCGGATTGCTATCGGTGAAACTCGTATGATTTGGGTTTGGGATTGCGATCTAACTTAATATTCATTGGGAAAATGTATTCATCTTCGTCATCTTCCAGTTCTAGTGATAGTGATTTGGAAGTTTAAATGCAATTATCCGATTGGGATAGTAATTCTGAAGCTGGAAGAAGACAACGTACTTCTGTGCGAAGACATAATAAGAAGACAAGAATTAATTATATCCAGAGCCTGAATGACGCCGAATTCACTTTTAGATTTAGGTTAACAAAAGAAGCTTTGGAGTCACTTTACACAAAGTGATGTCTATCATATATGACTTCTTGCAGGTTTCATCTTTTCATCAACTTTTGTAACTTTTATGAAATATTAGCTACAACCAAAAATATTTGTTACTATAGATACTACCAACTAATTCCACTCCAAAACCCCAAGACTCCAGCAGAACATCTTTATAACGAATCTCAAATACCAATCAGAAATGTGTTGGAAAAATCGGTTCCCCAAAATCGGTTTGTCAAAAAAGGTTCTGCTTCAAGTATCTCGTGTACAAGCCGTGATAGTGGCATGTACATTGTACAGTGTTGCACAATATTATTATTGACATGCGAGATGAACATTTTGAATTACTGCAACAAGTAGATGAACCAGCTGATGATATTGATCAAAGCGCAATTGACAACGTGGGAAATGCAAGTGTGTAAAGTAATCTTATAAGTGATTATTTTGCTTTAGCACCATAATGTTTTATAAATTACAACATTTTTGAGATAAATTAAATAAAAATTCAATGCTTTTATTTAAATAAAAATACAAAATTTTAATACAATACATCCTCGCTCCAGGCACAAAATCTATTATTTTTCTAATTCATTTAACAATATATATTTTTCTATGGACCATAATTCTCTTTCTTCCTCTTCAAATGCCCATTGCTTTCTCTTATTTAGAAGCTCTTCCTTTCAATTGACTTTCAATTCCTTCGATAGACAACAATATCATGTCTTTGACTTTTTCCTCGATAGGGCCACCTCCTGTACGATATGTTTCAGCATGTATCAAGGCAGACCTTTTTCTTGTAGCCCTCTTAAAGATTTAGCACTTTGTGCTATTAAACAGCGCCTCCAGCGTCTTCCAGCACTGCTCTTTCTCCTGCCTGGTGACTGAGTCACTCTTTTTATTTTCTAATATATTTTTATGGTCAGAAACAAGCGAAGTTAGAAGGTCAACTTCTTCCCGGCTGAAATTGACGCATCTTTCAGGTTTTTGCGTAGACATTTTTTATGTTAAAGAACCAACCTCGAATCACAATAAGAACATACTCAAACTACTCAGAGAAAATGTATATTTAAAAGGTCAAGCCAAAGGCGCCGAACTAAAATATGTACTAAAATACTCAATAACCTAACAAACAAAAATACCATATGAAAATGACAGCCCGTCTCGTTACAAGTAATATTAAATGACCAACAAAAAGGTTAAGGTTCTATGTTTTTCTATAGAATTTTGTAACTTTATTTGTTCGTAACAAAAAAACAAACAAAAACGTTGCATAGCTATTTGCTACTTTATCCATGCATTGTGAAACAGACTTATTACATTATATAATTATTTTATTTCGTTCCAAAAACAGCAAACTTTTGGTATGCTTGAACACAACATATTGCATTGAACGAAACGTGGTCGAGAGGGTAGGATCACGCAAAAGATTGCTGTCAATCTTTTGTCAAATAAATAATCGGATAGCAGAAATGTTTATTGGCATGCAGATTGGAGATCGGTCTTTAGATATGAATCAGTCCATGATTGGTTATAATCATAGATTGAGGATACATTATTAATTTTGGCCGTATGTCTATATCTCTGTTGGATAGCCCTCTGCGAGCTCAACTCGACGACGTTTCGAACCTGAAGATCGGACCAACCGGAGCGGAGCTACAGCGACGGGAAGAAACCGGGAGAGAAACGCAAATATCTCGGGAACGGTTGGTTTTTTCGCGTTTTTAAGGCCAGATCAATATGTTACATATATTGGGTTTGTCTGCCTGGCCCGCCCCTACCAGGATCTAAATTCAAATTTTTTAAATTCAAATTTTTCAAAATTTATTAAAATTTTCCAAAACTTTGAAATATTAAAATCTTTTGGCGTTAAATATCTCGAAAACGGTGTGTTTATCGTCAATTTTGGCAGCAGACTCGTATACATATACTAGCTACATACATACATACATATACTATACGAGTTTGATCAGCGAGATCGGACAAATTAGGGAAATACATATATATAAAAAACGCATCTAACCTAAGGACACGTCCGCCTGACCACTCGAAAATAACACCATATAGGTGCGACGGCTCAATCGACTCCACTCTAGGAAAGGAATCATTTCATAGCCACGGCACCTAATTACACACACACATCCGCGACTAACACCAAAAGACACCAGTGTGACGGCTCTTTAAACTGCTTTTTAAGAGTAGAATCAGCTTATGCTAGTCACTCAAAAGTAGGGAGACACATACCTTTGATCATTTGAGATCATTTAGTTGGCTTTTAACTGCTATCGCGAGTAGTATTTTTTCGATACCAATATATACAGAATTACAACAATGTTATCATTGTTTATTTTAATTATCAACAGTTATTTATTTTAATTTAATTATTACTCTTAATTCTTAATTTTAGTAACAAAACCTTTTAAATTATTCAAAGTTTGTGACTATTTTTTGTATATAATGTATATTTTTTTAATAAAAATTATAAACTTTAACTTGATATATTTTACCTTAATTTAATTTTAATTCAATAAGCGTATATATATATGATACCAATCAATATCGGTATCGACGATATTCCTATAAGGTATATATTCATATACCTTATAGGAACTATCGGACGCGCAGTTTTACAGCTATTGTAAATGATCGGTAGTAAGAAGAAAGGCACAATGTCTTCTTGCAGCACCTTATACAATGGGAAAAAGACAGAGAAACCGTGGAAGCCTTATAGTATTAACAGACGATCGAACTTGGTACGGGCCCGACAGCGGATTCCGTACGCTCCATACCATATCCGTTCGTCTGGAGAGTTGTCTGCCGAACATTATTATTATTATTTCGTGTTCACTCGGTCCGATGGTTTGCACATCGAATTTGGTCCGCTCCGTACCAAATCCGCGAGTCTGTACGCTCGGACCGGACAAACGCACGGCAGTCACGTTTGAAACATTCTGGAGGTAGCACGTGCGTCAGCGCATGTTCGCACTATGGCGGAGATTTTAACAGAACGCGAAGTCCTTGTCGATGTTTTGGCACTGTATAAAGACTTTCCGTGCTTGTGGGATACATCACATGAATTGTATTGCAACAGAGATGCTCGTAATCAAGCTCTACAGATTCTTCGGGATTGTCATTCAAGGTTTGATAGAAGTATCACTGTAAATAATGTGAAAAAGAAAATAGAGAATATGAGAGCCGCGTACAGACGAGAGAGGAAAAAGGTTAGTTAAAATCAGTCTTTCATTTTAGTATTTTTCATTTATTATTTATATTATGTCAGTAGGTACAAAAATTAAGATTTGTGTTTTTTTTAATTGCAGGTAGAGAAGAGTAAATCTAGTGGTGCCGGGACAGAAGACATTTACACACCATCTTGGTATTATCAATATTTTACGTTTTTACACGAAAAACAGAATCCAGCGGTACAAGGAGTAGACAATTATGACGACAGCGGCAGCGAGCGAATTGTAAGTTTTTAAATATTCAACACATTTATCATCCTTTCTTGAAAATCAACACGACCTTCGCCATTAAAGTGATCAGTAAATATTTGGCGAACTTGTCTCCCAACTTCTGTGCGCTCCCTTTCACTACGAAGACCGATGGAGATATCGTTTTGTCGCCAATCTCCTGGTCGGAAGGTGTGTTGTTCGACATCTTCAAAATCAACACAATTTCTAGTCATATAGGGGCGACTCTTTTTCGTTGCAATAAGTCGCTCTTCAGCAGTAACAGCTTTCCTCATCACAGTATCAGTTTTCGTGATTAGAGGTTTAACCAAATTTAAGAGTTCCTCAAAGGTTTCGTGATCTAGTCGCAAGTATATACGGAAGTCTTCGCAATCGAGCGATTTGATTAACTTCATGTGACTAAATTCATCACGGTTTTTTAAATATGTTTTTGCCCACTCCTTTCTTTTTTTTCGTGATATTTGTGGCGGCATTACTGTTGCCGCAACAACAATCGCAATTTTAGCGCGCTTGGATAACGTCGGAGGCATGACGTCTGAACTGTGTACACGCCACGCGGTTACTGCGAGATCCGGCCGTGTGTTGTGAGTAGCGGATTTGGTACGCCATACCAATCCGCTATCCGGCCCGTACCAAGTTTGATCGTCTGTTAATACTATTATAAAGAATTTTGTTGTTTTAGCGGTATGGGCATCATTGTACCGTTTGTCCCATTCCGATATTGTTATCTGTCTAACCTCTTTCCTGATATAAGAAAGTGGTATCTTTACGTAATCCACTTTCGTCCCCAATGTTTCCGCCGCCTCCTTTGCTAAGGCGTCCGCTCTCTCATTTCCCGGTATAATGTGGGCCTTAATCCAATGAAGTTCTATGTTGATGCCTTTTTCTCGGCTTGTTCTGAGCTTATGACGGATTTCATCTACCTGAGGATAGTTAATAATGTAACTGATCAAAACACTTCAATGTGGCGATATTTTAAAATGATGCAGTTGATAAAAGATGACGTTGCCCCAGAATTAAATGAAGGCAATTTAGATGTAATTTGCCACTAAAAAAGTTGATGCAAGAAATGTTTCTTGCAACACTTATGCGCGAAAAATTATAAAAGCAGCGGAAATGCAACCAATTTAGCAACCCACTTAAAAACGAAACATCATCATGCCCAAGTTACATTAAAAAAAAGACAAATATTAATACAGCTACAGATAAAGCAGACGAAAACAATAATATGTCGATACCGCTGTTACCATTATCGAGACTAAATACTGGACTTACTGAGAGTAACAGCTTCTCTGACAACCAAGAGGGTCAAGTTAGTCAGGTAATATGTTTTTTGCAGTATATAAGTGTAAATTTACAATCATGTTCTATGTAAGTCTAAAATCTCTAAATTGATGTATTAGGTTAATCACCAAGAGGAGGATACTCAAAGCCTAGACAATATTTAGGTCTTTTTAAGATCGAAGTTAAAACAACAAACGGTTTTGCAATTATTTAAAAAAAGTACAAGTTATGATGGTAGTATATTTGAATTTGTTATTGTAGATATACATTTTATACTTGAACTGGTTTATTAATATTTTTTTAAAATTTTAGATGGAAGCGAGCGCCATATTGTAATCACCCAAAGTTTAGTCTCATGATTATTAAGGATAATTTACCACTCTCTTGTGTTAAAAAAGAGGGACTACAACAATTTGTTCGTACAGCATGTGCTCGGTATAAATTACTATTAAGATTTAAAGTAAATATGTTAGATCTCTCTATAGTTTCGATTCCTAAAAATCGTATGATATGATATGAAATTTAATGCTTATTACAAACAATTGTTTATTTTTAGGTAACTGATTTAATAGAACAAAGATATAGTTACTATATCTTTGTTCTATATTATAGACAAAGAGAAATGGAAAAATATGGAGGAGGCTTTTACCCTTAAATAACTAGACCACAAAAAAATAAATCAAACATAAATTTATACTAACACGGCTAATACTAATATTATGGAATGCAAACTAACTAATTGTTTCAATTAATAAAATTCAATCCTCAAAGTGGGGTAGTTCACGTGATTATTATGTTTCGAATTTCGACCCTAATGTGCACGATGTCGATTGTTGGTTCGCGGAGGTAGATAGGGCACAGATTCTTAATAAGTGGAGCGATTCCGAGTGTTTATCGCGTATTGGATTCTGCCTAAAGGGTGATGCCAAATCATGGTTGGACGATTGGGTCACGTCTGATACGACATGGAGTAATTTTTAAAATGATTTTAAGTCCCTTTGTGTCCAAAAGATTGATGTGGCAAACATTTTATATGAGGTGATGAGCACGAATTCCGATGATTATGCTACGTACGCCGAATATTCGCGACCTGAGGAGACTGGTTCCAGTATTGGTACCATCAGAATCTTATTCTACTCAAGACTCGATGTCAACGGTGGAAAATGATTCATTGACAACACATGACCACCCAGGAAAAAGAAAGAAACGAATGAATCCTGTCGATGTTGAGATTCTGAAGATTTCGCAGAGTTCAATTAAAGTGCAGAAGAGCAACTCGCCTGAGACAAAATGACTTATTCAATCGGAAGAAGATGAAGCACTCTTGGTCTCTGTATTACCCTCTATAAAAAGATTACCAGAGGATGATAGAATGGAATTTAGGATAGATGTGATGCAATTAATTAGGAAATACATTGATCGCCTACGTATGCACGACACTCCATTCCTACAGACACGGACGAGTTGAAGATGAGAATTTAAGAGAAATAACACAAGGTGAAAATAAAAATATCAACTTTGATAATGCATCTGCTGTCAGTAGGGGAATATCGTCACCCTTCGTACGCGGGGCACATTCATACAGTCAAAATAAAACTTGAACGAAACAAAGTACAGTCTTGCTTTTGTATGTGTGCATGAGTCGAGGTACCAACTTTACATCAACGAAGTTTCTTCGCACCGATGAGAGTGAAGTTACAGGCATGGACGTGTTTTCGCGCTCGGTAAGTAATTTTTTAATCAATGTTTTTGTCTCTTGTTACCGTAGATAAAATAAGTTTTCGTGTAGAGTATTCTACTAATACTGTATTGGATTCATTTATCAATGAGTCACAAGTTTCAATGTCTGCACTTCATCACTCTGTGGAAGAATCAGAAACTGATGCAGCAGTTAATTTATTACCAATAATAATATAAATACTCTTTCTGAATGACTACATCAAGTTTTTAAAAACATGTAAGAATTATTCATAATAAGTAAATTAAATTAAAAAAGGCCGTGGTTGTTCCTAATAACGTAAGATTGATATAGTTAATATTAGGTTTGGTTCTGTATAACGACTGTTTACTTAACCATGTACAATTATAAACTTAACCATTGGTTAATTTGTTGCCAGTGCAATGAACAATGACATCCCAAAAAATGTAGTTTGTTTTTGTGGGGAACATTTATTTTGTATGACAACACTAGACATACTGAGTGAACGAAATCCATTTTTGCCATCTTCATTCGTTAATTGCGCTTTGAAGAGTGTAAAGTGTCAAATTAATATACATTATACTATACTAAAATACATAAATAACGATGTCCGCAAACAGCCAACAGTCAAACAAGTAAGTACAAACATATTTTCGTGTTATTTATTCCGGGTTATCTTGTGTTTCGTAATAGAAAGTAATACATTTATGTTTTGTTAAAGGGACCGTACTGCAAACTTCGCCAAAAAAGAATCTGCCAAATTAATGGTGCTACTGAAGGATTACCCAGTCCTAACCTGCAAAAAAACGGATCACTCCAGCAATGTACAAAAAGATGCAGCTTGGAAATCACTTTGTGACGTTTCGAAGTGTTAAGCAGTTACAGCAGAAATATAACAATGTGGCGAACAACAATATACCACTCCTCTTTTCCACCGCGTCGGTGATTTTACCGCTATGTGTGACGACACGGGCGCGGTGGGTGGAGCCTGCAGCCAGTGGCAGCGCGACTAGCGGGCAGTGCGATCAGAACTATCAAACGCTAAACCCGTGCGCGATTTACGAATTCTCCCTTTGTGACTTATAATTAATCTATTATTGTCTTAACGCTTTCTTTTCTCTTATTGTGCTACAACTCTTATCATTTATTAACTTTGTTCCTTCTGTATACGTTGTAATAATTATATATACTTTAGACGTGAAGAAGTTTTCTTTGTCTTCCCACTGCCTAGCCAAGAAACTTATTATATATGGTGCTCGCCTCTGGCACCCCTATAACAATATTTAAAAAAAACTGCATGAATGTTTGTATGGTGTGAATGGTTTGTATCTGTTGTGTTTGGTCCCGATTTCACAACTACATCTCGTATGTTATTGTGTAATATAAAAATACTTATATTTTATTAAAATAATGTATTTTTTAGGAAATGGCAGCAGAGAAGTACGGAAGACGCCTAACTGGAGGTGGACCAGCTCCTCCTAAACCATCAGACACCACAGAGTGGTTAAATAGTATAATGGGATATTCAATATCGGGTCTTCCTGCGGTGTATGACAGCGATGCATTGGGTATTGACCCTTCTGGATTGAAATTGTTTAGGTTAAATGAGGGAAACTATATCTAATTGTTGTTTTTATTTTACAGATATTAGTAATGTAGAAGCAAAAAATATTAGAGACTCCGCAGATGCAAATATAGAGTTTAAAATTAGGACAAGCCCAACATGTGCCTGTAGTAATGAAGATCAAACAGTTGAACATGTGCTCCTACATTGCCCTATATTCGCATCGTCCAGGCACGACCTGGAGCAACAAATGCAGATGACTGTAGACCGTAACGGCCTACAGGACATGTTAATAAAGCACAGATCGTGCCTGGAACGGTTCTGCGATAAAATTGTTGAATATATTAAGGCGGCAAACTAAACTCCAAGAACGGGTCGCGCGAGGAATTGCGTTTTGGCTCGCCCATGAATATTGTAAACAAAAATATTACAGATGTAGCCGGGGCGTATTTCGCGAGACGTTTGATGTGAAGCTTAGATATAGAAAAAGTGGACACAATGGCAGGGGAGTAGAAAAGGTATTATTAAAAAAAAAATATAGAGTTTATTCAAGTTGAGAATTTAGATCCAAACAGTTATTAAGTCATACTACATAGCCAATTAGTTGATTTTTAATAACAATTTTTTATACTATTATATATTATTTCAGGCACTTCTCAAAGTATGCCATTGATAATAAACAGAGACTGGGAGGAAAACTGTAAGGAGAACATTCCCAACAATATAGCTTTGTAAAATACTAATTCTTGTGTAGCTAAAATTTATTAGCAAATATAGGGTTTCACAATTTTGTTATATACAATATTTGTTCCAGAAGATCCAAATGTATTTGACTCTTCAACACCAAAGGCTATGCTGCGAAAACCAGTCTCTAAAGAGTAACTCTTTTGTAAGCAGACATTATTAGTTTGTGGTAAATTTAATATACCTTTAATGAAGGGCACATACTTATGTTTGTTCTTGTTCTAGCTGTGTCCTACGACAAAAGGAAAAGTTATTTTAACCCGTCGGAAACAAGGAAGCGGATTATGACATACACGGATAAAAAAATTAATTTTTTGAAACAAAAAGAAATAAGTGAGCATGATTTGTCAAATTATGCTAAAGAGGAGCATGAAAAACATATGCTGCACAAAGAAGAGGCTCACAAAAAATCCATGCTGCATAAAGAGGATGCACATCAAAAAGCGATGCAGCAGCAAGAAGAGCTGCATCAAATTGAGGTGGAATGTAATAAGCAACATTTAGAAAATATGAAATAGTTTCATGTTAATTTTGTAATGTTTTTTTAATAAAAATAGTTTGTATTTAAGTTAAAATTAAATAGTTTATTAATCAAGTCACATGTTTTATTTATAAATTCTTGTTATAAAGTAGGTAGATGCTAACTCACATATGTAATAAAAGCCCTCAAAAATATCATAGGTCCCTAACTAATGTGTAACCGAAGTTCATTACAAGTATTTACTTCAAATTATAAGTTATTAGTTAATATCATAAGCAATAAAATACAAAATGAATTAGTTAATATTTATAACATTAGTACTCGTACATTGCTCATTTGACTGTGTATTTCGATTTTTAAACCCTGTGCTGATTAAACTTGTGATATTGCTGCTCCCGCCCTACCTACCTACCCACATACATCACACAAGATGAGTTCTGATGAAGGCCTCTTAACCCTTCATCGGAAGTGGGATCGGATGGGGCTAGAATTGAGCAAGAAACACCAAAATTGGATGCAGAAAAATTGCTGAATAACATGGGAATGCTTTTATCTCGTGTTCTCGGAGCCCAGCCAACGCCAGATGTGAGTACTAATCAGGCAACACAATTCTTACCATTTAATCCAGACGAACCAGACTGTGACATAGATGGTTGGTGCAATATTACCGAAGCGATCGTTCGTAATAAGCGCTTAGAAGGAATAGACTTGCTCATGGCTCTTACTACATCTTTAAGAAGGAATAGACTTGCTCATGGCTCTTACTACATCTTTCAAAGGACGAGAGGCTGCCTGTATCACTAAGCTAAACTTAGATGAAATGTCCTGGAGCGTTGTCAAACAGACACTGTTAGCTAAATTTTCAAAACCAAAGCTTTTTCAGGACTATTTTTGCTGAAGAGCATGGGCTCATTTTAGCCAACAAAATGTGCCGTGTACACCGCCAGCTCATGCGCTTAGATTTGACGGCTAACAACACAGTTGGGGCCTTTGTATGTTTGGCCATAGAAACATGGTTCGAGACGTCAGGGTTGCCATTGCCTCGAATATTTTATTGAATGTACTGCTTTGCACATCGCAGGTCCCATGAAGAGGCCATATTCGAGGATCCTACGTGATGAAACAAATTTATGCTTCTCTAGGGCCACCATCACAGACTGGTACAGTTATTGCCGGGAAGTAGTCGTAACTTATTATTTAGAAAACCAAGAGGTAAAAGGAAAAATAGGTGGCCTTGGAAAAATAGTACAAATAGGTGAAAGTAAATTCGGCCGGCGCAAATATAACAAAAGTAATAAATAAGTAATAATTAATTATAATTTTTAAAATAAATAATTACTTATTTCTATTTTTAGGAAGAAGAGTTGAAGGGCACTGGGTTCTAGGTATGATAGAAGATGGGAGCGAGGACAAGCGCTTGGAGGTGTGCCCGGACAACGTGCGGTCTGCAGAGGTCCTGGTGCCCCTGATAAAAAAATCACGTGGAAGAGAGCACCACGATCCATACAGATTGCTGGCGTGCTTATGATTGCCTGGCAGAGCACGGGTATAACCATAAGAAGGTTTACCACAGTGACCCGGATAACCCATTTGTTGCATCAGATGGGACTCACACTCTTGAGTCCCAATGGCGTATAGTAAAAAGATATTTTTACAAAGATAATAATTGTAATTATTACAACCATCCTCAAAACTTTGGAGATGTGATTGTGGAGTATTTGTGGCGAAGAGACGTGATGAAAAATAAAAAAAGATTCGTTTATGAAATTAATTGAGGCAATCAATTATATATACAAACCTTAACCTCTAGTTTTATTTATGTATCTTCATAATATCACCAAATATCATTCTTATTTCTAGAATACACTAGTTAGTGAGATTGTCCAAGATCATTTTCATCATCACCATTAAAGTAGTCACCACATCCGCACAAGCATTCGTGCGGATGTGGGATTTCTTAAACGGAATGCAGATTGTTTTGGTTGTACGACTAAAACAATTTTGTTTTTCATGTTGAATTTGGCAGTATTATATGGAATCCACTATATGCGATCCATTCGCAACGCGTTGAAAGATCTTTTACGCGACACCTAGCTTTCACAAGCAGAGGATTTTCACATAGGCCGGGTACCATCAGCGACTTAAAAAATTAAATATGTTATCACTGTACAATCGGACAACTTTAGCCGGTGTTACCTTCTTGCATAAATTGCTCAATAATCAAATAAAGAGCAGTGACCTCTTACAGGATATTAAAATTGTCGGCCCATACTCATTCCCTAGGTTTAAAATCAACAATATTTTCCAAATTCCTTCTGCGAAAACCAACCTAGGAGTTCAGGCACCTGTCGTTCGAATTCTTCGCGATTTTAACGGATTAGAGAAAGCATTGTGGGGTGCCTTTCTCGAACCTAATTCGCTGTTTTGCTGATGATTTTTCTGTTTTTTCTGCTTTAAGTGAGATGTACTCATGATCTCAAGCTGCCATGGAGATGGTATGTCAAACGTGACTACCAGACAAGGCGACGTCATAAAACCCGAGGCAATAATAAATTGTAATGATGCCAAAAAAGGGATTGATGTTTCTGACCAACTTGCTTCATTTCATTCTCCCTTACGTAAAAGTTTGACTCCCTTACGAAATAGAATTCGGAGAAATTAAAATAGACATCCATAGGTTAACCTTTACAAGTTAACCGATGGATGATATAATCTAAACCACCTTTTGATCTGATTAGACGAGTGATAACGAAATCCTTCACTATACTCAAGTAAGTTAACTATTAACCATAGAAAATAAATGTCAATTGCAAATCACTGTTTACGAGGAAATAGCAGTAACGGTGAAAAGCTTATATACCAAAAGCTGCCGCTAATGAAGTTACCTGAAAACTAGAAGATCCGTATCCAGAAAAACATTATTCCTGTTAAACTCAATGGGGTTGATTTAACAAATCTAAAAGTGTTATTATATGCGCTACAAAATAATGAAAGTCAAAGTTATGGTGTTGAGAATATCAGTAGTGTCAGTTTAGGGACTATCTTATGTGTAATTTTAGTTTGAAGCCTAATATTATTTCTTGCGTACAAAATAATAACATGTAAAACATTTCAAGGCCGAAATCATCCATCGAAAAATTGTTCTCCAGATGATTTTCGAAATCAGGGAGGGAAAAGTTACATGACTCAAAGAACACATTGCGGACATAAGACAAAGACGACACACAAAATCAGCAGTCTGTGAACACATACTAGATAGGCCTAATCACTACATACGCTTTGACCAACCGAAAGTACTCGCGAAAGAAAAAAGATTCTTCCCAAGATTGGTGGATTTGGATTGGTGACGCCAAGCCATTGAAATCAAAAAACACCCCAATTTCAATAGAGAAGACGGCCTAAAATTGTCAAACACCTGGGATCTAATAATATCCAAATTAAAATCTCAAGAAAAACAATCCGCGAAAATAGAGGACACCGTGAGCCATTTTTGTCAAAACCCTCCATCTTTTAGTCGATACCAACTCCGGGGAAATAAATACAGATAATGCAACTTTCTCTACAGATGTGATACTTTTTGACATCCAACACCTTTTGTCTTCAGTCAGCGTGACCACGCACGCTGTAAAGCACGCGAAACGTCGGACTAATTTAAAATTATGTTAAATAATTGTAAATTTATAATAATACATAACTTTAATCCGGTTAAAAAGTTTTTTCTTTAAAAGTTACATTGTCACGCATGTATCAAAATCGCACAGTAAGCATTAAAGCAACTGCTACGCAGAATGCTTAGTTTGTATTATTTTATTTAATAAGGTGGTAGTAGGTACTAAAGTTCTTTCCGCTTGTATCACAGCAGCGTCACCTTCTTCATTACGTAAAGCTACTGTACCCGCTTATATTCGAGGAATAAGAGCAGAAGCACTTCTCGACTTGGGAAGGTGGAACGCACTAGACCGCGCGGAAGGTCACCTACGCGTTGGAATGACCAAATCAAGTCTGCCGTAGGAGATTCACTCAATCAGTGCACCAGGATGACCTCTAATAGGCAACGATGGCGAAACGTCGTGAAGCGCATCACATCTACCCCTTCTATTACCACTACTTCTTAGCGATCACGACCGCTCTGTCAAGAGTGCACCGGATAGGAAGAGTAGGCACTGAAGTTCTTTCCGCTTGTATCACAGCAGCGTCACCTTCTTCATTACATAAAGCTACTGTACCCGCTTATATTCGAGGAATAAGAGCAGAAGCACTTCTAGACACCGGCAGCTCCATCAGTTTGTTTAGCATTAAGAATTAAAGTCAGTTTAACATCGACCGTTCTTGAGTTTTATTGATTATTAAATTTGTTTTAGAAAACATATTAGATTAACAAATTACAATTAATCGATCTTATTGTACCACTATCTTGGCAAATAAACGATTTATTATTATAATTATTATTTTTCCTCTTTCGTCGCGATTTGACTACTTACCGCAACTTTGTTTATCATGCTCTTACTGAGGTTAAAGTTTTCATTTAGTTTTGGTTACTATTATTTGTATTTTGTGTTTGTTTGTTTAATTTTTTTCCTTGATAGATAGCTCATGTTCAAATTTAATTGATCTGTATGTAAATGTGTGTTAAATTTGTGATGTCATATTTTCTTGAATTTTTTAGGCACACACAATGTTTTAGAACGTATAAATAAATACAAGCATTGGAATGCAACGATTAGGTGCAGTAATTTTTCGAAGATGATTCTTAGAGTCGTCAAGCTGTAGGTAAGAAAGAATTTGTGTCTCGTAAAGTTAAAAAACAGAAGAGATATTTACTTGATACCATGAAAAATCTTCATAAGAAATTTTTGAAAACCATATGTGTAATCAGTTATTCCCTATTCCATCGACATACGAAAAACAGTGGGTGAATAAGAAATAGTCCATAACTGTCGCCGCACACGGGCCACACGCCACAGCCACAAACGCCGCCACGAGAAGCTAGAAGCGGCTACAAAGGTAGCTGAAGCGCGCGACAGCCACTTGTGGCCGGTGGTCGACACTTGCGGTCGGTGGCTGCTACTTTTTTTAACACTTGCGTGCAGTATCATAATTGACTCTGACGAAGAAGGTTTAATTGCGCTACTTTTGATAAAAAGACGTCGTCGTAGAAGACGAAACCATATTTATTGGATACACAGAAAGACATTAAATATCCCCTCACCACGACAGGTCGGTAATCGACAACCATTGAACTATACATTTTTCTCCTCTATTACTAAAACTATCACTTTTTGAGTCCCAAATCGCAGGACGAGATTGTATTTCTGATATAAATAATTATATATCCATATTTATCTACCTATATGAACCACAGACTACGTGCGTGCGTAAGGCCGGTTCCCATCGACGCAGATTCCCGCGGTAAATCTCGGAAGAGCTAGTGGCTGTACAATTTATATGAACTATTCACATTATCCCGGTCCGGCATTTTTGCCGAGCCCGGCATTTCTACCGAACGTTTTGTCACTACGAATTGCCGGTAGAACGACCGGGCCGGAGTAATGTGAACAGTTTGTGCGGTATCTGTCCCCGCTGCCTGCTGTGCTCCCCTCGCCCCGCCGTGTTCCACTCACGTCATTCGCTCGCATGTTCTGGTAAAAGTAGACGTTTAGCATGGATATTCAAGCAGAAACTTTAATTACGTGTAAGAACCTGTTTGTGGGATAAGACCAAACTTTATAAAGACAAAAACTTAAAGTTAGAGCATGGTAAGTATGTTTAATACTGAAACCAAACTTCGATGAACTGGATGAAAAAGAAAGAAAAATAGTATTTTTAATGTTTTATTGAAAAATGTAAATGCATTATAAATTTTATTTTATACTCTGTGAGGAAGGAACCAATATCTAAAAAAATAATTAGTAAATGATTCCGTATAGTTGGATTAGGGCCACCTGACTCGACACATTTGATTCAGTAGTTTCTGTTTTGTCTATGTTCTAATTTGTAACTTTCAAAATTATACCATTTTTTCTCTACAAAATTATGTAAGACTGAAAGCTTTAATTACTTGAATTGCTGTGTCTACGTTGAGATCTATAGTGATGGATTATTCCACTTATTTGCAGAATACCAAAAGCGCATACATACCTTCTTGCTCGACTTAGTCTATAGTTAAAAATCTTTTATCATATTAAATGTGTACTCCATATGACGTAGGAGATTAGGTTTAAACAAAGCCTTCATCGCCAACAAGTAAAGGTAATTTTGTGCAAGTTTTATGAAGCGGTTAGCTTTGGTACATTTAAAGTACCATCATTGATCTTTTGCAAAATGTACTATCCTTTAATATACTAGAATCGCATTCCTTGCCAAATGAGCCCACATAATAAAAATAAATCGGTACTCTGAATCGACAACTGCCATTAATACAAAAGAATAATACTTTTAATAAAGAAATAGAACCACTCTTGGCTGGTTTAAAATTCTGATATTTTCATCTACTCTAAACAGTAGAAATTGGCTTTTCTTGAATTAAATCTCCCATTCTCTCTCAGTATCAGGCAGTTAAGAAATCTTCTTTAGGTTTTCCCAAATGACGTGGTCATTTTTTTATTATTTACTTATTGTGAAACGCCTACTCTGTATGATAATTATTTTTTAATGAACATCCTAAGCTAAATATCTGAAAAAAATTTTTTTAATACATATACTTTATATAAAAAACAAATTTATTTTTTATGAATTTTTTATTGATTTCAGGAAAACAGTTTCAACTAAATGAATAATATAAATTCGTGCTTAAGACAGTAAAAAAAAAAGATAGTCTAAATTGATCTTCACCAAAAAGACACAAATATTTAATAGAAATTAATGTTTTTGAAAAATCTAACCTCGACCAAATATCATTTAAAAAAAGAACAACTGAAGTAGGCATGGAATAATTTTGTTCACCTTTAATTAAAGATAAAAAAATTGATAATAAAGAGGTAAATAAGATGAAAGTTTTTGGACTCCAAATAAACCCAGAAAAGGAAAACCATATCTATTTTTTCAAAGATTATAAATCTTGAAACTTTAACTATGAAGAGACTTTAGAATTTCAAGCTAGCGTCATGAAATTTGAAAAAATTAAAATAGGAATTATGAGAACCAAATTACGACATTGGCTATTATATAATCAGATAACCGACCAGATCAGTATTCTGATACTACACACATAATAGCGTCAATCAACAGCCAATACCTAGCAAGATCAACACTACCCTGGATACTCTAGCAATATAATAGTAGCAATCAACAGGCAACAACATCTATACCATCAACTTCATCTCAGACATCAATCATTCACTTCGATAGATCTAGTAATCTTCCATACATTCCCAAGACTCAGATTACTTAGATTTTAAATTTAATTTATAAAATAAATACTTAAATAATTTTTGCATTTTTAATTCATAATATTATCAAATACATACACCCTCCCACACACACACATTATATATATTCACATTCATGAAACAAACATACATAGCAAACATTCATTATTCATACAGTCTTAATAGGTACTATAAAACTATTATACAATCTATCATAAAATAATCTTACCTTAAATATGGTAATTTGTTTGGAAATACATTCTCTAAACTTTATCTCGACTCTAGTTAGTGTCCCATAAATCGTAAAAGTTTTTATTAAAATAAAAGAACTTTATTCTTTTAATTAATTAATTTTCAAATTTCAAGTAAAATCTTTCAAAATAGTTAAATTTTAGTTTATAAAAAAAAAAACAGATAATCTAGACTTTATTATATTTACCGTCGACTTCAGGTTAACTGAGGCAAGGGAGAGAGGGGCGCGAAATCGTGCGAGTGGCGTGTGGCGGCTTTTTGTGTCGGCGTTTAGTGGCCGGTGCGAGCCACAAGAAGCAAGCTGCGACGATTTGTAGCGTGTGGCCGCTACCGGCGCCAACCGTGTGCGGCGAGACCATATAAAATGTATGAAAATTACAGGAAATATGCCAGTGGCGGCGTTTTGTGGTTGTGGCCGGTGGCCCGTGTGCGGGGACCCTAACAGATCTGAAAACGAACAAAGAACGATTTGTGATGAAATGTAAAATAGAAACACAGGAAATTTCACCTAGAAATGCCATTAAAAAAGCCATTTTTATTCAAATTTTTTGGAACCGAGCGCTGTTATTAACAACTCGCCAACAATTAACACACAGACCTTACCGGGGGCTGCTTGTTTCGGCACGGATATCGGGTCAATAGAAATAGATAGGGATGAGGTATATAGATTTTTGAAACATGTGGATCTAAACAAGTCACCGGGGCCTGACAATATTTCAACAGTATTTATAGTAAATTGTGCCGATAGCCTGACTTTACCACTTTCAATTTTATTCCAATTCTCACTTACTGCCGGAGTAGTGCCCACTTTGTGGAAGTCTGCGTATATAACACCTGTCCTGAAAAAAGGATCAAAAGCCTAAGCCATCATATTAATTATATAATATTGAACCTTCTTTAGCTGTAAATAATATCTCAGAAATGGAAGAATATAAGAGATGCGTGGATGAAACGCGACAAAAAGATACGTGAATCGAAATCTGGATCAGGTGCTGAACCAGTACATAAATATCAATATTAAGATAATTTACAATTTTTGATAAAAATTACCCCACGGCCACCCCAATCTGGTTCAAACATGCCGGAAGAAAAAACATCTGAAGTTACTAATGTCAACAAAAGAAAGAAAAAAAACGAAGAAATAAACCCTGTACATAAGAAAATGATTAAGTTTATGAAAACGTTAGAAAAAGATGACGATAGTAGAATGATGTCTTTTTCTAAAGGTATAGCTCCTAGCGTGGAACGCTCCAAAGACGAAGTTATTGTTGAATTCCAGTATCAAGTATTTAATATTATAAGAAAGATTCTATATATAAATAGTTATAGCGCTCCACATCATTCACGCAAAGCAGATGCAATTGACACCCCGGCACACTACGGATACAATACTGCTGCTGGACCCAGAACGAGAGTTTAATCACAGGCTTCGAAATATAGTATATTGAAAACGAATATATTGAAAACGATTCATTACAAAACATCACAAGTCCATCTACTCCAAGCTTGATTGATTTTGATTTTTCTACATTACATCAGAATAATCAAAAAAAATTAAGAATGAAGACCGAGAAAAGATAAAGATGGGGGGTAATTAAAGTTATCAAAGTGGAGAAAGAGTTTAATGATCGTTTCTTTAACAAGTGTTCGTATAAAGAAAAGAACTTCAAAACCATCATGGTCAAAACTCGAGCTACTAAGAAAAAAACGAACCATTGTTCTGAATGACAGCTGACCGTCTTACATTCAGAATGTCTTAAACTGCCTCATCGATGCCTCCTGCCCCATCCATGCCTCCTACTTCACCGATGTCTCTTGCCTCTCTTCGACTTCAAGTTATGCTGAGCGTCGATGCTCATGGTGGCTCGGCCTTGCCGCGCGAGGCACTACTGCGGCAAATGTCCGAGGCTGCCTCGCGAAGCTGCTCGCTTGGTCAGTACGCGGCTAATCTAGTGCACTTCGCCACTCAGCGCCAAAATTTTGAAACGGAATTGTTCATAGACGAAATATAAAAAAGACCAGCGATATGGGATTTGGAATCACCTGATTATGCCAATAGGATTTAAAAACGTAGGTTTCGGGAAGAATTGGTGTTAATATTGTCTGATAAAGATGACTCCGAGGAAAAAACCTCTCGACCTTCCTTCATGAAATACATATCACATGACACCCCCTATTTGAACAACCTAAACTTTCTAACAATGAAAGGTCGACAAAAATTGTATTTGGCATGTTTGTTATTTGATGTAGTATATACTAAACAACCTGAATATTTGTACAAAAAGCTCCTCTGGCGTAGTAATGCCAATGCACGATTACTGTCAAATGCGTGCACTGACTTGACAGGTCCACTCAATCTGTGTGGTTCTTTCCTCAAAATACCATTTCAGACTGCAATCTACATGGTCTTCACATAATCTTGTTATCTCTGGACTTTAAAAGAGACTGTGACCTCTGAGTTTGTTTCGGCGTTTCTTCTCAGAGTAGCCAGATAGGAAACGTCGATCTCATCTAGTTTAAAAAAAAAAAAATGTTTGACGTGTTTGTACAAACCTACTTACAGAAATAAATTATTTATCATTTAACAAGCACCAAGTCAGGAGTTGTACTCAGGATCTGGCCATTCCCCAGCATCGGAAGGCTTCATTTCGTGGGAGTTTTAAATATAGCACGACGAAGTGTTGGAATAATATCCCTCCTCCGCTGAAGAGTCTTCAATTAAAGTCAAATTTTAGTCGCAGTTATAAGTTCTCTAAGGATAATGTATGTATTTCTGTAATAAATAAATAAATAAATAAAGACAGTTCCATCTACTTACTCAACAAAAGTCCCACAAAATGTAGTTTTTCCACCCAAAAAAACAAAAACAAAAAATATCTACTCATTTACAATTATTATTATTTTTAACTTTTTATTTTATTTTATTTACTATACACCCTTACACACGATTTTCATTACTTACACTGCTAACTTAATTATTATTATTTTCTACTTAGTATTTTTTTTTTGCTACTGAGGCGCAAACTAGCTGCTGTGGTATCTGTCAGAATGACCAGCGCTGTGGAACATTCTACTCCTCAGCATAATGCTGAGCCAGGGCCAATTACAACCACAGCACACACACATTGCACACTTGAAGCGAACCGAATGCGAAAAGGGAATTTTTTATTTTTATTGTTTTCGATGTCTTATTTTATTTGTTCTTTAAGTATTGTTATTTTGTGTGTTTCGAGACCTTACACCAGGTCGATCGAAATTATGTTTTGTTCAAATTCAATATGCACATTGAGTGGTTTGTGAAATATTCGCCATTTGTTTACCAGGATTCCAAAACAACGCTCAATATTACAACATTTCAATATTGATATCAGGTAAAAATAAATTAGACTTAAATACAAAGCTCCAAATGACAATAGATAAAACGGCTAGCTGGCTAAGAATTCATAACTGGGAAATAAACTATGAAAAAACGAAACTAATGACACTCCACCACTATGAAAAAACAACAATTGACATAAAGTTGACATATAATGGTTGTAATATAGAAAAGGAACCAAAGTTCACTCTATTGGGTTTAGACATAGACTCGGATATAAACTGGAAATATCATGTAAATAAGGTTAGATTCAAATTGCCTCAATTCGCATATGCACTTCGCGAAATTAAAAAAGCCAGATATGAAAACAGCTCTAGTTGCCTACTACGCATATGCATACTCATGGTTGAGCTATGGTGTTCAGTTCTGCAGGAAACAAAAAGGAGCAAAAGACAGAAGCAGTAGGACGAGAAAGTATGATAAACAGAGGAGCAGAATTGCACTCGATGATCATCTCTCCAACAAATGATAATGAGACGAGCGAGAATAAGAGAGGTAGTGAATGCCAAAGAAGGAGGCATTAAAATATATCGAGTTAGAAAGATTAAAGACGGCAAATTAGTCATCGGCTGTAGAAGCATCGAAGAAAAGAACAAGATTAAGAAAAGGCTGGAAGGAAAGAGAGAACACCTAAAAATAAAAGATGTAGAGATTCTGGGACTTACCATTGATAAAAAACTAACATTCAACGCGCATGTAACAAACGACAAAAAAGACCATAGACCTATTTAAAAGAATAGACAAAGCTGCAAAAGTGAGCTGGGGTATCCACCCGGAAATAAAAGGGTCCTATAGAACGTTTGGGGTTATTATTAACTGGTCAAGCAACAACTTGGTGGCAAGGAGTAAAAACGGAGGCAAAAACTTGGACTTCAGCAATAAATTTAATAAGAGAATAGAGATAATTGGCGAAAGATTTCGCCCCGAAAAAGCAACCTCACGAAATTTATTTAGAATTATTTTCTACACAAGGTTTCAAAGAATCAATTGTGTGTCAATTTATATATACAGAACGTGCACTTTTATCACAATTAACAACACAACGGCATAAGCAAGAAAATCAAATTGATTTAATTTATGGTTTGCTAAATATTTATTAGATAAAAATATTCCAAGGTCAGAAATTAAAACGTTTCGGGATCTACTGACAAAGGAATTTATTTCCAAAGTTGAAAAAATAATGAAGAGGGAGAAAAAATAATAACCAAAAGGTGCAACTACTGTAACAAGAGGTGTCACACAAAAGATGAGTGCAAGAAAAAACAATACAATGAAAGAGCAAAGAATATGGCAACACCAGGTGTTAAGTGTTTTGGTTGTGGCACTCCGGGAGTGTACAGCAATAAATGCTTGAACTGCAAAAGCAAAGAAACGCCACCAAAGTCAGTGCAATTTTATTCTATTATTAATAGAACTATTGGAGATGAAGTAAAAATACCTATAATTGATAGTACGAGATCCGGCTGCAAAATCTCTACGTTCATCGCGTAGTTAATCAAATTCACATTTTTACATTTATTTATGATTAGAATACAAGTAGCCGCAAGTAATTTTAATTAAATTAATGTTAATTAATTTGCCAAAAAAAATTCGTTCACTTATTTTTAAATAAAATACCATCCACATCACAGCAATGTTTGTAAAGAATTCGAAAATCGATGGGTGCCGTTGCACACTGTACTCGGCCGCAACTACTTCGCAGACAGGTGTAAACAGGTAATATAGTTTGGTGTATTTATACGTTCATGACGTATACGCATGTTTTTTTTTATATTACGCTTATTTAGACTCCGCGGCTCGTACAAGTATCGCTGGTTCTACATTATATGAATTATCATTAAAAGAAGGCAACACTTTTACGGACAAAGAAGCTATAATTAATATGGATGATGGGTCCACAATCCTGCAGAAGCACAAAGTAATAACGATTGAAATAACCATAGGAAATCCCAATTACACTCTCTGCAATGCCGGAAGAAAAGAACACTAGAACATTGTTGGAAATAGATTTTTTAGAATCTGCAGGAATTGTGCTCAACTCCTCCTTACATTAAAGATGAATTTGAAACAAGTACATAAACGAGAATGGAAGGTAAGATTTAATACACCACCTCCAATTATTCGTCCTAGGGAGCCTAGAGAACACCCGAGAAGCGTGAGTGTGAGGAGTTTCCCGCTGTCTCGTTCTCGTACTCGCCTGTTCTCCGATGGTTGTCGGTATTTTTACCGCTTCAAAGGATTTCTCGGGCAAGAAAAGAGAAGACTATCACACTCAGGTTTTGTCTCAGTGCCGATTAGTGAGCTGCGGAGTGTAGACTTCCATAGTCCATATCGTATTATTTGTTTTAAAAAAATTGTTTTCTTTTCAAAATGTGGAATAACGAACTTGAGTTGAAATTTATCGAATACTTTCAATCCGAGCCTATTTTGTGGGATGCTAAAATCGGAACTACAAAGATAAAAGTTTAAAACACGATGCTATATCGACTCGTTCCATTCAGCTACTTCTCCTACGTTATTTCAACGAGCGTCAACTGCGTTTTTACGTTATCATGCAAGTGAAGAAGGAATCATAGCATATTTCAAACATGAGTGGGTTTCACTCAATCCAAATTGGTGTCTGTGATCAGCCGAATGTTCTCCAGTGACAAACAATGCACTACACTCATTCAATAGAGATATAAAAGACAGCCACACTTTGCGAGAACGTCTTCCTTTGTCTAGATTTCTTTCAGTCGCAACAAACATGGTCAAGGAATGGTCGGGAAATTATAAACCGGAGACATTTATAACTGTACCTGCGATAGAACTGAAAGACTGGACTTTTGCGTATCAATGGGCGAAACTTGACAAAAATGTCAAATTCTTAGAATCTGATACCGGACTAAATACAAGCAAGTAACATTCCATTTAATTAAGATTGGGAAAGTTATGATGGATACAAAAAGAAAGCTTTCGCGTATTGGAGAGTTGCTTTGCCCACCCACCAAACCACCTGGATGAACGAAAAATGAATATTTTTAAGAACTATATGTGCAAGCGTATCATCGGCCTTGCGACCGTGGCACCACCTGCAGAAGCCAAAAATGTGCCTATTGGGCAAAAAAGGAAGCGTGGACGCCCCACGAAAGCAAGACCCGCCTTAATAATACAATTAAAAAATTACTATTTATATCTAATTTTAGTAAACCCACCATTATACCCTTTAGCATGTAAGAGATGTGTCTAACCTCTTGACTATCTAATATGCTAGGTAATCAAAAGGAAGGTATATAAGTATACCAAGCGGGAGCAGAGTTAGTCGATTGTCAATGTCCATTAAGGTTACACCTCTGTTTCTGACGAGTATATAATATCAACGGCACAAAGGTATAGTTAAAACCACGTTCCGGAGTGGCTTTACTGTGGTTATCGTAGTATGGTTTCATCACATGTTTATCTAGAGCAAAAGCGCTGTCAGCAACAAAAAAGTAGGCTTTAGTCCTATAAGGTAATGCTTTTTCTTGTGGTTAGTTTAGGGAGCCACTTTGCATCATCTTGTAGAACTCTGTATCTTTGAATATCCCTCCATCAGATATACGCCCCTGGCAGGCAAAGTGCAAACAGAACTGTCAGTGGTAAACCGACACCCGAACGGAGCGGTTGTGTGTAGAAAGTACAGGTGTTGTGGTGTTGTTGAGCCGTAAAATACTCCAAGAAGCTGGACATTACAAGAACAATACTAAAAGTAGATTTGTAATTATGATATTCAGTTCCACTTTTTGGAGGTGACTGTATAACTATTTGTTTACCGTCTATTGCGCCAATTCAATGGGGAAAATGCCATTTATATTCAAATCCTTTACTCACTTCTAGCCATATATCTGGTCTCCTTGAAAAATAAAAATATTATTACAGAAACAAGCAGGTATAGAACAAGATAAAATGGATGAGCGACAGGTACAAGGTGATGGAATAAATACTGACACTGAAAGCGACCTGTCTTTTATTGAACCTCCGCCGTCCAAAAAGAAACAATCGAAGGATAATAAAATCGTAACTGAAGCCCTACAAGTTTTAAAGACTGCTACAGAAAAATTTAGCGATAATTCCAAGATGTAACAAGAAGTACATTCATTTATAAATTTTATTGGAGCCAATGAATCTTATTCACGTTCAACAAAAAATATGGTTCAACAGGCAATATTTGATGTCATAATGAAAGTCGATTCTGGGTAATATGATTATCAACCAAATATGCAAGTGTCGACGCAAGGTTATTTCAACGAGCAAATTCTACTCAGCCGTTTAATTTTTTCACACCTAACGATCTTAGACCTTTACCACAAGCGGGTCCAAGGGCTGAAACAAAAAGAGGTCGTACAAAACAATTTAAGATCTGGAAATGATAATGGTAGATTATGATTCACGACAAAAACCAAAAATAGTTTTACCACAAATGATTCGTGCATTTCAAGCTGCTCCTAGACAAAGTCTTCGTGACAGTGAGACAGACTTTAACGAATAATAGCTCTGATAGTCTATGGGATGAAGAGACAGATGTAACTGATAAATGGTTTTGTTTCATCTGTGGAGAAGAGAAAGCTATGGACATGAGACTTTGTGCTATTTGTGGCCAATATGGACATGAAATCTGTGTTGGACTGTCCAAAGCTGATAAAGAAAAGTTAATTTGTCCTAATTGCTCGAATTAAAAAATGGAAGACTAATAAAGATTATGATTTTTCTAAATGTAGATTTAATTATGTTATTAACCCTAAGATAAAGATCTTAAGTGTCGACTGCCAGAAAAATAAGCCGTTACCGATAATCCCAGATCAGATTACCTACTTCTCCCGTCAACTCTACTTTTACAACTTTACTGTGGTGGAGGGTAGTTCTAAATCCTCATTATCTGAAAAAAATGGGTTCAGTTATTGTTGGACAGAAGAAGAATATGCAAAAGATTCTAATCTCATAGTATCAGCAGTTTACCATGGGCTTTGCAACACGGATTTCCCAATGGAATGTAATCAAGTTCGACTCATGGCTGACGGTTGTTCCGGTTAGAACAAAAACTCTATGATGATGGCAATGCTTTCGAAATGATGCGCTCACAAAAGATGCACCAGCTCACATACGTTTGGTTGAAGTGGTCTTTCCAGTAGTGGGTCACTCTTTTCTTCCACCAGATAGAGTGTTTGCTCGTATCGAAAAAGAGCTACGGAAAGTCGAAAATATAGTCAAGCCGATAGAATACTTGAATGTTGTAGAAGCACATTGTACTGCCATAAATGTTGCCTCAACAGTACAAGTATGGGACTGGAAAACGGCCGCAAAAGATGGGTTTTTGCTAACTACAAAATGGCATGTGCCATTCGCAAAAAATCGCAAAGCCCATCAGAGTGTTTCGAAGCCAGCAATGTCCATTATATTTATTTGCTTTTGTAATCAATTTATGATTACTTATTATTATTTTACAAATTTACTATTCAAATCACGTTTATTTTTAATTAATATTTATATTCAATTTACAAGCTACTTTATTTGATGATTGTATTTGATTCACGATTTTGTGATTATATGTTATTATTTTTACAATTTTATTAGCTAAATTATGTTTTTTTTTTGTTATTATCTGTGGGGATTTGTACGAACCAAGACGTTTTTGAGACGATCTAAAATAAGTGAGGGAATTCTGACCGATCCGCTTGACGAAGACGGACGTTAAATTATAAGCTGTGTGGTTGATTAAGAATAAGAAGAAGTATTGGAATAATATAATTGTTGTAACGAAGCAAGCATTTTTATTATACACCAGAATAGAATTGTGAGAATTCATCACACTTTTATTATCTTTTTTGTTCGAATATATCTACATTAACTATGCATTTAGTTCACCTACACAAATCTAAATAAATTTCGCATAGATTCATGACTATAATGGGCGTATATTACGCACAATAAGATAAGGATATCTTGAAAGTAGTCAACATGGACATTGTGGTTTTTGAAAATAATAGACTCAATTTGTAGTGGTTATTTTGCTATACCCGGGTAAAGGCTCCCTACTTGGGGGATCAAATTTCCCACCCAGGCGGGAGATATTAGCCGAATTTCACTTTGGTAAAAATTTTAAATTACTCGTTAACTAATAATGATGCATTAAACTTTCTTAGAAGAAAATATAGCTTAATAATGTTGCTTAAGAAAAGCGAAAGAATAATATATATAACCCATAACCCTCCAAGGACATCATCATCATACCACACAAAACAAGCAATGAAAAAGATAGCGAAGGAAAATCACCATCTTTATATAATAGCTTACAACGTTGGAACTCTTTCATCATACGAAAATATATTAGAAATAGAGAAAGCGCTAGAAGGTATAAAATACGTTATAATTGGTATTCCGGAAGTCCGATGCCTCGGAAATATAAAGAGGCAGACCCTACGCTCGATGGGATGATGACATTAAAAAATCGCGGGTCCTCACTGGGTCCAAATAGCTCGGGATAGAGAAATATCCCTTAAATGCATTTTTGTGCCGAAAACGGTACAACAACTTTGTTCTCAATTACAACACCAAACTATGGTCTATCACATTTTTTCCTGGTATAAAAACATTCTGTGGACCCTAATGATCAAAGAAAAAAAATGTTTTGTCTATGGACATGTCAGCCATTTTAAAAAACCTGTCAAATTGTAGACGAGTCCCGTTGTCTTTGCGCTTAGTGAAATTTGAATTTTTCCATCGAATCTAATCAAGCGTATTTTGACATATATTTGCGAGATATAATATTGATGACGCAGGTATGTTCCTCATTTTATTTTGTAAAAATTTGTGTGAATTTCCTAAGAAGTAACATGTAAAACGACAAAATTAGCATTGTCCCGAAAACGACCCAACATGCATGTAGGGTATGTGTATAAATTTCTTTCCTTGGCTTATGGTTACTGATGATTTTTATAAGTTTTGCTCTTTTGCTGCTTGGTTTGAGCTTGGTTTTGTTTTTATTCTTAGTTATGAAAGATTATAATTTGGAGGAACTGCTTCGCCAGCTAAAAAATGGCGAACTTTCCGAAGATGACGGCGAATCTGATGGAGGTGAATTGGATTTGTATCCAAGTCGACAGGAACTTTTGGATGATTTAGAAGCTGACGAAGGAGCTGTTGCTGAGAGTGGTGAGGAGTTCAATGAAGATGATCCACCTTTGGAAGGCGATGACGTTGCTCCTGGCTGTGATAATGATCCTCCTTTACTTGTAGATGTCAACGCCCTAAGTACTTCTCTGAGCTATAGTTTCTTGTCAACCAGTCGAAATCTATTGTGGAGGAAACGGAACCTGGTTTTTGAGGAAGATTAAATAGCTTTCTTAGGGTCTTATGAATTCCCTAATGACATCATGGAGCTAAGCACGCCGTTCCAATTCTTCAATTACTTCTTTACTGATGAGTTGATAGAAATCATTATTAAAGAATCAAACTTATACGCTATTCAACAACAGCCCAATCGAACTGAAATATTGACAAAGAATGATTTTCTCAAATATTTGGGTATTGTTACTTTCATGTCTGTCCACCGCTACCCCAACATAAGATCATACTGGGGGAAATTTGGGTTCATCCCAATTCGAGAAGCTATGGCTGTAAATAAATTTGAAAAGATAAGAAGAATATTAATTCAATGATAACACAAAACACCTGCCAGTGAGTCATCAAGCCAACCCGAGGTAGACGCCTGCTGCACGACGCCGAGACGCTGGTTTTTTCAGTGTCCGGCCCGGACGTGCCGACGCGCTACCCTGACCAGGCCAACCACCAAGCGGACACACTAGACATCGTGGTCCACCAGGGGTTGACATGCCAGATGACCCAGGACGTGATCGTCGACGAGCTGCTGTCCGATCACCTCCCCGTGGTTGTCACCCTGCTGGACACCGACCCAAGCCTAACCCTTGACACCGCTTTGCAGTAGGTGCATCGACTGGAGGGTATTGCAGCGAGCCCTCGACGATGCACCACAGCCGCGTCCGCCCGACACCCCAGCGTCAATTGACGATGTATACAAATGTGCCGTTGTTTTGTTAAATAGTTAGTGATATTTCAAATAGTTTTATGGCTACAAAGACGTATCGTACAATTACGCAGTTATTCTTCTTTAAACTTTTAGATTATCTTTTTAGACGTAAATGTAATTACGCCAGTACTATCCTGAAATGAGTACTAATTGTTTAATTATGACTAATTACAATAATTTATATCAAATATAACTCACAAATATTATTATTATTATTTGTTATACAAATTCAGCCATTCAAATGGGAAGCCGAGCACGTATGTTAGTCAAACTGTGTGAACAGGATTCTGGTAGTATTGAGGACCAATCTTCTTCCAATAGCTTTAATTCTGCCAGTGTAAATGGTAATGTGCATTTATAGTTTTTGTTTAATATTTTTGCACAGTGTCGAGTTCTAATGTTTCATTCCTAAATTTCAGAGATACATACTGCAGACCAAACAGCATTAACTGTGACGGAAAATATTATATCTTCCCTAAATAATACAAATTCGCGACCAATCCTAGCTAACGACGAAAATGGTAGTGAAGGCGAAACTAAAGACTTTTCTGCAGAAGATAGTGGTGACGAATATAAACCAGAGCAATCTGTAAAACGTGGCCGTATAAATTCAACATCATCTACCTCATCGACGAGCTCCTCGTGTTCTACTTCATCGTCCAGTTCGTCTGATTCTACTTCTAGCTCAACATCGACATCGACTACTCATGATTCGGTCAGAAATTCCAATTTAATGGATGCCAGCCAAGAAGTAGCGCTACCTGCCGAGACTACTGTACCCAAGAAAGGAAAAAAGAGAGTTCGGAATGAATCTGCGTGGATAAAGAATGTACGAAAACAATACTGACACTGAAAGCGACCTGTATTTTATTGATCCTCCGCCGTCCAAAAAGAAACAATTGACGGATGATAAAATCGTAACTGAAGCCCTACAAGTTTTAAAGACTGCTACATAAAAATTTAGCGATAATTCCAAGATGTCACAAGAAGTACATTCATTTATAAATTTTATTGAAACCAAAATGGAATCTTATTCACGTTCAACAAAAAATATGTTTCAACAGGCAATATTTGATGTCATAATGAACGCCGATTCTGGGTAATATGATTATCAACCAAATATGCAAGTGTCGACGCAAGGTTATTTCAACGAGCAAATTCTACTCAGCCGTTTAATTTTTTCACAACTAACGATCTTAGACCTTTACCACAAGCGGGTCCAAGGCCTGAAACAAATAGAGGTCGTAAAAAAAGTAAGACTGCAATACTAACGGACACGCCCGAAAAAAACTTAATTGAACAAGAATACCGCGAAAGAAATAAAGCCAAAAAAAAGTTAGGGGGAGTCCGGGAGAGTTTAGCAGGTGGGAGACAATAGCCACTGCTCATAGAATTTTTCTGGAACTAAATATTGCGACGTTGTTTCACTTCTTGATTGTGGAGATTGAAAGTAAGATGAAAACAAGTCCCGAATATTAAAAGCATTTTCGGCACTGTTCATTCCATTTGCTTGTATTGGTTGCAGTAAACCATTATCATTGTGATGTATTGGTTGCTGTATCTCATGTTGATTTAGATACTCTATTTCATAACTTCGCATAATATTATGTAAAAATATATGTCGCTAGTATCAATGTGTCAACGTGTATTGGGTTAATACTTTTGTTATAAATGCCAAATTTCTGGTACAATATTCCAAATGCATCTTCCACAACTTTGCGTGCTCGTGATAGACGTTCATTGAATATAGTTTGTGCCTCAGATAAGCCACGACTACGAGGGTATGGCCTCATTAAATTTTTCATTAGAGGAAACTCCTCATCTCCTATGAAAACATGTGGTATAGCTCTGTTACTTTCAGGTAGTGGTTTATCGTTTGGAATATGTAATGAGTTACTTTCAAGACGTCTCGCAAATTTCGAAGATGCAAATATTCCACCGTCACTATTTCTACCGAAAGCACCTTTATCAACTATTATAAATCTATATTTATCATCAACCACAGCCATTAGGACAACAGAAAAGTGCTTTTTATAATTAAAATACAGCGAACCACTATTAGCAGGTGCTATGATGTTGACATGCTTTCCATCTATAGCGCCGATGCAATTTGGAAAATTCCATCTGTCTTGAAATCCTTGAGCTATAGTTTTCCACCGTTCTTCATTTGGCGTTGGAATGAAAATTCCCATTAATTTGTTTATGATTGCGTTACATACTTCTTGTATGATTGATCGGATTGTTGATTCGCCTAATCTAAAGCTTAAACTCAACGTCCTTGCTTTACTCCCCGTGATCATGTATCTGAAACAAAACTTTCTCTATTAATATTTCTAAGCAAAAATAAACACACCTTAGCAGACAGACACCTCTTCACTTCGTTTTTTTCTTTTTCAGAATCAGAGTGCAAGAAAACATGGGCAAACTTAAGAGAAAGCTATAGAAGGGCAGTTGGTAAGAAACGCACAAAAAGTGGTCAGGCTGCTACCTCATCAAAAAAATGGCAATTTGAAGAAGAGATGTCTTTTTTGTTGCCGCATATGAAACAAAGAAAAACGATTTCATCATTAACGGAAGATGATAGTGAAGTTGACGAAAATTTTGATTTTAACGAATTGTTGTCTAATCACGATGATTCTTCCATGTTATCGAATGACCCAGATGTTAATATTACCAACCGACCAGAATCTTCTTCAACAAATATGTCAGGAAACTCTCATTTGTTTCCGCACATACCTAAAAGAAAGCGATTCAAAGGGACTCACGAATGTACTCCAGCATCAGCTCAACTTTTACAATATTTACTTAAAGAAAAAGAGACCAATAAGGATGATGAGATCGACATGTTTTTTTCGAGCATTGCAAAAACTGTAAAAAAATTAAATCGTTACAGCCAATCTGTTCTGAAGTCTAGAATATTCAACATGGTGTCTGAATTTGAATTACAAGAAATCAAGGAACAAACTAATTTCTATGCTGGTTCTTCACGACACAATACTGAAAACACTCACAATACAGGACCTTCGAGTCATAACACCCACAATATAGGATTTTCGGATTATAACATCCGTAATGCAGGCCCTTCCGACTCTAATACCGGCAATGCAGAGCTGTCAGGCAAAAATCCTCCAGTTTTAGAAGAACCGATATTGAACAGTGAATTGCCTAAGGCCTCTTTTCCATTACACGGTTTCTCGCCGTGAAAATCTACGGTTAATTCGCCGCGTGTAGGCACGGTCGTCAGTGTGGTATGGATCACTATATGAGCTTGTCGACATGCACGGTGGCGCCAAGGCACGGCGCCGCGGCCGCGTGCGCCGTGACTGCCCCTCGGCGCGCCGCGTCTACGCACGGCGTGATTTTCACCAGTGTTGTATGGCAGTCTATCGGGGTGTGTCGACGGTGCCGGACGTACGCACGGATTCGTGACCGCTTATATACGCTGTTTCGCGATTTTATTATAAAATGAACATAAATCAAGAATTATTAATTACGTTGATTCAAGAAAGGCCTGTAATATGGGATAAGACCATCGACGATTATAAAAATAAGCGGCTTAAATATGATTCCTGGAAAGAAATATTTATTCATTTCCAGCCCACATTTGAAGATTTAAGTGGTGATGAGAAAAACAAGTTTGGTAAGTTACAGATATTTAATTATTAACTTTTTACTTATGCATAGTTGTTTTGATAGGAGAGGCGACCTTCGTTAGATACAAAATATTGTGCAAATCTGTTGCGAACTTCATTAGCCGCCAAACTTCCGCGAACTGCATTCGTGATAGGTAACTGGATTAGTTCCGATTCTGAATCAAGGGTGGACTCATTTTCACTCGCATTGTGAAACTGAAAGTTTTCCTGCTTATGTATAAAATTTTGCAAAACACAACATGTTTTCACAATATCAACTGCCAAATCGATGGACACATTCATTGGCCGGTGAAAAATTCGCCATTTATTGGATAAAATGCCAAACGCACATTCAACAAATCTTCGCGCTCTTGTGAGTCTGTAGTTAAATGTACGTTTTAATTGATCAAGCTGATGACCACCAAATGGACGAAGCAAGTGATAATGCAAAGCAAAGGCTTCGTCCGCAACGAACACATATGGCAAATCGTAGTCAATTCCAGGCAAACGTGTTGCATCGGGTAGATTTAATCCGTTGTTTGTTAAATTTTTCCAAAATGGGGTCTCTTTAAACACACTGGAATCACACTCCTTTCCGTAGGCGCCAACGTCAACAAATATAAAGTTGTAATCGCTATCTACTACTGCCATCAAAACTATAGAAAAAAAATGTTTGTAATTTAAAAACATCGAGCCACTATCAATTGGCTTAATAAGTCTGATGTGTTTTCCATCGACCGCTCCTAAGCACAGCGGGAAGTTGGAAGATTCTTGAAATTTGCTTGCAATGTGTAGCCAGTCTTCTTTAGATGGCATTTTCATATATTCTTTATACAGTTCTAACCAAATGTAGTGGCATACTTCACGTACGATGCAACTTATGGTTTTTATTCCAATTCTATAGCTGTAGTATAGGTCAGTAAAGGTATCTCCTGTTGCTAGATACCTGAAATATGAAACAAAACGGTTCAGGTTCAAATACTAAAACCCCATTTTAGGTCGGGGTCGATTCAGTTTAGGTCGGGGGTTTTCATAAATTTTGAATTTAATAATTATTATTTATTTATTTTCAGGGAAAATGGTGATGAAGAAGTGGACCAATATGAAAGATAGCTGGATAAAATATGACAAAAAAATTAATGAATGTAAGTCTGGTTCTTCAGCAAAAAAAAATAAGAAAATATATGTTCTATGATGAAATGATGTTCCTAAAAAAAAATGTTGAGCATCGCAAGACCGATTCTAACATGACTGAACATGTTCATGATTCTAGCCTCAGTAATGAAAATTTTGATAGTGCAGTCCCGAATCAATCAAGCTCGGGATACACTGAACGGAGTGAGACGCAAAGGGCTAAAAAAAAAGAAAAAATGAACTAAGTGAAGTTGACATTAGGTTTATGAAGTTTATGGATTCAGCAGAACGAGATGAGAAAAAGAAAAGCCGTAGTATGAACTTTTTTATGGGAATCGCTGATACAGTTGACAAGTTCAGTGATGAAAATATGATAGACTTTCAGTTTCAAGTAATTTCAATAATTAAAAATATTCAACAAAGACAGTGTACTCAGTATATACCTACATCAAGAAACCAATGGGATCAAGGCCATCAAGGATATTTAAGTGGTACAGCATCCTCAAATGCGCAATCGTCAACATATGGATATTCTACAGCTGCTAGATCGAGCTATGGAATAAGTCGTCCACAGACGTCTTCTCATGATTTTGGACACGGTTCTGGTTTAGAGCCAATCCACTACCGACCCGAATCACAATTATCTGTACATAGTGTAAATGCGGAAAGTATCTCGGCAGATTCTCAAGTTTCTATTGAAGACGAATTCGATTTTAGTACCGCACTTGAGTAGCATTTTCAGCGTAGTGTATTTTTTGATTTACTTGTTCTTAAATTAATAATTATTAAAATTCAATTACATGTAATAATTTTGTTTGTGTGCAATAAACAATTTTAAACTAAAATATGTCATTTAATTTTGTACCTACTTACCTCAGAGTTACAGCCAATCTTTCTGCGGGCGATATACTCTCTCGCATAAAAGTATCTTGATGTTTTAGTTCCTGGGATAATTTTTGGAGCAAGTTGTCGAATGTAGTTTTCTGCATTCTAAAATAATTGTAAAACTTGTCTTCATCTTCTCTCAATTGATTCTTGACAAGTGTATGAAACGCGCCATATTCCTCCCTTTTTTCTAAAATCGGATGTATCCAAAACCTTACTTCCCTTTTTTTTTCTATTTTCTTTTTCCTATATATGTAATAAGCAACTATAATCTTTTTTTTCGTAAGAAAATTCATGACGCAGCACGTCCTACACAGCCCGAGTAAAAAGCGCTACTAGCCAGTACTTACCAATGTCTCGCGCGGTGATTTTGCCGTATCATGTACAAGCTAGCACGTTTTTTCAACCGTACGGCTTACACACCGTACGTTTGAACAACCGTGTAATGGAAAAGAGGCCTAATGCTACTCAGAAAAATGTTTATTAATTTTGAGGTAACATTGTGATCGATAATTTATGGAAATTAGAGACTGATTGTTATTTTATTTTTTCAATAAATATGTACAAATTTACAAGAAAAGTTGTTATAGTTTTTTATAAAAATGTAATAACGGACAGCTTGGCGTGGGGTAGGAGACATTACCCTGGCGTCGGGAGGAGACTTTACCCAGGGTAATCTCTCCCGTATATTTTTTAAATTGTATTGCAGATAATGATCCAAAATGCCTTTCAAATATAAAAAAGATACCTCTAGAACCAGGAGCAATTTAGATCTGTCAGTAATAAGAAATGCCATATCTGACATTGATAAAGGAAATATATTCTATTAGAGGTGTTGCTTTGGAATATGGAATTGATCGAAATACTTTACGAAATTATTTAAGAGACAGGTCCAAATTGACTAAAATAACTGAATAAAAAAGTCAGTTGAAAACATCTTTGATATTTACGATCACGGAAGAGAAAGCACTTGTTAACTACGTTTTAACTTGCTGCAAAATGAATTAAGGTACGGACAGACGTGCTCATTAGGGTCCGTTCACACAGACCGGCTCGGAGAGGAGAGCAGATTTTTATCACGTTGGAAACAGTGTTTTGAGTGATTGTAGTAAAGTTTATTTTTGCATTTGCACCTTTTTTGTCATTAAAAATGCCTGAACGCGCTTCGTGTGAAGTAATAAAAGGAGCCGACCGGCTCCGCTTGCGTGCTCTTTCTCGCTCGCGCAGCCGATCGGCTCTGATTGCGTGCTCTTTCTCGCTTGCGCAGCCTGTCGGCTCCGATTGCGTGCTCTTTCTCGCTCGCGCAGCCGATGGGCTCCGATTGCGTGCTCTTTCTCGCTCGCGCAGCCGATGGGCTCCGATTGCGTGCTCTTTCTCTATCGCGTAGCCGATCGGCTCCGATTGCGTGCCCGCTGCGGCCGCGCCGACCGCCATTTTGATAGCAACATTTGAACGTAATAGTTGTGCGTACTTGTACGAAAAGATGAATGATGAAAAATTAATAATACTCGTGTCAAAATATGAGTGTTTATTTGACATAACCAAGCCATCATATAGCGATCGGATAATGAAAGACAATGCATGGGAGGAAATTAGCAAATGTCTCGGAATAAGTGGTAAGTAAGGTTTTCATTGTTTTACACCTACCCCCAGATACTCAAACGAATTTTAAAGCAAGGGCTTATTAAACTCGTGCTGCGACGTGTTAGATTCAAAGTCAAAATAGGAATAACATGAGTTTAAATGCGCCCTTACTTTAAAAACTCGTTTGAGTATCTGATCGTTAGAATATACTTATGTAGTAGACAATTTTTATTAAATATAACTTAAGAAACTCGCGTAGCCACTTGATCTTGCCAATCTAAAGCACCACTTGATGAAAAATAATCCTTAAATTTATTCCTTGTGGTTAGAACTGCGTCGCTATTAGAACTGTTTTCATTATTATTGTCTGTTATTGCTGTTAATAAATTTATATTGCTGTGAAATTCATTCTCTTGTCCTGGCGTCCGATTTTCTATTAAAAAATTATGTAAACATGTAGTTGCTAATATAATTAAATCACAGTATTCGGCTGAATTTTCATTCGTTTTTGATAAATTTCAAATCTTTGAGTTAGCATTCCAAATGCACATTCTACGACTTTTCTTGCCCTGCTTAAACGCAGATTAAATACTTTTTTTGATAATTCTGTTCTTGCTTGTTCTCTTGGATACGGCCGCAATATATTATTGCTCAAAGGAAATGCCTCGTCTCCTATAAAAACATGTGGTAAGCTTTCAGTGGTACTAGGTAGAGGTTTATTTGGGGGCAGCTTTAACTTATTGGTGTTGAGTTTTTTCCAAAATTTTGAATTCTGTAAAATTCCGCCGTCGCTATTTTTACCATATGATCCGACATCAACAATTAAAAAACTGTATTTCGCGTCGACCACAGCTAGTAACACTGTACTGAAAAAGTTTTTATAATTATAGTATAAGCTTCCACTATTATCTGGTGCCTGTATATTGACATGCTTTCCGTCTATAGCGCCCAAACAGTTAGGAAAATTCCAAATATTAAAGAAATCACGTGAAACCTTTTCCCACATTTCTTCATCTGGCATCTGCATAACTATGGGCATCAAAACATCACAAATTACTCTGATTGTCTCATGAATAATTGAATGAACTGTAGAAATTCCCATTCGAAAATTAAATGACAAGTTTTTGAAACTGCAACCAGTGATGAGGAATCTGTAAAAATAAAACAAACACACAAAATAGAAATATAAGACTGCCGTACCAAAACGAACTATAAAATAAAAAAGAGTTATGTTATTAATTTTTCATTTCTGTTCTTTCCAGTGACGCAGTGCCAGGATCGTTGGAAGAAACTGCGAGATAACTTCAGAAAAGCCTATTATAACCGAAAAGGCAAGAGTGGCGATGGTGCAACTACGTCCAAATTGATAAAATTTGAAAAAGAACTTTCTTTTATAATACCATTTTTTCGCAATCGAAACCAAATATCTAATGTAACATTATCATCGGATGATTCAGAGCCTGGCACACCAATACCACCACCATCGACATCATCTAAACGTTCTGACCATTCTGAAGTTGAATCGCTTGCAAGTACTTCTGGCTCGAAAAAGAGACCACGCTTAAGCAAAGATGTTGCTACGGTTTTCGAAGAGTATCTTGAAGAAAAAAGAAATACTACACCCCGTGACAAGGCATTACGTAATTTTTTTTTGTCTATGTCAGATACAGTGGAAACATTCCCAAAAGAAGTCCAAGCACGAATTAAAAGGCGCGTGTTTAACATTGTTAATGAAGCTGAATTAAGTCTGTATGAAAATAGTACAGATTTGAATTATTCTTTGTCTATAAATTCACCGCCATCGACTAATCAATCTACTTACCTAGTGTCAAACGAAACCTATATTCCTCAAAACTATCCAGATCAGACTACTTGCGGGTACAATACCAGCACACAAAATACAAAATAATAAACAATCAAAAACAATAATAATTATAATAATAATAATTAAACACACACAAATCTGTACTATTTAATTACATTTCATTAACGTAAATAATGCTTAATAAATGGAGGGCTGTGATTTTGTGATCTATTTAGATGTTTGTGTTATTTAACATGATTAGTATAAGTAATTTACATTTCATTAACGTAAACAATGCTTAATAAATGGAGGGCTGTGATTTTGTGATCTAAATAACATGATTAGTATAAATAATTGTTTTTTATTTACCTTAAAGTTACCGTTAACCTTTCTTCGGCTGTAATGGTGCAACGATAATTTGTAGTCTTTTTTGTTATATGTACTCTTAACAAATCTGTCAATTTCAAAAATTGCCAATATTCCATACGATAATACTCATAAAATTTTAGGCTATCTCTCTTCAATTCCTCGAAAATGGTGTGAAACTCCCCATGGATTAGTCTGTTTTTCCAAATATGTTTTACCCATATTTGTTTCCGCTTGCGCTTACGTTTCCTATGTTCTATTTCAAGTAATCTTGCTAACAAATATATTTCTTCGTCGGAGCTATCTAAATCCATGTTTCGAAAAGCACACGTTAACACACCGAAAACAAAACTTAGACTGCGCGGAATACTGGCACTGCCTTTGTAGTGTATCCACCCGACTCCGAGCGCATCCGACCGGCTCCGAGCACATCCAACCGCACCCGCTTTCAGATCTCTTCCAGCCGGTCGATGTGAAATAGTTGGCGGCTCCGCTCCGGCCAATTCCAAGCGTATACGACCCGGTCTATGTGAAAAGAAAAAAGCAGGCCGATGCTCTCCGAGCCGGTCTGTGTGAACGGACCCTTACTAGCACGAAAGCATGCTTTTATTGAGAATTATTATTAATTAAAATTAAACCCGCAATATGTCGCCTTGGGGAGAAGAAAAAACTTTGCTTTTTGTGTCACATTATAGAAGTTACGAATGTCTGTGGAACACACATTCTCCTTTATATAAAAATAATATTGCTCGTAATAATGCTTATGAGGCTTTATTAAAGGACATGAATGATTCAAGTTTAACAATGAAAATAATTAAAACTAAAATTAAAAACCTAAGATCATGCCGAAGTAAGAAAAATCAACAATTCGAAGCGGTCCGGAGCTAGTGCAGCAGACGTTTATAAACCACCCTTATCATGGTTTACGGAAATGAATTCATTTATGGCAGACACGGACGATTATCGTGAAACTGATTGAATCCGACTTGGTGGTAAGTACCTAATACCTATCTATTAAGTTATATGTTAATCATATGATCTTGCCATGGCAATGCCTCTGTTGTTTCGAAAAGTTGTGCATAAGCGTTTCTTATTGCCACCGCTTGTCGATAGGCCAAATAGCACTGTCCGTACGTTTGCTTTGAGCATGCCTATTTAGGAGTATGCTTTAAATCAAGCTTGCTTATTTCTGGAAAATGTGAACAGTTTGCAGAGCATGCTAATTTTAAACAAGCTTATTAGCATGCTTTTTTTGAGCACGTCTGTCAGTACCTTTATGGCTTAACCAGACAGGCGGCTATGAAGAGGGCATATGAATATGAAACAATTCTAAAAAGTTTATTTAAATTCTCTGTTTATTGTTATTATATTATTATTGTTTGATTATACTTTTGTGAAAGTGTTTGGTTCATTGGTGTAAAAGAAAGGAATCTAGCCACGTGAAGAAGCCACGAGAAGAAGCCACGAGGTTGAAGGTACTGTGCCGACATCCTTTCTTTCTTTTTTCCCATTTGTCCAAATATTGAGCAATCATATTATAAAGAAAATCAGTCCACAATTATAAACAATTCATTATTTAGTTTAATGGGTATAAAGTTTATATATTAACAATCCGCGCCGCCAATAGCTTAATAATGTTGCTTAAGATACAATTTATAAAAATAGCGATTTGTAAGTATATAAATATTTATGAGCATTTTAGTGGAAGGCGGGTAAACTCTCTCGGACTCCCCCTACTACAAACCGATACTGGTAAAGGTAAGAGAAAATTGATATCTACAAAAGGAAAGGGAAAAGGAAAAAAGACCAAAAAAGCACCTAAAGACAAGGAAAATAAATCTGACGACGACCAATGCTTCTGTCTAGTATGTTTAGAAACTTTTAACAACAGTCGACCAAATGAACAATGGATACAATTATCGAGTGTACGTGAACCTTGAGCGTTGGGGGAGTGCTGCGGTATAATAGACTTCCACAAAATATAAAAAGTGCAGACAGCCTGGCAATATTAAATTTAGACTAAAAGACCATCTCTTGAGTGATCCCAGTTACCTGCGTAAATGAAAGTCCACCCAAGTTCTACTTCGCTAATTGATCCTTGAAGCTCTTCAATGACCCACGACGTGATAAATTGTATCTTTAGTATATAAGTTCTCATGTAAGTGACTATTGTCTGTTATGAGAATAAATGTCTTTAAACCTAATATAAAATGTAGTCCCATGATAAGAACTATGTGTGTCATAATTGCGAGTCTGAGTAGAAAAATAATACTGAATAGTCTGATTATAAAGAATGATTGACATAATAATATAGATTAGTTAAGGAATATAATGCGCATATGGGAGGAGTAGACCTAATGGACGCCCATCTAGGTAGGTATAAAATTCAGATCAAAAGCAGGAAATGGTACATGAGAATATTTAACCATCTTTTGGATCTAAGTATCATCAACGCAAGGATTCTCTAGAAGTACACAGTCGAAAAAACACCCTAAAAAAAGAAATTATGGACCTAGGAAGTTTCCGGTCAGAGTTAGTGGACACATTATGGAAATACTCCACACCTGTTCGAAGGGGTCGTCCAACTTCAAGTTCTATGCAGGAGCCTCCTTCAAAAATAAGAAAAGGAAAACCATGTCAAGCTTTGCCCTCATTGGATGTGATACTCGATGGAGTGGGACATGAACAAATAAGAATGCCTGACAGACAAAGGTGTTCCCATCATATAATTTGAAAACAGTTACTATCAAGTGCACTTGACAAGTCTACGTGCTTGAAGTGAATATTGATCGTTTACAGCGTTGACTTGACAAGTTCCGTCAAGTATCTACGGGCTGGACCATACTTGACAAAAAATTTGATTGACGGCACTTGTACCACCATGCGCTTGATGCGACTTGACGCGACTTGACAAGTTTTATTCATTTCCGGAACATCGAAGATGGCGGACGACGAACCGGACCGAGACGTGGCTTTGGCGGCAAGCGCCGACCTAATTACCGATCGTGATTTTGTGTAATTATTAATATCTCTCTACAGAGATTATCCTGCATTGTGGAAAATTAAAAGTAAGGAGTATGCGGATAAAAACAAAAGGTCGCTTGCTTTATCAAGCATAGTCTAAGCACTTCGAGTATATAAACCTGATTACACCGAAGATTTATTGAAGAAAAAAATTAATGCTTTAAGAACCAACTTCAACAAAGAAAAAAAAAGATTGAACAAGCACAACGGTCTGGTGCGTCACCCGATGATGTACCAAAACCGTCACTCTACTACTGGGTGGCCCAGAGAGAAATGCACTTTTGATTTCGCGCGCATTTCTAAACCACATGAGAGAGGGGCGCTGTAGCGGTAGCAATGCGTAGCGCGGACTTTGTAATTTTAGTCGCCATGAATCGCCACAATGGAGAGCAGCGCGCGTTTTGTGTCCGTGCATTTTATGAGAATGCTCAATCTTATGTGACTGTTCGGCGGCTTTATCGTGCTAAATTCGAATTGCGGCGCATCTGTGAGTGTCCAAGTACTAATTTAATTAAACAATGGATCCAAAGATTTGAAAGAACAGGATCGACACAAAAAAAAGGCCTCGCGGTCGCCAGAGTTTCACGGACCGATGAAAACATTCAGCGAGTTAGGGAGTCTGTACGCGCTAATCCACGAATGTCGGAGCGCAAACGTTCGTCGACGTTGGGAGTCTCTAGATCGACATTGCAGCTTGATTTAAAATTTCATCCTTATAAGATACAGCTAGTGCAGGAATTAAAGGCAAATGAAATACGGGATGAGTTCAACAATTTCAACAACATCCTGTTCTCTGATGAAGCCCATTTTTACCTGAATGGATTTGTAAATAAACAGAACTGTAGGTATTGGGCCTGCTGCCCAATTCCCTGTTGAAACATCAGAAGCCACTACACTCACCAAAGGTTACACAGTTTGGGCCACCATTGCCAAATAGGGAATCATCGGACCATTTTTCTTTGAGAACAACCGTGGCCAAGCGGTAACCGTCAATTCCGAACGCTATACTGCTATGTTGAGAAGTTTTTTGATTCCAAGGCCCCCAAGAATCCCCGATCTCACTCCAGCAGACTTCTTTTTGTGGGGCTACCTTAAGAGTAGAGAATAGAAAGAGGCGAAGGCTCTTGCTGCAAAAAAAGGCTTCAAATTCGTGTGGGTTCGCAACTGTTGCATTTTTTTACGCCGGAACGAGGAATCTCCTGTTATAACAATAAACTTCAGGCGCGACTTGGAGAAAATCTGTTAGTTATAATAAGTTCTAATAATAAGTGCTTATATTACTCAAAACAAATTAAATACTCTAATAATCCAACAACTCTGCAGCAATTGAAGCTGAACATTCGGCAAGAAATGGAATCCATTTCGAGGGAAACTCTAACGAAAGTTTTCCAAAATTTTGATGCCAGATTGGAAGAATGCTGTAACCGTCATGGACGTCATTTGGACAACGTAGTTTTTAAAAAGTAAATTTCATTTAATTATCTTTGAATTATAATAAACACATTTGTACTAAGGTATACAGTTTTATTTTCCTTGAATTTTCAAAAGTGCATTTCTCTTTGGACCACCATGTACTACATTAGGTTACCAAAGAGTTCTAAAATTGAAAATCAAAAAAAAGTTTTCATTAGCTATGTTTCTAACTGGCCAGTGCTATACATTTTCAGTGGTACCCACGTATATGAATCTTTCTTTCGATGAACACCATAAATAGGCTTTCGGGAAATTGCAAATGTCCCGAGATAAAATTTTATGAAAGGGAGAATATAAATATGCTTGATAAAGAAGTAGTAAAATTAAGATGAACCAAATTAAGGTTAACTATATTCTTTTTATAATTTCTACAAGTTGACATCAAGGATCACAGTAATATTTTTTTTAACTTTTTGTTTCAGGTAAGGAGAAATTAACTGTCTACCTGCATGGGAAGAAACGGTTGAGTCTTTACTGATTAAGTTTGAACATGCACAAAGAGAAAATCATTAAGTTGCCTATCGCCTGTTTAGATACCCCACATTTTTCAACTCCACCTACATACAAAAACCTATTCAGTAAGAAAGCTGTACATCTTAGCGATCTGTTTAAAATATCACAAACTCCATGGACTCAAAGATGCGGACACATTTAAGAACAGACTTTGTTTCAGTTCTCAGTTTGGAATAAATAAAACTATAATAATAATAATAATAAATACCGTAAAAAGTAAGTCCTAAAAGATCTTAGATTTTGTATTTTGAGGTTAACAAATTCATAACAATTTTTACTTGAAACGCTTTTCTTTTTGGTTTCAGGACCTACAAGGATACAGATCCACTCTGCTGCAACTTTAGAAAGCCCTGTTCTCACCAGGAGAAGAGCAAAATTGAGTGCCAATCTATCAATATAGCCAATGTAATTGAGAACAGAAAACAACTTTACAAATTCAATGAAAAAGTTGACCAGGACAGATTTCTGACGAGATGTACAAGCCCTCATGAGCCTTTAAAAAGGGACAATCAACACCAAGACCAACGAGAAGAAAACTTCAAATTAGCTGCAAATATTTCCTTAAGCGGGGAAAGATGGTGCAAGTATGCATGAGATTCTTTCTTAGTGCCTTCTCCATAGGGCAAAATTAGAACTTAAATAAAACAATAGCAGCAGGAGAAATACTAAAAGAAAAAAGAGGTGGGGACAGAAAGTCTTTCAAAACTCAGAACAAAATGAATATACTGAGAAAGTTCCTAAAATTAATTGCAAGAAACTGAGAAGTTTTTATAACATTGAATCTCCTCGGGAATTGAGAGTGTCACGCACAATGTTCCATGTAATTTTCACAAAGGAATTTAATATCGGCTTCAAACAACCTGCATCTGATGCTTGCAATGTTTGTGGCATCATAAAATAAAATCTGAAAAAGATAATAGTTAAAAACAAACATTTATTGCAATGGTTGTGGGATCATAATATAAAATCTGACAGATAATAAATCAAAACAAACATTTATTACTGAAAAATGAGTGCACAAACTTAGAGCCAATGCATTCTATGCCCACATGAAAGCAGAGCTACCAAACAGTGATTGTGGGTAAGAAAACTGTGAATGCCTGGAGCCTGATTTAGGCGAACTGAGGTTTAATCTTTCTTAAAACATTTATTTTTATTATTGACCAATAGAGCCTTTTTTCCTTTTGCCGAATCAAAAGGGATTATTTTCAAAACTGTCTGACCAAGAGTCTATTTATTTTGTGCCGGAACAACGGGGACTATTTCAGATTTAAAAAAATGTATATTTAATTTTTGAAAATACCTTATTATTGAAAATACTGTTAAATATTAGCTGTTCTACTATATTCTTAGGGCTGAGCTATTTTAATGAGGAAAAAATTAATACAGCTAAAGTTAAAAGTTTTTGCTGTTTTCCCAAATATTACTTATGGTGACGTTAGGCCCTTAGGATACTTGTGTATGATTAGGTTGTAACAGGAAAACGACTTTTAAAAAAAAACTGTTTTCAACATGTACCATGTACCACGGAAAAATAGTTATCTAGTTTCTCAGTCGGGGACTCCCTAGCGTAAGACTAACGATAGATGAATTTTGTCACAACCTATTTGTCACGAATAAAGTTTTTCACTATTATTATTAGTTCACCAGAGAAATGTGAAATTTATTATGAAAAAGTAGCTGAAACATTTTTATCGGATTATTAATTATGAACCCTAAAAAGATAAAAAAATAAATTTTTGTATTTGATTTCTTTAAAGGATGGATTTAGAAGTCCGTCAGGCTTTTGTATCTACCTGAAACAAACACCTACAAACAAAAACCTATTCAATAAGAAAGCTATACATCTAAGCGATCTGTTTAAGATATCACAAACTCCATGGACTAACAGATGCGGGGACATCTAAGAACAGACATTTTGTATTCCCGACGACAAAAAAAGCCAACGTGGCCAAAGCTTCTTTGCTTAGGGCCCTTTCACTTATTACAAAAATTTCCCAATTTATGTATTTTGAGATAGTCAAAATATCCAGATACAAACTTGCATCATACAAACTCAATTACATAATACCCTAGCCGAAATTGGACTCTCAGAGTTTCAAAAATTAGCCTGAAACCACAGATGCCTTTAATTACCATTCTGGAAAGACTTGACAAATACAATCCTCTAAAGATTCAATTGATCAACAGAGATCAGAGGAGAAAGTCACAAATGCTTACAAGATGTAGAGCAGAAACTCTAAGCATGGCTAAATGGCATAGAGAACTTGGGCTGTGTTTAGTCCTAAAATCCTTTGAATACATCTAGGAATGTTTTATTGTTCTCTTTGTATCAAGGCTACTCTGAAGCTTTAATAAGGATAAAAACTCTATGTCAGTTAATATAATGTGGCATTGAAAACCCTGCATTATATAGGGACTGAAAATATATTAACCTATGAATACAATTTCTTTCCAACACAAACCTTTGTACAAAACAATATTATAATGAGACAAACGCTAAAACCTTAATATTTCTTAGTGAAAACTATTATTACAACATTTATCACTTTAACAAAAACAATACTTAAAACGTATTAACTATCCTTTGATTCGGTTTTTGGAATAGGTTAGAGTTATGAAATTTGTATCGATCAATGGCGATGGCCGCTGGACGCAGGTTTTTTTTTTTTTGAGTTTATGGCCTGGTATCTAGACCTTTAGGCCATACAGGCATACAGGCAGTCTATCACAGATAGTAAGAGACATAGACTACAATACTAATAAAGGGAAGTTATAATTTAACACAACGTCGCCTGAGTTAAACACTAAACAGGGTTCTATCTAGCATTTTACGATTTTTTTGCATGCATTTTTGATGCAACAAGGTTTCATGTGAAATTTAGACTTCTTAAAAGAAAATGATAATATTGAGGAAATCCATGTTAAGTACAGTAGTATGCACGCCTGGTCACTCAGGCATCCAAGTAGTGGACACTGTCCACTCCTGTATTGCAAGGGTGTTAGCTCCATCTGAATATTATTCACCGGTATCGTTAGTAAGGATTCTGAAAAAAGTCAACAGAACTAGGTAATCTATACAGGATTATTCAACTAATTAAAGAAAATATTAAAGATTTTGCTGCATATTCAAAGGTTTTGGGCTATATACAGAGTACCATATTATAGAAAAGTGACGGCTTTGAAGTGTATAATACAAGACAAGTTATAGTGATGAAAATTATAGGCAAGTAAACATTCTTGGAGCAATTGAAAATCGGAGAAGTATCCGATCAAATCGCCAAGTTATCCAATTTCCTAGAAACCTACCCACGCCTGCTACAATGCGATCTGTGAAAAAAGGATTACCAGGGGGTCTAGCCATATTGGTGTCGAAAAGTATTCTACATACACTACCGCTTTTGCGTAATTGTACAATAGACGCAGCCAAAGATGAGACTTGACGGATCACGTGGTTAGACCTGCGCAATAGATAGTTCTCAGACCATTTTGGCGGTAAGCGAGGCAAGCGGGGAGGGACGGGACCGTTGCGCGGTGAGACGAGAGCGTGCGGGGCGAGGTACGGCCGCCGCGCATGCGTATCAGTCGTGTGACGCTCCCCGCACCTTGCTCTCACGCCGCTGTGGTCCGAAGTACTGATCAGTGCAAAAGTTGATAGTTGTTTTCCTTTGTTTCGTTTTTTTTTTGTTATAGTTATTCGTTATTGTATTATTTGTTACAGTTATTTGTTTTCTTATTTTGTTGTCGTTTTTGTTGACTATGCCGCGAGGCAAAACTTTAAAAAGACAAAGTAGGAAGATGGTGTATGACGTTTACAAGTTTATGGCGAAAGAAGCGGAGGAAGGCGTCGGCAATTTGAAAGCGGTACAAAAACGTACCGCTGCTGCCACTCAGACATCACTTATCACGGTGAAGAGAATTGTGAAGGAAGCAAATAGCTCCAGATTGCTGTCCGTGTTTCGTACTCCGGGAAAAAAACGTCCGAGATCAAACCCCGTAACCGGCATGGATGATTTTGATAAAGGGGTGATCAAACGCTGTATTCACAATTTTCATGTAACAAATAAAGAACTCCCTACAATTAAAAAGATAAAAAATAAATTGCGTGATGACATCGGATATCAGGGATCCGCAACCAGTTTGCGCAAAATTATAAAAGATCTTGGGTTTCGGTGGAGGAAGACCGAAAATAATAGAAAAATTCTTATTGAAAAGACCGATATACGCCTCAAAAGAATTAAATATATAAAGGAACTCGGAAAATACCGTCAAGAAGGCTGCCCTATAATATACACAGACGAGTCATATGTGCATTCTACGCACACAACATCAAAAGGTTGGTCTGATCTGTCATCGGAAGGACTAAAAAAACCAATTTCCAAAGGTCAGCGGGTTGTCATCGTGCACGCAGGTTCTGAAGATGGTTTTGTTCCAAATGCCTTATTAATGTTCAAATCAGGAACAAAATCAGGGGACTACCA